CAATCCGTCGGACTAAGAAACGTCTCATCTTGTTGGGGCACTACTCGAACTCGTCCGTCAGGTGCGAGCGGAACTCCGGCTCGCCGGATACGGAGGTGTTGCCGATTGTGCGGGCATTGCGTCGTTGGAGACATCTGCTGACGGGATCCCAGGCACAAGGTGATTTTCACGTCGGATCACAAGAACTTGGTGAACTACAGAACTTGGAGGTCAGGAACTACCGGATGGCGCGATGGATCGAGGAGCTCAGCCAGTGCGATTTCAAGATTGTGTTCACGGCTGGTGTGTCGCAGCCTCTGGCAGACTGCCTGTCACGCAACCCAAACTTTGAGGGCAGTGTGCGAGGCGAAGCCGCTCGCAAGGCGTTCACGCCGGGTCAGCTGGACAGCACGGTCGCGGCCGCAGCCACAGTGGCGAGCACGTCGGCTGGAGCAGGTCAAAGCGCAGCGAAGGCGGTGGCGGCGGAGGTGTCGATCGAGGATCAGATCCGCGCACAAGTTGGCACCAGCCCCCCTGACCAGAAGTTGCAGAAGCTGCTCGGACTCACGCTGGCTGATGGCCTTTGGAGAGATGGGAGCAAGCGCATCTACGTCCCGGAAGGTGACTGTCGTCGACTGGTTGTGGCCGAGTGCCACGATGCCAAGGGGGCGGGTCATGGTGGCAAGCACCGCACGAATTTGCGTGTCAAGCAAACGCATGTTTGGCACAACATGATGGAGTACATCGAAAAGTACGTGGCTGGTTGCACTCTCTGCCAGCAGAACAAGCCGTCGCATCTCAAGCAAGCTGGCCTGAACGCATCGATCGAAGTGCCTGCTGGTGTGTGGCAGGATGTGGCTATTGACTTGGTCACGGATCTGGTGCCGTCGAAGGATTACCGTGGGCACAAGCACGACGCGGTGCTCACTGCTCAGTGCTTGCTTTCAAAGCAGGTGCATCTCATCCCGTTTTCCAAGGATAGCAGTAGCGCGATGGTGACGAGGGCGCTCATGGATCGCGTGTTTGCGTACCATGGGCTGCCCAACACGCTGCTGCACGATCGTGATTCACGGTTCCTAGCTGAGCACATGACCAGCATCTGCAAGGGGCTTGGCATTAGGCAGCGGGCGTCAACGTCGTTTCACCCCAACGCGAACGGGTCTCTTGAGCGACAGCATGCAGTGATGGCTCAGGTTTTGCGTAATTACGTGAACCACAGTCATGACGATTGGGTGGAGTTGCTACCCTGGGCCGAGATTGCCATGAACTCGTCGGTCAACGCAAGCACAAAGGTGACGCCGTTCATGGCGAGCCAGGGCTTTGAAGCTCGGACGTCATGGAAAATTACTCCTCCTGAACGAGAGTCGGACGTTGATGAGCACATCGCGCTCATTCGTACGATTGTTGAGGACACCAGGAAGGAGTTGGCCCGAGCGAATGAGCTCAGTTCGGCCAAAGTGGACAAGCATCGGACTCCCGCCCCTGGGTACCAGGTTGGCGACAATGTGTGGCTGGACACGCGGCAGCTGCGTCTCGAGACGGTGGCCACGAAGTTCAACCCGACGTACATTGGTCCGTTCGAAGTGCTCGAGGCGGACAAGCACACCGTGCTGCTTCGCCTGCCAAAGTTCATGAAGCATCATCCTCGCTTCCATGTTTCACGGGTCAAGGCCGTGGGGGCGGATGGCATACCTGGCCGGCCAGTGTCCGAGCCTCGTCCCATTCACATGAAAGGCGAAAAGTATTATCAAGCGGAAAAGATTGTTGATTCTTTTATTGACAAAGGAACGCTCTGGTACAAGGTCAAGTGGACAGGCGTGGAGGAACCGACTGTTGAGCCGTGGGAGGTGTTTGGAGAACACCATCGAATGACGGAGGCATTTCATAAGGCTAACCCGAACAAGCCTACTCGGGAAAGTGCCAAACGCAAGAAGCGCTAGTGCTTTGGGAATGTCTCGAAAGGGGGGGAAAGAAAGGCGGAGTGTTATGGATTGATGTGTATCTGTATTTGGAGTGTGTTCACTCGTCGCTTTGTATAAGTGAAGTCTCTTGTTTCCCTATCATCACTCTCATCATCAACCCATTACTCGTATCTTCGTGGAAGGATCTCTGATCATAACATTTGGTTCTCAGACAGTCTTCTTTGGCTTTGTATTGATCTTGTACGAAATGCTGCGTTTGCTGCGGTCGACGACTGGCAGCAGCGGTCGTCCTTCCGCAGCCCCCCCTTCCTGTTGTCGGACAAAGCAATGGACGTCGGGATCAATGCATATTCAAAGAGATTTCTAGCCTGACGATGCCACACCGCGCAATGAGCAGCGGCAACAAGGGACCAGGACACGGAGCCAGCAGTGGACAGCGACCCCCTGCTCATGCTGGTGCTGGTGCTGCTGCTGCTGGTGCTGGATCAGCTCGCTACACTGGAGGAGGCGCCCAGACACACAACCACCCTGCTCACGGGCAGCAGCGCGATCAGGCTTGGGGACAGCGTCGTGATGGTCCTGCTACTAGTGGCCAGTCGTCCTACACTCCTGGTGGAGCCGCGGCAGGTGCTCAAGCTCGTTACGCTGGCGGAGCCCAGACGTACCAAGGCGGTGCGCATCGTGGAGGCGCTCAAGGGCAGACTTTCGGCGGGCGTCGCGACGGCCCTCCAGGTGGCCAGTCTCAGCGCGGACGAGACCACACTGCTCAGAGCTCTGACACAAACAATGCACGCATTCCCGCTGCCGCCATCGCTGCTGCTGCTGCTACTCCTGCTGCTGCTGCTGCTGCTGCTGCTGCTACTCCTGCTGCTGCTACAGAGAGCACCGACCTCGATCGCTCTGCCAAAGGCGTCCGCAAGCATGACTCGCGCGCTCTGCGTGAACGCCAACTGCGGGACGAAGACGATGAAAATGACAACGACGAGTATGTCAGGGAGGAGGACGAGGATGAGGACATGGAAAATGAGGATGCAGGACCCAATCGGAGGTACCGAGGCGATCTGATTGGCGACACGCTGCTGCCTGGAAGCATCCGCGTCCACGGGAAGGAGGAACGGCCCAAGATCGTTGGGACCAAGACCCAACGCATGCATCACATGAACAAACAGCAACGCGTGCAGGCTGCCCAGGAGGATTTGAAGCTCGAAGTGTTGAGCTCGAGCGCCCTTCCTCCCACCTCTGGCAACTACCAGAAAGCGCTAAACCGCATTCCCGCGGCAGTCGTAGCGCCAGGCCTTGCCACTGCCTTGCGCGGGCCGTCCAAGCCTGCTCATTTCCAAGGCGGGCGCACGACTGCGAGTGAGCGCGACCAGCAAAAGTTTGAAAAGCAAGTCCAAGAGGAAATGGCTGTTGTTGTCAAACGCGAAACCGAGAAGCTGCACAAGCCCATTCCGATGGACAAAGTGCGTATCGTTAGGGTGTGTGCGTGGTGGTGGTGGGGGTGCGTTGTAAACGACGGATGATTTCATCAGTAGTTTGGTTTTCTTGTTTTGACATCTTTTGGCAGCTGCAAGAGGTGATTGGCAACCGGCTGGTCATTCTGCTGGACGAGAATCGAGCCATGGTGAGCCGGGCACCGCCGAAATCGGCAGCAGCACCACCAGCTACTGCAGTGCCTCCTCCTACCCCGGAGGGCCAGCCCAAATTGGATGCGGCTGCGAAGGCAGAGCTCAAAGCAGCCGAGCGCGCCCGCAAGCTTGCCGCTCTTCGTGAAGCAGCATACTCGGCCGCAGAGATTGTGGAGCTGGCGCAGCAGCGCAAGTGCGACATTTCGCTGATTGACACCCAGCCCGAGCGCATCACGTTGCAACTCGCATCAACGGCCATTTTCGAGAAGGCAGAGGCTGAAATGAAAAACCGCCTCGCACAGGCCGAAAGTGCCATCCGCACCAAGATTCGCAACTTTAACAACCGAAAGGAGGTGCAGCTCACCAACTCGACCGCCGAGAATGACTTGAAGCTCAAGATTGTCCGCGCACGACGCTTCCTCAAGCGGGGAAACCTGGTCATGATTACGGTACTCTTCCGTCGCGCGAGAAAGCGCACTGCCAAGCCGTTCAACCGCCAAGACCAAGAGCGTCAGATGAAGCTGATCATGGACGCCATCTCGGATATTTCGACGACAGGCCCCGAGCACTTTGTCCTCAAAACAACCATGATGAGTTGTCTGTTTATGCCAAACGAGAAGGCCAAGGACGCCGTGGTCAACATTTACAATCCGACTGAAGAGGAGGACGACGACGATGACGACGACGAGGACGATCTCGAGAGCGAAGACGAAGAAGACAGCAGCAGCGACGATGACGACAGCAGCAGCAGCGACGATGACAGCAGCAGCAGCAGCGACGACGACGACGACGAGCAAGGCCAAAATGCACCCGCTGTTCAGTCGAACAAGAACGCCAAGAAGCAAGGCGGCAAAGCCCCCGCAGAAACCAAGCCCACCGAGAAGCCAGCCATGTCCAAGTACCAGATGAAACTCTTGCAACGACAGCAGGCGGGGTCGCAACCGCAGCAAGCCCAGTACCAGCCGCGCTCCTCGTCCAAGCAGTGATTATGATGCCTGCCTGCGAGCTTGTTGCTGCCCACAATAAACGAGAATCATTCAATTACTCGTCAACTTTGCAAAGAAAACAAAATGCAAACAAGGGAAGGGGAGGGGGCGGGGGCAACATTGTGTTGGATCTGATAAATTCGAATATCACGCATGACAACACACCACAGAAATTGACATGAAACAAAGAAAACAAAAGGCAGCAAGATACGACAAAAAACAAGGTGTGTGTGTGTGGGAGATGTTTAATCATCGTCACCGCCACCAATCTTGCTGAGGAGGGACGCGGCATCGGAGCCAATGCTTTCGCCTTCTTCTTTGTCCTTGCGACGGCGGCCACCAGCAGCGCCTGCCGCACGTTTTGGTCGCTCTCTGTCGAGATAATACAGGATGAAATAACGTGAGCACCGTGAACAAAAAAAGGCATCGCGTCGAAGCATAAAAAAAAAAAAAACCTTACCGGGCAAACGCAGTACCGCTGCGAAGGGATGCAATAAGATCGTCCATGACACCCTTTTGGTCGCCCTCTTCGTCGATGACAGTCTTGCGCTTGTCCTTTTCCGACTTGAGACGAGCAGCCTCCTTCTCGGCCTTCTCAGCAGCACGCTTGGCCTCGCGCTCTTCGGCCTCGCGCTTCTTGACGTTGTCCTTGTGAGCATCCTGCCAAGGTACAAAAAAAGGAAGAAGAGGTCAGAAACTGAACCAGAGCATGCTGCAGGAAAAGCAACCCCCCCCACGAAACGCGCCACATACATCAATGCCCTGGACAAAGGTGCGGAAAACGCCAAAGATTTCTTCAGGGGTGGCCGTCTTGGGATCTTCGCCATAAAGCGTCACAACCTCCTCAAAGACCTTGGTCATTCGCTCAAACATGTCTGAAAGATCCTTGAACTGGCTCGAGGCCTTGTCAATGAAAGCGCCCATCACGTCCTTGTACTTGTCGCCCGCAGGGGCGTTGACGGACAGCTCGAGTTCCTTCTTGACAGCTTCAATACCCTTGCGGAGGTCGTTAAAGTCGGCACCAATGGTCGCGAGCGACACTGAGACACGGAGACAATTAGGTTGAGAAAAAAAAGTTAGTGTTGCAACCCTCTATCGGGGCAAACTGCCTCTCTCGCATGTGCAGAACGAAAAACAAAACGAAACAAAACAAACGAAATCATGCACGTACTGCGAGCGGCACGCTCTAAATCGCGGAGTTCATCACCAAAAGTGAGCAGCTCGGGACGCTTCTTTTCGAGCAAATCCGCGAGGAAGTGCAACAAGGTCTGCTTGTTGTCGTGGGTCTTGGTGTTGCCAAACTGCAGATTGGCAGAAACGCGCACAGGGTAAGTACAAAACGCGACCCGTTCAAAACTCCTCGCATATTCCCATTGTTTGTCACGCGTTGGTCAATCTTGAAACCACGGGCACCGGCGTTACGCGAGCCAGAGTTCATGTAGTTACCGACAAGCAGCACCATCTACACAGCCAAAGCAAGAAAAAAAATGCAACAACAAGAAAGTGAGAACAACCCGCATCATCCCCTCTTGCTGTTTTCATCTATCTTGCAAAACCGCACCTCAAGCACGCTGCGAAGCTTCTTGCTGTCCTTGATCTGATCAGCGGCCGAAAGCACAGAGACAACGTCACAGAGACAACGTCAGGCTTGATTTCACCCAACAGCTCGGGGAACTTGAGCTGGAAGAGCATGGTCGTGAGACGCGACTCGATGCGTGTGGCAGGGTAAGAAGAAGAAAGGAAAACCAATAATCCGGTGCGTCAGACTAAATCCTGTCTTCGCTTCAAGAAAAGCCCCTTCTGATCGCCTTCGACCTCACCTCCATCACAAACTGATCCGCTCGGCTCAAGGGAGAAGGATCGGCCTTGAAGGGCTCAAGAGCCTGGAGTTCTTCCTTGGAGGGAACAAACTTGAGGAACTGGTTGATGGTCTGCTCAGGCAAAAGCTCGGGGTCGCACTTCAAAATGGCACCCTTCATCGTGGCAAAGTCCATCTTGAGACGACCAAGCATGATGGCTGCGTTCCGAGGAGGCGGGCGGAAATCGGTGAGCACCAGCAGACAAACGAGTTCAATCTTCTTTCCCCCCCCCCCAAAAAAAAAACACGACAAAACACAACCAACACAACCAACAAAACACTTACAAACGTTGTACGCCTTCTTGCCGTCAATCACGGACATTTCCTTGATCTTTTGCACCGGCGGGGCATCGCTCTCTTCGGCATCGTTGGTCTTGGCCTTCTTGGCGCAGAAGAGCGACTCGAGGTTCTTAAAGTCCATGTCGCCTTCCCAGTTGCTCTCGTCGAGCTTGCCCCAGATCGTGTCGCTGGCGGCGCGGGCGTTGACCTTGGTCCAGTTGATGCGCTTCATCTGCACGCTCGGCTTGTACTTGTTCAAGTCCTCTTGGGGCGGCGGTGGGCCAAAGCCGGGCATGCCAGGCGGTGGCGGTGGGCCACCAGGCGGCGGCGGCGGACCACCTCCCGGCGGCGGAGGCGGAGGCGGCGGACCACCACCCGGCGGTGGCGGAGGAGGCGGGGGACCTCCACCCATCATCGGCGGAGGCGGCGGCGGCGGCGGGCCACCCATGGGCGGTGGCGGCGGGGGTGCGCCACCTTCCGAGTCTCCGCCAGTGGCAGTGGACTCACCGCCACTGCCGCCACTGCCGCCACGCGAGCCGCCGCCAGCAGCAGCGGCAGCCTGCGCCTCGGCAACTTGGCGCTGGGCCTCCTCGAGCTTGGTCGTGAACTCTGTGACCTTGGTTTTGAGCTCGTCCATCTCCTTGTTGAGCTTGGTCTCGTTCTCGACCTTGTTCTGGTTGAGCGCCTCAAACTCGCGCTTGAGCTTGGCAATCTGCTCCTCTTGCTCGGCGAGCGTGTCCTGGTCGACAAAGCCGCGGATGATGGGCTCGACGTCGAGCGAGAAGGTGCCCTGGAAGTCGGGATCGATGCCGTTGCGGCGCAAGACCATTTGGGACACGGCTTCGTCAATGAGGCGGTAGTACTTTGGCCGGGTGACGTGGTCGTCGCGGATGAGCATCAAGTGCTGGAGGACGGACAGGAAGTGCGCGTCTGCGGGCGTGTCGGCGACGAGGTTGCGCAAGAGGTGGAAAATCTCCTCGGGATCGGCCATCTCCATCTGCAGCTGACCAAAGCGATCCAGCAACTCGGTGTAGTCGTACTGGGTCTCGTTGTCAAAGTACGTCAGCTGCAGATTGAGCTGCTCGGCATCGTGCGAGCGCAGCCGTGGCAGCACCTCGGCCAAGCCGAGCAGCATAATCTCGTTACGAAGGTGCAGGCGGAAGTCGAGCTCGTCGGGCGTGTTGATGAGCGCATTGAGGAACTGCACGCAGGCAACCTGGAGGTGGCCATTGTCCGAGTCGCGCAGAACGCGGACGAGCGGCTCAAAGCGCATCTGGCGCTCCTTTTGGCGCGCCACCTGGGTGATGCCCTGCAGCACAAGTGAGTGGCCGCTCGGCGGGACGAGACACACGGCACCAAGCAATTCGAGAATCGTGGTGGTGGTCTTGACGTCGGCCGTTCCGAGCGCCAGGGCCAAAGGTCGGATGCCCTCGGCGCCCTTAATGACGGCAAACAGACCAGGGCCGTTGTTCATGAAAGCCTTAAAGCAGAGCACGCAGGCCTGCTCGATGGATTGCTCGAGCTTGTCCTTGATGTCGTGCGAGTTGAGCTGGTACATGACGGCAAACAGGGCATCCAGGCCCGACGCCTCCTTGAACTGGCGCACCCAGAACATTGGCTGGGAGCCCAGCGAGATGCGCAGCGAGTTGAGCACCTTGAGCATCTTGTTGAACGTGGTCTTTGGGTTTCGCAGCTCGCGCACAAAGTGTTCGGGCGTGTTGTCTTCGGCGGCCATTTTGAGCTGTAGAGGAGAAATGAAGGGGTTTTGTTTTTCAATGAGTTTTGGGTGGATTGCCACAACGGGTTTGTGACAGAAGAAGAAGAAGAAGCAGAAGAAGCAGAAGAGCGTGTTTTTACCTTGGCGGCGTTGATGAGTTGCCACTTTGCCTCTTGCGACCGCAAGCGCATCGGGACACGCGCGTCTTCCGGAATGTTCATTTCATCCTGAAATATCCCGAAACAGAAACAATAAATAAGCAAAACCAAAAAAACAAGTCGAGTGAGTTTTTCGAGTGAAAATCTGCAAAGATTGGAAAAAAAGATGAAAAAAAAAAGCAGTATTTTGGCAGCAAAAAAAAAAAAAAAAAAAAAAAAAGGGAATTCAAAACACAAACAATTTTGTAGCTTTTTGGTTTTGCTTCGCTCTGTTCTGATTCTGAGAGCAGAGCACGTTGCCAACGAAAGAACAACAAGAACGGAAAACAAGGGGGAAGAACGAAACAAACGCAGCAGCAGCAGCAGCAGCAGCAGCAGCGACTCAAACAAACCAGAAACAAAGGACAAAAAAAAAAAAAAAAAAAAAAAAAACACAACCTGAAAAAAACAAAAAAACAAAAAGGAAACAGGAAATAAAAAAAAAATACAATAAAAAAAATGCCATCGTTTCGTTTGTCAGTTGTTGTTGTTGTTGGTTTGGAAAGAGCGATTGTTCGCAGCTCAGACAGCACGGCCGAGACTCAAACTCAGACGAGAGAGACAGAACGCACGAAGACAGAAAGAAGAACGAGAAGAGAGAACGGCAGATCGCATCGCAAAAAAGAAGCAAAAAAAAATCAAAAATAAAAAATCAAAAATAAAAAATAATAAAAAAATTCCTCAAGTTTTTTTTTTTTTTTTTTTTTTGTTCAAGTCAAGAAGCTGAATGATGATGATGATGATGATGAAACTGACCATCATCTGCTCAAACTGCGCATCAAAGTCCTCCTTGGAGAGATCGGCGGGGATTTCGCTGTGCATGGCTGCGGCTGCGGCGGCTGCGGCGGCTGCGGCGGCTTGCTGGGCGGCAGCAGCGCCAGAGGCAGCGCTCACGGTTCCTGCGCCGCCCGGGCCGCCGCCAGCAGCGCGGGAGATGGTGCCTGGGGGTGCAGGGGCAGCGGCAGCAACACGCGCGAGGCACGCCTTGACGCTCGCGTTGTCGCCAGTGTAAAAGACAGCGTTGCCGTTGCCCTCGCTGGACGACAGCGACGAGGGCGCGGACGAGCTGCTGCTGGGCCCGCTGATCTCGCTGCTGTCCGCGGCACCCGAGGGGCGATCCTTGTGGTCGTCCTTGTCCTTGCGGAACATGGACTTGCCCATGCGCTTGAGCGCGCTCATGGCTGCAGAGAAGAAGAAGAAGAAGAAGGAAGGAAGAGGGAAAAGGAAAACTGAAGGAAAAAAGAAAAAAAGAAAAAAAAAAGAATGACGCTTTTTGGTTGCAAATGCTCGTTCAATAGCTCAAAACGCTGAGAGCTGAGATTGAGCGTTGTATGACTATCAATGGTTGGACGACGTACGCTGAGATGGTTCACATGACACGTTCACAAAAATGACAGAGGAGAAAACAGCTCATGACGTGGAAAAAGACAAGGCCGCCTCGCGCTTGACGTTAGATCCACATCCGAAGGTTGAGAATAGGTACAGTGCAAAGAAATTCAACGGAGAAACTAACCCAATGCATATGGATTGAAGGTACCGGCTTGATCAGGGTGTGCAAGAGCTCGATGCCTTGAATCTTTCGGAGTCGATCGCAACGTACTTCCTTACTCTCGACTTGTTCTCGCACCTTGCATCTCAAACTTTGGCGTCAGTCAAAACCAACAAGAACCCGTCTACTTGGACGGACCAAGCGGATGTTGTTGGAGATGCTGCTTGAGGGCGGGAATGGTCCGAATTGGCGCTTGGCAAACGTGGCATTTCATGTCTGCCTTGAGCATGCTCTCGTAACGATTCGTGTCAAACTGCATGACATGGTACCACATGACAGGTACCAAACAACAACAACAATAACAACAAAAACAAAGTCAGTGAAAACAACTGGCATTCTTTTTTTTTTTTTTTTTTTTCCGAATCACTCCACTTGCCTTGACTTGGCCAGTGTTTTGAAGCTGCTGAACGACCTTGTCGTAGTCGACAAAGAAGGCTGTTGTAAACGAGTTCCAGTGCTTCTTGTTTTTCAAGTGAGCAGAGTCAAAGTCCTGGCTAATGACGTGCAGATGCAAGAGTCTGAAACGCATGCAACTGGAGATGAGCGAAAGCGCTCCCTTTCTGATCATCTCAGCCTCGCGTGCTAATCATGGACATCGACATTGAGCCGTACCGCATCGAAGGAACGGCATGAAATCCGATCCGAAACGAAGCAACTTGATTTCGGTTTTCGGCTTGAAGTCTGTTGAATTGGTTTTGCAGCCACAGCAACGACACGACGCTCAAATGAGCTGGAAGGGCTCAAATGAGCTGGAAGGGCTGCAAAGTAGAGCCCCGGTAACCAAAGCAATGCTCACCTGGAGACTGCAAAATCCGCCCGCTCTTTCATTTTTTCGAGCGCCGTCACACTTTCAATTTCCGTCAGAGGAAGGACCAAGAGATGATGCTTGGCCTGATGTTCAATTGCGCAGTCAATGCAAGTCACCCCACAAAACCCCAAAACAAACAAAAAAAAGGACGCAATTTCAAAAGACCGAGGTGAGACCAACCGTACCTTGGCAAATTTATCTCGAATCGTCATTGTGTGCTTGTCTAGAAAGAAGGTATCAGCCTTGTATCGATCTGGATGACGAATGTAGTCATACAACGCGTTGGACCAGTTTCCCTGAAATGGCGGCGCAGCTCTGTGAGCGGGAGATGACGGCGCAGTTTTCTGCCCCGCTGGCGATGCAACCAATGCATCAAATGCATTCTTTGGCGCTCTTGTTGCAGCAGCAGCTATTATAGCTGGAGACCTTGGCGTTGATCGCGTCGTGGCAGACAGTTCTTCAATCTCGTCTTCGCTGTCCGTCTCATCCTGTTCGATACGAGCCTAAGAGAACTCGCACGTCAGCCAAACTACAACCTTCTGGTGACCAACATCATGATTGAAAACCCGAAACGTACCCACTTGGCAGCAACCTCAGGAACGAGCGGCTCGGCAGCTGGTCGTGTTGATCGACCGGACGGCTTGGACACGATCGCAGACTCGACAGACGGCTTGTTGGATGATTGTGCATTCGACTTGGTATCGACTTGGATGGGTAATGCAGGAATTGCAGGACTTGCAGGAATTGCATGATTGGACGCTCGAATTGGCTCAATGATCAGTCTGTGAGGGAACGTTGAGGTCGCTGGCAGGAAGAGCTCGACGTCCACGCGACCCGCAGATCCATCGAGTGCAATCTGATCTGATCTTGAGCTGAGGAGCGTCCTGTTGACCACCGACGGGTGCTTACCGCACTGTGCCAAAGGATTGAGAGATTCTCGTCAATGCTCACTACGTTTGTACGTCTGGCGTTTCAGATGTAAAGTTACTCATAGGCTCGATTGGAGGTACCTGTTGAACTTGCATCTGACCTGTAGCGGCTGAAAATCGCACTTTGACTGTTGCAGAATAAACCCCAATGAAACGCGCGTCTCAGATTTTGAGTGTAATTTCTAAGCGCAACGTTGTGCTCCATTTTTGCAGCGATTTACTCTGTTCACGCGAGCAGCCGAGGTCGGTGATGCCGGTCTGCTCAGTTCTGCCAATGCTTGTTGCTCCATCTCTGCATTGGAGCCGCTCGCGGCCGCCTGGCTCGACAAAAGCGGCGCGGAACATGGAAGGAGCAGAAAATGGCAAAGTAAAAGACTGAGCTTGCTTAGACCGAAAATTAAAAAGGAATTTCATCAAAAGGACGCTTGGTGTCGAATAATGATGCTGGAATATGGATGAGGGGGCGAGAGAGCGAGGTGAAAAGGGAGGAGACTTGGGAAACGCACACATCGAAACAATTCGCTCTTTTCCAGCAAGGAGTCTTGCTCGCGCTCTTCTGACGCTAAATTGTCACTTCTAGGACTTTGACCCTTGTACAGAATTGAACGAAATGGCCCCGGTCTGCCATAGGCCACAAGTGCATTGTGATTGTATTGGTACAAAGCTGAATGCTGGTGCATTCTTCAAACTTGAATGCGGTCATCAACTGCCCCACTACGCGCTGCCGACACGATCACGAGGAATCAATCGAAGCTCGCTGAACAGATTGTCAGGTAAAAAGTCCAGAAGTGAGCGGCAGGCAGTCGACGTCGATCTTTCTATTTGACCAAGCTTATTACCTGCCATGCTTGAGGAAAACGTTGCCTAATCAAAGTAGACAAACAGAAAGTGAACAAGCACATATACAAGGTGAACAGCGATGAACAAACCAACCATAAAACAAACTAGACAAGCAAGAATGCACAAACCTGCGCTCTGTGCCGGGTTGATGCCAATACCATCTGCCAAAAGTTCCAATAGATGCAACAAGCAGAGTAACGTCAACAATAGCACCAACAAAAGCCACAGCAACACCAACATCGAGGCACAGCGCCAATCGCCAATCGCTACCGTTTGTGATGATGGCGCTGGTGGCCGGCGGCACTCGGAACTGTCCCAAGGCACACACCCATAAATGAATACGTGACACACAATGATACACCTCACATCACTGCATCAAGCGAGACCACAAACCTCTTCGGCAGCAAACTTGAGCACTGCAGTGAACGGCGCGACCTCTGGCACACTCAGTCTGTCCACAAAACCCCGCGTCCCCCCATTGTACCAAACAAACACAAACACCAGAATCTCCAAATGAGTGCAAGATGGGTCGCAGCGACATCCGCATTGAAAGCTCAGTGGAAATGCATTGGCGTCCGCGCAGTTTCGTCTCCGTCATGTCCTGGTGGGATCCGCCTGCTCCATGGCTGAACTTCCATGCATGCTGTGCTTCATCCTGTCATCCAGTCCAGTCCATGGCAGGCCAGGCAAGTGGGGACTTCAGGCTTCTCGTCCAACGCCGTTCCTTGCTTTCCCCCATGTCCGCCGCGTAGCCTTCGCTTCCGTCCCATGCGGTCAGGTTGGACTTGGTTGAAAGCGAAGAGCTGTTTACACTTTGAATGGCAGCTTGGGATCGGACGTCAATGTGATCTTGAAGGTGACCTTCGACCTGTCATTTCTGAAGATTAGCAATGGAAGCTCAATCAATGGTCAATCATCGAGACTGTTGTTTGCAGGCTGACATTATGAATGGAATAGGACTGAGTAAATTGTTGAACGGTCGAGTTTAATCGTGGATTGCAACAAGAGTTGTTGTCGAAAACGAAAAAAAAAAGGGAACTTGCAAGGCTCAGTTGCTCAGTTGCTCAGTTACGCCCAACCAAATAAATCCTTCGTCTTGCAACTGTTGCGCAATTCTCTAAGGTGATGCGGGCGCAGGAGTCTCGGACGAAGCCGCCTCTTCTGCAGCAACAGCAGGGGTCGCTTTGTGCGTCTCCGCTGCTTCAGCTTCCTGCTGTTGTTTTTGTTCTCGTTGCTTTTGTTTCCTTGGCTTGGAGGAAGTTGAAGCTGCAGGAGTCTCAACGACAGGGGCGGCCGTCTCAGGAGTTATGACTTTGGAAGTTGCGTCCACAGGAACGGCCTCGACAATATCAAACAGGCCGCAAAGGGGAACGTGGCGACTGAGTTCCAAATTGGAACTTGAGAGCAAGGAGGTGAATTCTCGGGTGGAACGAGCCTTGCCACGTTGAAAGACAACGAGCAGCTGCATGTCGACGAAGCGCTTGAGGCGCTCAAAGTATGCGTTGCGTGTTTCCAGCACTGGCTCGACCAAGAGAATCTTGGCGTGCGACGGCATGCTTGTGCGGACATGCGACAGAATGTTCACTGCCATCGTATCGTTCCAGTCATGGATGATGCTGCAACAACGTATCAGAGAAAAAAAAAGTCAGTGGCTGGCAACTGCACAATGCCACAGAACATCAAGTGTGCGACTGACTGGTTGAGAAGGTAGTAGTCACACTCCACCGAAAGAGGCTTGGAAAAGTCGCCCGCCACGAAGCGAATACGGTCTTTTAATTGAACTTGCTCGATATAGTTGCTGCAAAAAACCAAAAGCAGAAGTGATGGAGCGATTCCTTTGTGCTACAATCCCCCTCAAATGAATGTGGTCGAAACTTACTTGGCCTGGGTCTCCTTGTGAGCCAAATCAATGACGGTTGCAGTGGCGTCGGGGAATTCGCGCAAAAGCCCCTCTGCTACCGAGCCAATACCACCACCTGCAACACCACGCGAACAAGCAGTGAATAATTTGTCTTTGTGTTTTTCGGAATGGCAAGACGAGTCTCAAGCCCTCTTCTCACCAATATCGCAAATGTGCACCGAACGGCCGTGCACTTGAGCGAATTGCTTGAATTCATCGCCATACTTGGCCAGCATCTTTGGCGCAAAGTCGGCCGAAATGCTACGCTGGGCGAGGTCGAAGTTGCCGCGCTTTTCGGGGTTCATGTTGTAATAGTTCTCGAGCTGCGGGATCAGCATCAACATGACCACGCACACACACACAGACACCAGAAAAAGCAAAAGTCTCAGCACTTTTCACCCAAACTTCTCAGAGCTCCCGCGCGGTGCTTACATTCTCGCCGTTGGCAAGCTCAAACGCCGGGTACACCTGACGCATGCCTTCGGAGAGGCGTGTCCAGCCATAGTTGACCTCGTCTGCATGGTACAGGAGCATTGGCACCAACGACCCGACATTATCGTCGTTCTGAGTGAACAAGACTGAAAAGTCGTTCAGGTAGAATTTGCCCGTCGCTTGGTCCTTGTTCATGAACTGGTTGGCCGCCGCAAAGTCGAGCAGTCTGCACAAGAGCTGCGCATTGACTGGCTGACGTCGGATCTGGCTCGGCTTGCGGTTGCGCAGCCAGCCAATAAGCTCGCCACAGGTCGCGCCGTTCGCGCCTGCCTCCGCGAGTCCGTCAAACACCTCGAGCCGCGCCATGGCAGCCAGCGCCTGGGTGAGCCCAAAGCCAAACATGGCCTCGAACGCACGCAGCGGTGCTGGTTTCGCAGCCACGGTGAGCCAGTCCATCAGCCCGAGGGCAATCTCGCCAATCTTGAGCGCCCAGCCCGGCGCGTGCAGCTCTGGCGGGGGTGCTTTGAGCGACAGGAGCGCGTTCGTCGCTTGTTGCCCCAGCGATGGCTGTTGAACCAGTGCCTGCAGTCCGACGGCGACGACGAGCACGACCAGTCCGAGCGCCAGCAGTCCTTTCATTGTGCGCCAAATCGAACAAACAGGAGTGAGCAATTCAATCCCAAAAGTGCTGGGATCGTCGAGATGCAGCACAGTGAAAAGCTACGCTGCTTGAAAGGGTGACCAAGAAGAGCACTCCTTGTTTGTTATATCTGTCGAAAACCCGTAACAAACAAACTCAGACAATTCACACCAACAATCATAATAAACAAAAACGCACGTCACGAACTTTGAACTAGCTGACTGACTGATGAGCCCGTTTGCGACTCTTCCGGATGAGCTTGTACTGCGCATCCTGGCACAGCTGCCCTCCGTGGACGTGCTCGCCGTCTCACGCACTTGCCACCGGATGCGCACTGTGGCGCGCGACCCAACGCTGTGGCGGCAGCTGCTCTTCCGCGATTTCGACTGCAGCGCACTCGCCGTGCTCCCCGTCGCAGCGGCTGCTGCCGAGACCATCCGTCATCATCAGCAGGAGCAGCACAAGCAGCGCACCGATCCATGGATCCAAGCGCACCCATTGCGTCGGGAGGCTGGGACTGAGCCACGACGTCCGATCGCAGTGCCGTTCAATCTGCGAACGCGATTCCTCATGCCATCTGAAGCACCTGCGACGCAACAGGATGCAAGTCAAAGACCAATCGCCACCTTTACAGACTATACTCAATGCTACGGGCGGATTATCCCGGTCACTGGCGTGTCCAATATCAAGTCCATCCGAGCACTCCTCACCAGCTTGCTCCGAAACCCTCCGGAAGGGCTCAGCACTGTCCTGTTCCATCGGGAACTTATTCTGTGGTACGAGGCAATGCACCGAAGGTATACCCGAATCATGCGGCGACTGCAGCTGCAGCATCTCCAGTGCGAGTCGTCGTACACGTTGCCGGACGACCCGTTTGCCGATCGGTGGCAGCTGTGTGCTGATGACGAAGCCATGCGTCTTCAAACGCCAGAGGTCGAGTTTGACACGTCCGAGGACGACGACCTGCTCATTCTGTGCCTCGGCGAGAAAATCAAGCATGAAGACGTTGCGAACGGACTCGATACCAAACTCACTCTGGTTCGAGGGCCGCCCGTGGCTCCAAGACCAGCTGCATCCCTGTCAACTGCTACTCTTCGATTGATTGCCATGTCTGGCTCTGACATGGAGCGAACCAGCTCTGCACGCAGCAACATCAGTGACGACGCCAGTGGCGATTATGCCAGCGTGAACGACGCTGACGAAGAGGATGATGGCGAGTATCAAGCCAGTCTATCCGAGGATGAAGCAGAAGAAAGGGATGAGAGCGATGACGCTGACGGTAATTCAGCTGAAAACGGCGAGGAGGGCGAGGACGATCCAACCGCGCTGCATCCTCCTTCGCCGCCCATGGCCGAGTCCCCGTTGCCATCGCCACTGCAATTCTCTGCGCCGGAACACGCCTCAAACCACAGCAGCATTCTGCAACCACCGAACGCTGTCAACGCGACCCCGTTCGCTCCCATTGCAGACCCTCCATTGCCGGTCGACGCCGCCGTGCCTTGGAGAACCTGCTTCTTTGACCGTCAGCAGCTGGAGCACCACTGGGCTCTGGGTCGCGTGTGTGCACACTTTGCGTTCCAAGCTCACGTCAAAGAAGCATCCATCATCTTCCTGGAGCTGTGCCACGGCAACATGCGAATCCTCTCGATCTCTCAATGTCGCAACCTGCGAGTCTGGAGCCTCGAGACCATGTCTTGCTTGCTTTCCTTGGACTTTACCGGAAAAAACCGGTTTGACTGCGCTGTGGCCAACGACACAACGGTCTGCAGCGTGGATTTTGTCGAAGACCGTCGGGCGACTGTGATTCAGCTGTGGAATGCTGAAACGGGCAGCCTCTCTGCCACCCTCGCAGGCCATCTGATGCCGGTAGCAGCGTTGGCCATTCTCCCGCATGCTCACCAACTCCTCAGCTCTGACGATGCGCATTGCGTGCGGCTGTGGAACATTTCCTTGCCACAAGCTGCGTTTTGCCTGGCTGCTGTTCATCTCGCCTCAAGGCCATCACTTTTGCTGACATGGGAGTTGTGTCTTTGTGTCACCACGGCGACTAGCTCTGACGCTGGCTTGATCCGACTATTAGAACCCACGACTTGGCTTGGCGATTCCGGTGCTGGCGACACATCCACGCAGCAGCCTTCACCAGCAGAAGCTGGATCCGCCCCTGCTTCCCCGCCACCTCGAACGGCATCGTGGAAGGGCGCCGTATCCGTCCTTGGCAACCAAGTCTACGCCGTCGACGGCGCCACCTTGCATTGCCTTTCGATTCCGTCCTGCGCGCTTCAGTCCTGCTCCCACTCAAGCCACACCTTGCTGCACGAGCATCTGAGCAATCCCAATCTCATCCCTTTAGGCGAAGGTCAGCACCCGGCGCCCACCACAGTCCACTGCACATATGCTTCCATCCAGCAGTCCGCGCGCATGAACCTCCCCGTTTGCGTGCACGCATCCATGGAAGCTGTCTACGTTGGCCATGCCGATGGCGACATTTCTCGATGGCCGCTCAATTTCCCGGACGGACTGGACGACTGGCAGGGGGTGTTGCGAGGTCACGAAGCGAGCGTGTTTGCGCTCGACTCGTTTGGGCGTTCGCGTTTGGTTTCGGCGGCGTCTGATTTTGCCGTTCGCGTATGGAGCCTCACGACGCACGAGTGCTTGATAGTCACCCATCTATTGCCGCCCTTGGAGCGGGTCTTCTCGCGGTTGAACATGGTTTCGCTTCCCGAGCGAGTTTTTATCTCTGAGAATCAGTTTGGCGTGGCGCTTTCCAATGGAATGATCAAAGTTTGGCAGATTTAGACCGGGTTGTTTCTAATATCACATCGTTCGCTCTCATTGGTTTTTGGTTTGCTCAATTGTATTCGCATCGAGACACATTTGCGCAGAACAAAAAAAAACCGCGGAACTCTGACATTGCCACACTCAACAATCAGAAAAAACAAACAAATAAGAAACAGCAAAAGAGGAACTCCACCCCATTCAAAGTCGGATTTCACCACTTTGCAGTTGAGAGGCCAGCGCCTGATCGACCTTGACAAACTGCTTTGCAGAGGGACTCATAAAGTAGCAAACATCACCGGCAGTCTCCTTGGGATCAAAGCCTTGTTTCTGCAGGTCTGACTTTTTCAACTTGAAGGTGCCAGTCATGTCGTGCTCAGCGACCACGCGGAGGAAGAGCGGCCGTGCGTACACGGGCAAGCGCGCATTGACGCCCTTGAGGAGCATGTCGAGCTGTGACGTGGTGAGCTGAGTCTGAGGCGGTTGCTTGGGGGACTTGTGGCTGTTGGCGGACTCGTCGGCATCCTGGGTGGATTCAAACGAGATGGCCGCCATGCCGGCACGGCCGGGGTTTTGGGCCACCTCGACACCATACACGGAAACGCTGCAGTCCTGGCCAAGACACTCGCGGACGGCCTCCTCCACTTCGGTCGTCGACACGTTCTCGCCCTTCCAGCGGAAGGTATCGCCGACACGATCCTTAAAGTACAAGTAGCCTTCATCGTCCATCAGCAGCAGGTCGCCCGTGCGGAAGAAGCAGTCGCCCTTGGCCATCACATCACGAGCAAGCTTGCGCTCGCGGGACGCGGCAGCTGCGCCCACATAGCCGTCAAACTGGCGAAGCGGGCGGTTGGACACAATTCGGCCGACCAGCTCGCCAATTTCGCCGGGCTTGCAGACAATGCACAGACCAGTCTTGGGATCGCGGACGGGACAGTCGTTCTGCATGTCGTAGCGGATGACCTTGACGGGGTAGACGTTGGGCAAGATGATCGAGTTGAACCCGATGGCGCCCTCGCGGTTTTCCGTGTTGACCAGGTTGGCGTTGCCTTCGGTCGAGCCGTAGAACTCGCCAATCTGCGGGATGCGGAAGCGGGTTTGGAACTCGCGCCAGACGTCCGGGCGAATGCCGTTGCCAACAGCAAGGCGGACTCGGTGCTGCTGCTCGGCGTCGCACGGAGGTGTCGACAGCAAAAAGCGACACAGCTCGCCAATGTACTGAATGACTGTGCACTCAAACTTGATGCAGTCGTCCCAGAAGCGCGAGGCCGAAAACTTGGAGCGAACGACCACGGTCGCGCCGTTCACCAAGGCCTGTCCGATACCGGCAATGCCACCGGCAGAGTGGTACAGCGGCAAAGTGCAATACACGCGGTCGTGCTCGGTGATGCGGAAGAGCAGAGCCAGACTGTAGGCCATGTAAAAGAAGCGGTCGTGCTTGATCAGGGCCGCCTTGGGCAGGCCGGTCGTGCCGCTCGTGTAAATGTACAAGAGAACGTCGTGGAAGGTGCGAGCTGGGCGCGGCGGGGGTGCAGACGAGACGGTCGAGTTTTCAGACATGATGAACTGGTCGACGCGGAAGGGCGAGAACTCTGTGACGGCGCCTCTCGCCTCGCCAAAGGAAAACAGCGGGAGGCGGACTGCTGGCGGGGCCTTGTCAGCAGGCAGTCCCGCGGTGGTCGCTGCCGCGAGGGCGATGGCCTTGCTGAGGCCAGGGTAGACTTCGGCGAGCGTGTCGGACAGTTCTGAGGAAAAGATGACCGCCTTGGCGTGCGCGATGGCAATCGAATGCGTCAGCGACGCGCCCTTGAGATTAAAGTTGATGAAGGCAGTGACGGCGCCAATCTTGGCGAGGCCCAGCCACATTGCGACAAATTCTGGGCGCGATTCCATAAACAGCGCAACCACGTCGCCCTTCTTGATGCCCTGCGCCAGTGCGTAGTTTGCCACGCGGTTGGACAAGACGTCCAGATCGCGGAATGTAAACTCGCGGCCATGCAGTTCGTGGATGATGGCGACCTTGTCGGCGTACTTGGCCGATCTTGCGCGCTGCTCGAACAAATCCACAACGTTGATCCCGCGATGCGACAGATACTGCATCCTGACCGTGATGTCCATCAAGCAGTACAAGCTCCTATGCCAGCAGGTCCAGTTTCGTTGGAGGAAAGGATCAGTTATGAGCATAGAAAAGCCGGGGTTCGTCATCACATCCTCAACTCTCGACGCGCTTCCGTGGTTGAGCTCAGAGAGAGAGCGAGGACTCGGCTGTGACAACAGGCAAAAAAAAAAACGAAAAACAGAGGCGCTCGCTCACCGGATGTCGCGCGGGAGCGTCTTGGCCCACAGAGACGCAGTGCGACGCAGGGACGGGGAAACGACGACGGCGACAACGAGCAGCAGCAGCAGCAGCAGCAGCGACACTGCGACGACCACCATCATTGACCACTGTGGCTTGTTAGGGGGTTTACAGTGAAGTGTTGAGATGATGTTGCTGATCGATGTCGAGGGTTGGATGGGATTCGGCTGAACCGGACTCGCCTTGACAAAGTGAAATTGAAAGGACTGAGCTGAAATAGAATGGAGAAAGATCAGCACGTCGTTCAGAGTCGAACAACGCAGCGTAGGAGATGGAAGATGGAGATCGGAAGATGGAGACGAACAGCGAAGAAGGGCTGATGGGTAGGGGGAAAAGAGGCGTCGGCAACAAAAACGGGTGATTGAAACAAATCCCGACGGCTGTTTGGCGAGGTTGGCTTCCGTTCGAGGCAATGAGATTTGAGATTGAGGCGAGAGGCGGTGGAATCGCATGGGGATGATCGGGAATGAGAGTGGGCAGCATGGCGAGTCTAAAGAGCTGGATTTTTGGTTGTTTTGGATTGATTGAATCGCGAGCAATCCGAGTTTTTTTGAGAAAGAAGGAAAGACCGTCGTTACCGCTCAGACTGAGATGCGGTATCATCGCATTCGCATGGGATGATCGGCAATGAGAACGCCGGCATGACGAGTCTAAAAAGCTGGACGCCGTTTGTTTGGATTGCTTTGATTGCCGCGCTTCGTTGCAACTGTTCACCGAAATGGATTGGTGCAGCACAAAACAGAAACAGCATCCCAAACGCTCGCCATAAGCTACGATTGACGCGTGGATCTTTGGAGGCTTGTAGAAAAACAACAGCAAAAGGTTGGATTGAGCAAGAATCGAGAATTTCAAAAGCGAAACAAAGTAAACAAAACGAAAACAACAGGCTCAAAATACAGCGCTTGGTTGTGACAATCCGCCAAACACACGAAGCGAAACAATCGCACTGAAGCGGCGGCGGTGGGGGTGGGAGAGAAAGAGGGTGAGGGAGCAAACAACAGTGCAAAACCAAGCCAGATATCGCACAAACCCTCAGCCTGACTCGACGCTCGCTGCATCGGACGTGACTTAAAAGTCATCGTCCGGAGTCGTCGCCGAAATCACGGCAGGCCCATCATGCAACGGGGCGCCGTAAATCTGCGAAGTTTTGCGCAGCTTCAGCCGCGCACCGCCGCCAAGCCCGAGCACAAAGTAAAAGCCTCCGACAGCAATGGTAATCCAGCACGCGACCTGGCGCGCCGTCTCCCGACTTTGACTCAGCGGGGGCGAATCGGCACATGCGGCGAATGAAACAACGCCAAGACTGTCATGTTTTGTCAATTTGGGCAAAAGAAGGTGAGCGAAGCCTGCAGAGCCACATTCGGGCTTGAGAGTATCCATCGATTGGATGGAGAGAACCACGGTCTACGTACTACATCAGAGCGAGACCGAAACCACGCCAGTCAACGAGGAATCGGAACCAGTCCTCCATGATGGACAATGAGCAGAGCGCCAGCGTCAAAAGCAAGCCTGTAAACACGAACAGGAAGCGCGAAATGATGCGCATGACTTCCGGAATCTGCGAGCACGGTTTAGTGGAGGTGGCGGTAAATGGACAGCGTCAGTTTCGACAAGCACGCTCCACCGAAAATAAACAAGCACGAACGCAAGCGAAAAGCCGACTTACGCCGATCGGAGGCGACTTGATCATATCCACGATTTGGAGAATGTTGGCAACCACCGAGAATGTGATGGCAATCCGATCAGAGCAATCCTGCAAAAACAAAAAGGAATTCACGGGGACCAACAGCACACGTCTCAAATCTACGGGGATCAACAGCACACGTCTCAAATCTACGCCATTGCCCCAAAAGTCCTGCCTCGTACGTACGACTCATGGAATAATTAAGCACATCGCTCTTTTCATTCTTGTGAGAGAAAAACAAAACAGGAATGTACCGCAAGAAATCTGCAAAGGAGGATAAAGAACGCTCAATGGGACCTCGATAAAGTAAATAAGCGAAACTCTCCTATTCCTCACTACTTCATGGTAGCGTTGACAGGCTGAACTTCTTTGCCGTTGGACGCGGCAAAGTTCAGCGTTCGTTAACGCAAAACGCTGTTTTTTCCTACTTTTGCCTCCACCACCGCCGTGCGGGTCTGTCACCACCACTTTCAGAGTTGCCAAACTGCCTGTTGTCTCTTGGACTGAAAACCCAACGGTCGGGCGAGTCTTACGGTGAGGATTGCGTAGAAGACTTTCCACTTTTTGGAAGTGTCTGGCTTCTCGACAAATGTGTAGCTTGTGGCAGGACGCATTTGTGATTCCGATTTGTTTGTCGAGAAATTGAGCAAAAACAGTACGAATTCAAGAAAAAGGGAGACTGAACGGGTTTGGCATGGAGAGGGATTGCTATCGAGACGAGTTCTTCTGATGTCTGTTTGGCAGGAATCAAAAGTTCGGCTGCTGCTTCTGCAAGACCACCGACCACGCCAGAGAGAGAGAGAGAGAGAGAGTTGCACCCAGGTCCAGTCGTGTTGCTGGTGTCAAACCAAGAACCTCATACAACCCCGACAATCGGGAATAGGCAACAGTGTATTGGCGGCTGAAAAACAAAACTATCGACATGCTCGAATCGGGCTGCCTCTCGCTGAAGGCTAGCCGATCGCACCGAGATAAAAGGTCGCAAAGTCGCAGCAACAGCACTGTCGAGTTGACTAGCAGATAAAAATAACAAACACGCAGAGATTGCCATCGAAACCAAGTGCATTTTTAGTTCTCGATCAGAATGCCAATAACGCCCTGAGCGATGCGGGAGCCAGCGTTGCCTATCCATCGAGCGAGTTTATGATTTTCGAGGAGGGGTGAGACAAAACCGAAGCAAGCCAACCATCGAAAACACAAGCACCAATCCAACGCGTCCAAATCCAAACAAACGTACCGACGGGCTGAGTGACGCAATCATCGGGGTTGAGGTGGAGAATGAAAGCACGGCCAATGACAGAGGTGATGCCGTTCAGCTTGACGAGCTCGTTGACTTCTAAGCTCGGCGTTGTCAAACCAGAATTTCAAATTCACAAACAATTGTTAGAAACGACAAACATCCCTTCGAATCAATCACGCGGTCCAATCATACCATCTCTCACACAAAGCTCTATCTCACTCAAGTACTACCCTCCTCTTCTCATCAGGCTAGTCACGACAAGTCACGACAACCAAGAAGTCATGAGGGGGCTCCCAAATTGAAGCCCCCTTTTTTTGCTATCGATCGCCTTCCTCGCTCGCTCGCTTCTTCTCCATCGCCCGGGGGTGTTATTTTCGAATGGCGTTCTTCATATCCACTTCTCGTTCCTTCTTGTATGAGAATCGGCGCCGGGAGAGGAGGCAGTTTGAAAACGAAGCGCCAATCCCAAATAGCCGCTCATCATCATTGCCGGCCAATAATCCGTCTGTCAGTCTCACCAAGCGACCCAAGCCTCACAAGCCTCACAAGTCTCACAAGGCCAAAATGCACCATCAAACGAGAGGGTCGGTGTCGTACCATCGTAGACAGCGTTGCCGTTGGCGTCGGCCTTGATGTTGCCGAGGTCGCCGACATGGCGGACTGCAGCGCCAGTGCCGGGGCACGCGTGTGTCACATTGAAGGGGTTGTAGTGGCCACCCGAGGCAAGACCCTGGGCGTCCAGCGCGCCGAGCTCGTGGATGTGGAAGCCGTGCACGCTGTTCGCTGCCAAGCCAGTGATGTTTGCCGTGATGCGCGTCAGCTGCTCGGACTGCGGAGTTGAGGATGGTAGCAGCGTCGGAGATTGTCAGTCATCTGTCCTCTTCCCTCAACCCCCTTCTCCCCTCACTCAGCCTCCATCGCTATCTCAAAATGGTACTTACCACAACGTCGAGGCGGATGGTGCCCTGGGCGACATTGCCTTGGGTGGGGGTCAGCCAGACGGAGGCAGACTTGACGCTGATGAATTGGGCCGAGGCGCAGGCGGCGAGCGCGAGCACGGCAACAGTCAGAATTGCAGCAGAGCGCATTGGTGGATGGTTGTGGAAGGAAACGAAAAATGTAGACTAATCCTCACTAGTTTCGAGGAATTATCTGATGAATGCTTGATACCAAGCGCCAAGTGGCTCAGAATCGCAGTGCCATGTCGTGCTCGCCGCCGCTCAGTCCACTCTTTACTACTGTACTGCTTCAATGTCAACGACCAGCCATCCGGCGGCTGATGTGGATGCAACTCGACAGCAGCTCGAGTTCTATTACAGCGATGCAAATCTAGCACGAAATGGATTCCTAATGCAGCGCATTCGCGAAAGTCCCGATGGATGTGAGGTCTTTGTCGTCCATGTGAAGTGAAATGGGCTCAATACTGACTCTGGTCCCGACGCGTACCAATGCACCTGACAGACGTTCCTGTGGCAACTATCGCATCGTTCAATAAGCTGGTCGCCCTCGGGGCGGACGAGTCGCTCATTTTCGCTGCAGCTCAAGCATCGCCAGCACTCGAGGTGTGTGTACGTTCCCCCGAAACGTGCAAAGCCTGCCGAAAGTTATATCAAAACTTGCACACGAGAGCAACATGATTTACCTGGCATGAGGTGTTGGGTTGGTGGTGGCGGAAATCACGCATCGCTCGTTCTCACCCGTTTTTGACCAAAATTCAGGTCGATGCAAACAAAACGGCAGTTCGACGAAGAACACCGATGCCCGCGGCGTACAATGCCGACGATCGCACAATCTATGTGGTACAGTGTGTCCGAGAGCTGGAGCGCGAGGCGTTTGCGTTCATTTTCTGATACAATACTGACACGACGGTGTCTTTGGTTTTGTTTCCGCTCGTGCACTTGCAGGAAGGCTTCCCCAAGACAACGACAATCGATCATCTACGAGCGTTCTTTGAGCCGTATAGTCACGTTTTGGCCGTTCGATTGCCAAAGTTTCATGGCGGCGATCCAAAAGGTTTGTGTGCAACCTTTTGCAGTTTCCATTTGCTCTTCTGCTGACTGCCGTTGTCGCGATGCATTCGTAGGGTTTGCATTTGTCGAGCTAGCGTTGCTTGAAGACGTTGATCGCGTGTTGCAAGAGCTGAGCGACCGACCATTTTCGGTGCCGGACGTGCCGTCCGATCCAAGTCTTGCTGAACCATTACGAATCATGACATTGTAACGCAATCGTTCGACTTTGATAGGTGGTGCGACGATCAATGCTGCTTTGGCTCACTGTGTCATGCCCAATACTTGTGCCGCCGATGCGCCAGAGCCGAGTGGTCGGACTTTAAGGATTCGTACAAGCAAATAAAAAAGCTCGTGGCCAAGGAGACCAAGAAACAGCGTGCAAAACAAACGCAGCAAGCGCTAGTTCTCCCGCCTGGGCGAGCTGCTGGTCAAGTGAAGAGTGTACAGGAGCCGTATCGGACTCCATTTGTCCCAGGCGTGATTATTCAGCTCACCGAGCTGTCTCCAGACTCGAGTAAAGCTGGAATTGCGGCAAGTACCAATTTGAAGCTGTGAGACTCAGCTTTGGTCGTGGCTAACCATCATGCTGCCGTACAGAAAGAACTTGCGCATCATGGGCAAGTCAAATTTGTCGAGTACACGGCGGGTCAAGCAGTGGTACGGCTTCCTTGTCCATTTGTCCATTTCTGTTTTTTGCTCTTCTCTCATTTCCACACACAATAGGCAAGTGTACGCTGCGTTGATGCCAGCTCTGCGCAGGCCATTCTCCGAGCAGCCCATTCGCAAGCTTTTCCGTTCAAAGTTTCTGAACTACGAGGCAAGTTTGGAAGTCAAGCGGGGGCGTGCCTCACTTCTAGAAGCTGTACTTATTCTGTTGTGAATTGGTGCTCCTGTTGCCTGTGCGCAGGTGGTGCCGAGAAAAAGTTTTGGCAGACGCTTTGGTCGGCTCAGGATGCCAAACATTCTATAAAGCCTGCTGTGAAGAATGAGCCTTTCAAGAGCGAGGTTGAGCCAGAGCGGCCAGCAAGTCATACCGCTGCCAGCAAGAGATCGCTCTCTGAAAGTCTGGAAAGCGATGCGATCGTTGCCGCCCAGCCAAGCTCGTCAACGACGACAGAAGCACCTGCTGCCAAAAAACGGCGAACAACACGGCGCAAGAAGAAATCTCACGGCGCTGCAACTGGAGCGGCAGCACGCGTCCACACGTTCTTTGAGATCGAGGAGGAGGAGCGCGACGACCAAGGAGAGAATGAGTAGCTGCTGTGCAAGTTATGTTGGAGGGGGATTAGACTCGTTGCTTTGCGTGCGCTGTACCTTCAGCTGGAATTCAGAATGTTTTTTTTTTTCTTTGGTACACCACAAAGTTCTCGTTCGGTCGTAACTGTGGCGACGAAAAGAACAAGAGCAACAAGAGCTGCTCTACACCCCCCCCCTCAATGTCTCCAACATCGTTGCGAAAGCAGACCAACCAAGTGTAGTCGCATGCTGTTGGTCTGCGGAAATCTGAATTGAATGGAAACACGCCCAATGCTCTCGCTGCTTTTGCTCTCCGAGTACGAGCACGCTAACTTTGAGCACGAAGACCGAGCAAGAATTTGAAAAGAAATGGAGTAAAAAAATAGGGGGAGTGCTGGCTGAGCCGCTTTGAGGTTTGAGGTGGGGTGAAGTTCAGTTTTTTTTTTTTTTGACCAATGTCGTTTCTGGGTTTCGGTTTCACGCGGAGGACTCCGCGCGAGTTGTATGACCACGTCAAGAATGCCACGGGATATCTATCGTAAGAGAAATAGCCGAGTTTATGACGGCTCGCTGTGAAAGCCCGGATACTGACGAAATGGACGGACAGTTTGTCCGACAGCTTGATTCGTGCGACGGAAGCGCAATCGGTTGGTGAAGCACTCAAAGTGAACAGGACGCTCACGAAGATCAAGTAAGGTGGCCTGTGCTTGTGAGTGGGTGATCCCGCAGCAGCGTACTGATGCAGGGGGACGGACAGTCTGAATGAGAATCTGTTTGGCCCCGCTGGAGCGAGCGCGATTGCGGAGGGACTCAGCATGAACCAGGGGCTGACGAATCTCTAGTACGTAGACTAACGCATGTGAGTCGGCGATGCAGCCAGAGAGCATATGGAGCGACTCACTGATGGAGGGGATGGACAGTGTCAACTACAATGAGATTGGCGATGCTGGATCGCAGGCGTTTGCTGATGCACTCAAAGTGAACAGGACAGTGAAGGAGCTCCTGTAAGTCATCTCTCACTTTGACTGATGTATGTGAGTCTGATCCAGCAGAGATCAATTAGAATGCTCACTGACGGAAGGGACGGACAGTCTGCAGAATAATCTGATCGGTGAAGCTGGAGCGCAGGCAATTTCGGAGTCGCTCAAAGTGAACAGAACGTTGACTACGATCGGGTCAGGCATCTCACGCTTTCTGATGCATATGAGTGGGGCTAACTTTGCAACAAGCAGCAGCAGCAAGAGTGCTCACTGATGGTGGGGATGGACAGTCTGGGCTGGAATGAGATTGGTGATGCTGGAGCGAAGGCGATTTCTGAGTCGCTCAAAGTGAACAGATCGTTGACTTGCATAGGGTATGTCATCTCAATTTTGACTCGTGCATGTGAGTGGGAAGTTAAGCAGAGGACATTGAAAGTGCTCACTGATGGTGGAACTGACAGGCTGACTGGAACCCACATTGGCACTGTTGGAGCACAAGCGATCGCTGAGGGACTCGCAGTGAACAGAACGTTGACTTCGATCGGGTATGGCATCGCACCTTGACTGATGCATGCGGATGATCCAGCAGAGAGTTGAGCGTGCTTACTGATGGTGGGGAACGAACAGCTTTGGTGAGAATCAGATTGGCGATGCTGGAGCGAAAGCAATTGCTGAAGCACTCAAAGTGAACACGACGCTGACTTGCATTTCGTAAGGCGTTTCATTTGGCTGGTTTATGCGAGTGGATGATTCAGTCGACGCCATTCAGAGTGCTCATTGCTGGAGGCGCTGGACAGTCTGATACAAAGTCAGATTGGCGATGATGGAGCCTGCGCGATTGCTGAGGCACTCAAAGTGAACACGACGTTGACTGAGATCGTGTAAGCCATCTCACCTGTTCTAATCCACGGGGCAGTAAGAGTGCTCACTAAGGGAGGGGGGTGTGTGCGGACAGTCTGTACACTAATCAAATTGGCGACGTTGGAGCGCAAGCGATCGCTGAGGCGCTCAAAGTGAACAAGACGGTTACGAAGATCCAGTCAGTCATTTCATTTCAATTGATGCATATGAGTGGGTGCATTCAACAGAGGCATTCAGAGAACTCATCGAGGGAGCGGGTGGACAGTCTGCAACAGAATCAGATAGGCGACGCTGGAGCAAAGGCGATTGCGAAGGCACTCAAAGTGAACACTACGGTGACTACACTCCGGTAATAATTGCTTCAAGATGCTCTTGAAGTTCGTTTGGCTCAGGCTCACGCTACAATCTGACGATGACACCACACTAGTTTGTGGGACAATTTCCTGACGAAGGCTGGAATCAAGGCGCTCAAACAAACGGGCAACATCCTTTGTTCATTTGTGTAAGCCCCCGCATCTTTATTGATTGTTTGCTTCATCCAGGCAAATGAAATACGAACGACCAACCTTTCAACTTGGGTGGTGAAATAGGGACAGTATTGGGGCGGATGGACTTGACCAGCAGCGTGTTCCATCGCCTGCCGACTTGGCTCAGATTGCAGCTCGTGCAGCAGCAAACGCTCAGCCTCAACCTTCTGTCGATCTTGCAACCGAGAATCAGCAATCGCGCTCCGATCTCGCTGACAGCGACCAAAAGGTCGCTGCCAAAGACCAAAAGGTCGCTGCCAAAGACCAAAAGGTCGCTGCCGAAGACCAAAAGCTCACTGTCAACGACCAAGAGCTGCAACAACTTCGCTCAAATTTCGCTGCCAAAGACCAAGAGCTGCAACAACTTCGCTCAAATTTTGCCGCCAAAAGCCAGGAGTACACGACCAAGCTCACTGCCAAAGACCAAGAGCTGCAACAACTTCGCTCCAGTCTCGCCGCCAAAAGCCAGGAGTACACGACCAAGCTCACTGCCAAAGACCAAGAGCTGCAACAACTTCGCTCCAGTCTCGCTGCCCGAAGCCAGGAACTCGCTTCCAAAGGCAAGGAGCTCGCTACCAGAGACCAGAGGCTGGCCACCAAAGACCAAGAGCTGCAATCACTTCGCTCCAATCTCGCTGCCAAAAACAAGGAGCTGGCTACCAAAGACCAGAGGCTCGCTGGCAAAGACCAAGAGTTGCAACACCTTCGCTCCGATCATTCTGGCAGCGACCAGAAGCTCATTGCGAAAGACCAAAGGCTCGCTGCCAAAGACCAGGAGCTGCAACAACTTCGGTCAGATCTCGCTACCAAAAACCAGAAGCTCATTGTTCAAGACCAGGAGCTCGCTGCCAAAGACCAGGAGCTGCAACAGATTCGCTCAGATCTCGCTTTCAAGGATACCGAACTGAAATCAGCCTTTGGTCGGATCGAAGTACTCGAGCGCAGCCAACCAGCGCTTGAATCCGCGTCAAGTTTTGACGAAACCATCCCTCGAGTTCCTTTTGCAGTTCTTGTCAGCGCCACGAACAATTTTGCTGCGGATTCCCTGCTCGGCGAAGGTGCATTTGGTCGTGTGTACGGCGCTAGTTTGCCTGGACCGCCTGTTGCGGTCGCCATCAAGAAGCTGTCCGCCGAATCCAAGCAAGGCGCTGCCGAATTCAAATCGGAACTGGACTCTTTGTCGAAGTTCCGCCACGCAAACATCATTGCCATTCTGTCGTATGCTGAGGAAGGCGACGAGCGATGCCTGGTCTACGAGTTCATGCCGAATGGTTCGGTTCGCGATCGCTTGAATTTGAAGAACAACACGCCTCCGCTGACCTGGTCCCAGCGCCATCGTATTGCTGTCGATGTCTCCCGCGGCATGCACTATGTCCAGACAGCCTTCCCCGATCATGCACTGTTCCACCTCGACCTCAAGACGGACAACGTTCTGCTCGACGCGCATTTCAACGCAAAAGTGTCGGATTTTGGTCTTGTCCGTGCTGCCAAACACCTCGATGAGAAGAGCTACGTTCGCACGCAGAACGTGCAAGGCACCGCTGTTTACATGTGTCCGGAGTTTCTTTTCGAGGGCAGAATGACCACCAAGACCGATGTGTTTGCATTTGGCCTGATTCTGCTCGAGCTATTGACCGCCGCCAAGCCTGGGCCCAGACTGAAAAACGAGATGCGGAAGGCTGTCAAAAACCAAAACATCGTTGAGATGCTGGACTCGGTTCTCAAACCAACCGAAGCAGAGCTCCCGAGCATCAGCGAGCTTGTCACTCTTGCGCTCGAGTGCCTTGACGAAGCTGCCGATGAACGTCCGTCTTTCGGCCGCCTCCTTGCGACATTGGATCCTTGATGACAGATGGAAAATTGTTGTGTATTGTTGTGTATCAGCATGAAGTTTCAGCATGTCCTAGTTTGTTACGAACTCGGGAACGAGGGGCGTCGGTTCATAGCATGCTCAACAGCTCAGCTTGAAAGAATGCCCGCGTCATTTGGGAGACTCGAAACGAACACAGCTGTTGATCCGATGTCGGTTGTGTCAATGCGATGCGTTCGGGATTGTCAAGTCGACAGTTGTGGGACGATGTTGGTTTGGATTGGCTTCTGAGCACATTCTGGCTCGATTTGTACAAAACCTTTCCCTTGTCTTCGAAGTACTCTTTCCTCCCCCCCCCCTCCTCCCACTCACCCAAGCTCGACTTTTTCAGCCAGAGACCGTGCTGTTTCATGCCTTGTATATATTGCTGCAATGCCACCCCAGCTCTGATTCACGTCGTTTAATCTCCGTGGCTGCTTTCAACGCGTCCAATCGCCGTCGAGCTCGTCCCAGCGCTTTTTCATTGGTTTGCATCATTTTCATTGCCATTTTCGCCATTTTTCAGCTTCAGTCTTCCTTTCTTTCTTTGCTTTTTCCATTCTCTCTGCTTGTTCTTCTTTGCTGAATGTAAGGTTTTATGGGAAAGGAAGGGTGGTGGTTGAGGTCGTTGCTCACGACGGTGTGGCTCACCCCTCCGCAATTGGAAGCAGAACGGTAGCTCTCTCTCTCTCTCTCTCTCGACCCGGTCAAGCCGTTTGAATTCAATCACAAATAAGCCCAGCTCGCAAAAGAGAAATGTCCTCAAGCGTCGCCATCAAGCCACAGGGATGCGAGTGCACTGCCAAGTCTGCGAATCCGGCCGCGTTCGCCCCGGAACGCTCCGACTCGCAGCAGAAACCAGCCTCATCATCATCTGCAGCGACAACCACTACAATGACAAGTGCACCGTCGTCGACGGACAAGACCTCCTCCCACGAAACTTTATGCCGTTGCTCGCGCATTGTCTCGCGGTCACCAACCCTAATCCAGTCATTGGTCGACTTTTGCGTCTGCGGACTTGCAGGATGCTCGTGCTCCAACCACGACCACCTCACTGACAATGACAAGGAGGCCGTGCATCATGTTCGCAGCAAGCTTCTGCCATGGGAACCAACGCTCCACTTGCTCATGGACAATATCGCAAACGATGCCAAGCACATTGCCAAAGTTTTGCTGCTCCAAGATCCTCAAGGCAGCAGTGGTGGTGACCAGCCCCACAACAACAACAGCAACAATAACAACACCAAAGGACTGGCAGAATCCGCCGATCGCCCTGCAGCCACCCACCTCGAAGACGACCGCTCCAAAACCAACGCTTCCAAACCCGAAAACAACATTCAAGGCGTTCGAATCATCAACAACAGAATCGAAATCGCCACCAGGGCTAGCGCCGACGACCAAGATGCTGCAGGCACCCTCGCACAGCTGCTTGCACTGCTCCAGCAGAACGGCATTCAAGCTCGCCCCGCCACCGACAACGCGCCACCCGTTCTTCGTGGGCAGCGCCAATCGAGCCTGGCCCGGTTCCTACCGGCGCGCCTCGCCAGTGCTCGAAACCTTTTCCGAAGCGCCAGTCGCATCAACCCCTTTGCAAGCCGGCAACGAGCAGCCTCTACTTCCACCGTCAACATTGAGCTCGTCCACGTCCCGGACACTGTCCCTCAGCTCAGCACTGCTTCAAAATCACCCACGGGGACCCCCGCACGACGTGTCGCCCTGTCTGTTGATGGCATGACGTGCGCCTCCTGCGTCAACTCGATCGAGTCGGCCATTCAAGTTCTTCCGGGCGTGCTGCACGTCACTGTTTCGCTTTTGGCGGGCCGTTGCGATGTCGACTTTGATCCGTCGAAAGAGGCCGCCGTGTCGGAAGAATCGATTTGCGCAGCCATCAACGACATGGGCTTTGACGCATCCATCCTGCCGCCACCGCGCGAGTCTGGCAAGGCGGTGCTGGAGGTGACTGGCATGACATGCGCCTCGTGCGTTGCCTCCATTGAGCAATCGATCGGACGGCTGCCCGGCGTTGAATCCATTGCCATCAACCTGCTCGGCGCGACCGCACACGTGAGTTTTGCGCCAGAGACAACCAACCTGCGCACCATCATCGAGGCCATCGATGACATGGGCTTTGGTGCCAGCCTGCGCAAGGGCACGAGCGCTTCGGCTGAAGCCAAGCACCGCCGCGAGCTCGAAATTGTGTCCTTGCGCCGACAGTTTCTCTTCTCGCTCGCCCTGACCATTCCCATCTTTTTGATCGGCATGCTGTTTGAGCTCATCGGTGGCGCTGTCTGGGAGCCGTTCGAAACCAAAGTCGTGCGAGGCGTCACAGTCCAACTCGTCATTCTTCTCGTTCTGACCACCATCGTCCAGTTTGGCGTGGGCAAGCGGTTTTACTTTGGCGCATTCAATGCGCTCAAGCACCGAACGGCCAACATGGACGTGCTCGTTGCCATTGGCATCACGGCAGCGTACGCCGTGTCCGTTCTGGTCATTATTCTGCGGCTGGTCGATCCGATGGTCGAAACGATGCAATACTTTGAAACGTCTGCCATGCTGATTACTTTTATTGTCATGGGCAAGTACCTCGAAGCACGCGCCAAGGGCAAGACCAGCGAGGCGCTCACAAAGCTGTTTGAACTGCAGCCGTCCACGGCCGTTCTCCTCGAGCTCGAGCCGTCAACCACCAAGGTCGATGAGAATTCTGCTGCTGATAGCCCCGCCCCGGCGGCGCGTGTCTACACGGAAAAGCACATCCCGATCGAGCTGGTCAACGCGGGAGATTTGCTCAAAGTCCTCCCCGGTGCCAAGATGCCGGTTGACGGCGTTGTCGTTTGGGGCACGGCCAGCGTGGATGAGAGCATGATTACCGGCGAATCCTTGCCAGTGACAAAGAGCGTCGACAGTCCCGTCACTGGAGGCACGGTCAACTTGAACGGTGCGCTGCACATTCGTGCGACCCGTGTTGGCGAAGACTCGACTCTGGCGCAGATTACCACGCTCATCGAGAATGCTCAAGCATCCAAGGCCCCCATTCAAGCCTTGGCGGACAAGGTTGCGGGTCGATTTGTGCCGGTGGTCGTGTCCCTGGCCCTCGCAACGTTTGTCGTCTGGCTGGTGGGTGGGCCTCGAGGTCGTGGACTCTGACTTTTTCCCAATGAATGCTTCTCCTGCGTTGTTTGCCATCGTGACCTTCATCACGGTCATGGTGATTGCCTGCCCGTGCGCCTTGGGCCTTGGAACCCCGACAGCCGTGATGGTCGGAACGGGTGTCGGCGCCAGCAACGGCGTTCTGATCAAGGGCGGCGAGGCGCTGGAGAAGGCGCACAAGACCTCTGCCATCATTTTTGACAAGACAGGCACGCTCACGCACGGCAAGCCGGCTGTGACGCACCTCCGGTTCCTTGGCGCATCCTCATCGTTGTCGTCGGAGGCCCAGTTTGAGGACTGGCTCGTCTGCGCCGAGAGCGGCAGCGAGCATCCGCTCGGCCGTGCTATCGTGCAGCACCTGCAAGCCAAGAATCCCGCTGCAGCCAGCATCGACGCTTCTCGGATTGGCGGCTTCCGTGCCGTTTCAGGCAGAGGGCTCGAGTGCGTGGTGGACGGGTCGCGTCACATTGTTGTTGGCAACCGCGCCTGGATGACGGAAAACAACGTCGCAATCTCTGAGGCGGTTGAGTCTGACATGGTGGCGTTGGAAGGGCAAGGCCACACGGTCATGCTCGCCGCGGCTGGTGCCACAACTTCAGCGGCCACGCCAACCTTTGAGCTGCTCGGCTTTGTGGCGGTTGCCGATACCATCAAGCCAGAGACGCGCAGCGTCGTGGAAATGCTGCGTCGCCAAAAGATTGAGGTGTGGATGGTCACAGGCGACAACGAGCGCACTGCACGCGCCATTGCACAGCAGGCCGGAATCACCAACATTTTTGCGCAAGTGCTGCCCGCGGACAAGGCTGAGAAGGTCAAGGAGCTGCGCGCCCAAGGCCACACAGTGGCCATGGTCGGCGATGGCATCAACGACTCGCCTGCCCTGGCGGAGGCTGATGTGGGGCTGGCCGTCGGCGCCGGCACGGACGTTGCGATCGAGGCCGCCGACATGGTCCTGCTCAAGAGCGACCTGCGCGATGTGATTGTGGCGTTCGACATTAGCCGCAAGACCTTCCGTCGCATCCAGCTCAACTTTGTCTGGGCGTACGGCTACAACATCATTGCCATCCCGCTTGCCATGGAGATTTTGTACCCCTTCACTGGCTGGGTCTTTCCCGCCTGGCTCGCGGGCCTTGCCATGGCCATGTCCTCTGTCTCTGTCGTCATGTCTTCGCTGGCCCTCCGTTGGTACCGCAAGCCGCGGATGGACTGAAACAAAAAAAGTGTTGTGTTTGTGGATCGCGTTGAAATCTTGCATTGGTGCGTTCGACTCTTTTTGGTCTTTTTTTTTCTGTTTTTGGTGTTGACTGTTTCATCCAACAATCGAAAATCATGCATGTTCAAATTCAATGTCACGGCGTTGTGAACGAAGCGGAGGGCAAAAGGATGGCGGAGTGTTTCAGTTGAAGGCCAGCCACGTCTCACCTCACCGCAACCAGCACAAACATCATCCCGACCACGATCATCATCTTAATCATAGTTATTAATTACAACGGTGGTCACAATCCAATAAATCAAGCAAAAATAATGCGACGTGAGCAAGTTTCAAAGCGGAAGAGGAGCGGCAGCTGTCCATCCCAACTGTCAACTGCTGATACCAGCTGCCTGCCTTCCATCTGCAGCTGCGGCATGAGTTGTTCCTTCCGCTCAACACTTCACTCTGCTCCTTCTCAAGCGCAATGCTACTTTGCTCAAGCGCCTGCGAGCTGAAGGAGCGAGCGAGGTAGAGAGAGAGACAGAGATAGAGAGAGAGAGCAAAACAGTCGCAACACGAGAGCAGTTCGCAACTCAACAACAACAGATCACAATCCCACTCTTCCTCTGATGCCTCGGCCACTTCTGCACTGCGCAAACATGCACCATGGATGTTCTCTACGCATCCATCAATCACTACTTGCCTGTCGCTGTCTGATCGCAGGTGATCCGTATTGCGATCTTTTGCTCAACACTGTGCTAAACTTGGATGTTTTTGGCTCAGTCTTCATTTTTGTTTTCTTTGTTCATTCAAAATCATCCACCCCGACCGATCAACATGCTCCGCCAGACACGCCTCCTGTCTGCAACGAGCAGCAGGATGATCTCAACACGAGCAGCAGCGGTTGCATCGTCGTCGTCATCGCTCGGCAAGGTCGTTCGCTTTGAGACTGCGAACGCGGAATCAGCTGCGAGCGGCACGCTGACCAAGGTCAAGAAGCCCCTGCCCAGCTCTGCGCGCGTGGTCATTTGCGGCGGCGGCATCATTGGCAACAGCGTTGCGTACCACCTGGCCAAGCTCGGCTGGAAGGACGTCGTGCTGCTCGAGCAGGGCAAGATTGGCTGTCTGACAACCTGGCACGCGGCGGGTCTGAGGCAAGATGCGGTCGACCTTCACAGAGACCAAGCTCTCGGATTACGGCAGCAAGGTCTATGCGAGCCTCGAAGCCGAGACAGGTACGTGATAACTTGTTTTTTTTTTCATTCCCCCCATCACAACGATCACAACTGAGGCGCAAAACCATCAAGTACCATCAAGTTCAGCAATCGCTTGTTTTACGTCGATCGTCGCTCTCGTTCCCGTTGGTCGCTCTCGTTCCGTTTCATTCCCCCCCCCACTTTTCTCCACTTTCTCCTGTTTCAGTTCCGTTGATCGCTTTTTTTTTTTTTCGATGGAATCGGTTCGTTTTTTGTTTGCGGTCAACTTCGTCCTTTTCTTTTCTTTTTCGCTCATCTGTTCATTTGTTGTTGTTTTTTTTTTTTTTTCATTTTCGGCTTCACTTGTTTTTGTTCTCGTTTCGCGCTTTCACTTTCATTTTTTTCTCGTCTTCTTCACTGTGTTCTCGTTTCATCAGGTTTTTGCTTTCCATCGCTTTTTGCATTTGTTCAGCGTGCTCTTCTTTTCGCTCTATTCTTTTTTTTGTTCTCTTTTTTAACTTCTTCCTGTTTTGTCACGTTTCAAAACTGTGGACATGTTGGCTGTTTTTTTGTTCACAGTTGAGCAAACCGACACTCATCAGACACACGCACACAAGCACACACACACCACGCAAAAGACACTCGGCGCAAAAGTCAGCTCGTCCGTTCGCATGCCAAGCAACGGGCAAAGTGGAAGAGATAAGGGGGAAAGCGAGGAAGGAGAAGGAAGAGGGAACTGTGGAAACCGCTCACAGTTACGAAGAAAGCAAAAGAGCGGACAAAAAGCAATGCTCCGCGCCAGTATGATGGCGAAAGCCGAGCATGTGCTCAAATGAGCAAAAGGAGAAAGCAGGGGAGACTTGTCGGAACATTTCGCTCCATTCGTTCGATCGCGTTGAAAAATCGGATGGAAGTGCAACGAGCTCCACTTCTCACTTGTCGTTTGCTGTTGTGTGGTGCTGTTTGGATGTTTACTTAGGCTGGCGGCAATGCGGCTCCATCACGGTCGCGCGCAAGGACTCGGAGCGCCTCACTCACATTAAGCGCAACGCTGCCAAGGCCGCCGCGTTCGGCATCAAGGCCGAGATCATTAGCCCGTCAGAAGTCTCAAAGCTCTATCCCATGATGCGCGTACGTCCATTGAGTTTGGTGCTGAAGCGAGAAAGAGATTATCGTCAGTTGCTCAGCTCATCTTTTGCTTTTGATTTTGTTTTGTGTGCTTGATTTTCAAACAGACTGACGATCTGGCTGGAGCATTGTGGCTGCCAGAAGACGGTGTCGCCACCTCAACAGACTTGTGCAATGCCTTCTCGAAGGGCGCCAAGATGAATGGCGTCCAGATTCACGAGGGCGTTGAGGTCCAAAAAGTCTTTACCAAGAACGGTGCCGTTTCTGGTGTTCGTACCAACGAGGGCGACATTGCCTGCGACGTTTTCGTCAACTGCGGCGGCCTGGTACGTGACGAATCGCTTTCGGGTTGCGTGTGTCGAGTTGTTTGTTTTTTTGTCTCATTTTTTGGATTTTTTTTTCGGCGTTGTCTCCCCTTCACCCTCCTCATCAGTGGTCGCGCGAGATTGGCAAGGTAACTAGTTGACACTATTGAAATGGGGGCCCCCATCATGGATTTAAACGGCTCACCCGTGCACTTCCCTCATTCCACTTTCTCTCCGACAGCTGAGCGAGCCCCAAGTCAACATCCCGCTGCATGCTGCCGAGCACTTTTACATTGTCACAAAGAACCTGCAGGGCGTCCACCCCAATTTGCCCGTGATGCGCGACCCCGACGGTTACACGTACTTCCGCGAATGGAGCGGCGGTCTTGTTGCTGGTGGCTTTGAACCAAAGTGCAAGCCCTGCTTCCACGATGCCATTCCCAAGCCATTCGAGTTTGAGCTACTTCCCGACGATTGGGATCACTTTGGTAAGTGGCTTGGGCTTGCAGCAACGACATTCAGCGCTTGTCTCACTTGCAACCTCTTTCCCCCCTCCCCTCTTTCCCGCTTTCTCTCTCTCTCTCTCTCAGGCGTGCTCATGGAGCAAATCCTCCATCGCATCCCCTCCATCGAAAGCGTCGAAGTTCGCAACATGGTGAACGGCCCCGAGTCCTTCACTGCAGACAACCAGTACGTCCTCGGCGAAACCCCGCTCATCCGCAAGTACTTTGTTGCCGCGGGCATGAACAGCAGTGGTATTGCAAGCTCTGCTGGTGCGGGCAAGGCGCTGTCAGAGTGGATTGTTGCCGGTCAGCCGACCATGGATTTGTGGGCGATCGACATTCGTCGCTTTGCTCCCTTCCAAAACAACAAGGCCTTCCTGCGCGAGCGCACCCTCGAGACTCTTGGCCTACACTATGCCATCCCGTGGCCCAAGCGCGAGCTCGAGTCTGGTCGCAACGTTCGCCGCTCTCCGCTGCACGACCGCCTCCAGGCGCGAAACGCGTCGTTTGGCAGCAAGTTTGGTTGGGAGCGCGCCAACTGGTTTGCACCGAAGGGCGTCGAGCCCGTCAATGTGTACTCGTTCAAGCGTCAGAACTGGTTTGAGCACGCGGGTCGCGAGGCCCTCAACACGCGCAACAATGTGTCCGTGTTTGACCAGACCTCGTTCGCCAAGTTCCAGGTCCAGGGCGCCGATGCAGAGCGCTTCCTGCAGCGCACCGCAGCTGGCAACATGGCCGTGCCGATTGGCAAGGTCGTCTACACGGGCATGCTGAACAACCGCGGCGGCTACGAGACAGACGTCACCATCACCCGCACCGCAGCCGACACGTACTTTGTTGTGAGCCCGACCGCTCAAGCGGTGCGCGATCTGGACTGGATGAACAAGAGCATTCTTCCCGACGAGCGTGTTTCCATCACCGACGTGACTTCCGCCTACGCCGTCATCGTCGTCATGGGCCCCAACTCTCGCACCCTGCTGTCCCGCCTCCAGTCGCCCAAGTGCGACTCCCCGACCAGCGAAAACTCTGTATTTGCGTCCAAGAACTTCCCCTTCGGCACAAGCCAGCTTGTTGATCTCGGTTTCACGACCATTCGAGCAACGCGTGTCACCTATGTTGGTGAGCTTGGCTGGGAACTTTACGTTCCGCAAGAGGTAGGTGGAGCGAGTGTGTGGCAGGGAGAGTTGTGAGAAAGTTTCGAAATATGTACCATCATTCTCACTTTGCTTTTTTTTTTTCCTTTGTTCCGCTTCTACCTTGTGCACGTCGCTAGATGGCTTGCTCCCTCTTTGACGAAATTCTGGCAGCCGGCAAGGACTTGAGTGTGGCGCTCGGCGGCTACTATGCCATCGATTCGCTCCGTATCGAAAAGGGCTACCGTGCATGGGGCGCCGAGCTCACATCCGAAGTGACGCCGATCGAAGCTGGTCTGTCGTTCGCCGTCGACATGAACAAGGGAGATTTCGTCGGTCGCGAGGCCCTCGTTGCCCAGAAGAAGAGTGGCGTCAGCAAGCGTCTCGTCTCGTTCATGGTGGATGACGGCGCCGAGCCGGGCGACCATGCCTGCATGTGGGGCGATGAAGCCATTGTTCGCGACGGCAAAGTCGTCGGATTCATCACCTCGGCCTCATACGGCTACGCTGTCGGCAAGACTGTCTGCATGGGCTTTGTCAAGAACGACAGCGGCGTTGCCGACCCGGCCTTCGTCATGGGCGGCAAGTATCAAATCGACATTGCCGGCAAGCTGTACAATGCCACTCCTACGCTCAAGCCCGCATATGATCCGACCAATGCTCGGGTCAACGCTTAATCTCGTTTGATTTTGACATGTTTGTTTTTTGCCCCATTTTTGATCCAATACCAATACAAAAAGAATAGAATAGAATCGTCAATGTTCTCAACAAAGCATATTGCCTACATGACTTGGACCATCATCTCGCTCTCATTCAGATGCAGGCTTCAAGGACGTGGGTTGAGCCTGTTGTTGCTGCTTCAATTGTTCAATCTGCTCCTTTGCTCGTTGCTGCGCTGCAAGTTTCTCTTCAAGAGATACTTGTCTGAATTGGTCCAGAAGTTCATCCGTCCATCGTCGAATCTACCGCACCAAACGTCACCAAAAAGTGGTAAGTCAACGGTCGTTCGATAGGGTCAATAACATTGCGTGTTTCAAAGCGGCTCAGACAAATTCAGCAAACAAGAAAGCTGGACGGTCTTACCGGTGAGAAGACATGTTCGTGATCGCCATAATCCGCCATCCAAACGCCCCAGAATACGACAACTGTTGATTCCATCGTGGCCAAAGCATCACACAGCCACCACATACAAGTCGTGTGAGTACACAGGTTGATCGTTGGTCATTGGGTTTGGTACATGTGCTTCTCAGTTCGAACGACTCCGGTCCCCAATCGCTCTGCCAGTGCATCGCATATTTGCACGTACATGCAGCAGCTAGACGCGCGATATTCTGAAGCGTTCCTTGGTTGTTGGGAAACAGCACGGGCAGCGACAGATCGCGCTCGGCTGCGTCGTCTTGAGCCTTCTGCTGGGCCTTCTTGTCCGTGCTGCTGGTGCTGGTGCTGCTGCTGGTGCTGTTCCGGATGGACTGTGGCCGAGTGAGTGCATATGGATGTGTGAGCGCCAATGCTGCAGCTGCACTGGGTCGACTGGCAGAAGCGCAGTGTCGCGGCAATCTTGGCACCAAAGTGACTGCTTGGCGCGAAACCCGACCAGCCAACGCGAACATGAACAATGAATACAAAATAGAGTGAGCCACGAAAATGACACATAAAGAGATGAGATGCAGTAGAAGGGGAAATTGTGTATTACAAATAGACGAAAAGCATGTCAACCATTACAATACACAAAACAAGTCCCTTCGACCAGCACGAGTGCAATCGGCCAACAACATTGAAAACAAGGAGGGGGGCACAAACAAAACATGCGAGAACAGTAAAGCACAGAAAGGAATACAAATGGATGGTAGCTAGTCATGTTGTTGCAAGTCAAGGTGGGAATTGCAAAAAGGGGAGGGGCGGGGGAAGGGTAGATAGCACTTGTAGGGCGGGGTAAAGCAAAAGGGTGCTTTGATTTACTTGTTCAATTTCTCGAGAACGAGCTCGTCGGTCAATTCGGCAACGTTGCGCACAGTCAGGTCTACGTGGTAGGGCTGCAATGACGGAATAACAACAACAACAAAAAAAAAAATGACGAAACAAAAAAATAAGAAAAAGCGGTGAGCGTTTTGCACCATCCCATCAACCACAATGGCATTCACGGTTGCTCAAAATACAACTCACATCCATGAGTGTCACCACTGCACCGTGGTACGATGAGATCTTGCCGCGAATGAGCATTGGCAATTTCTCGCCAATCAGGTTGATAAAAGCGAATCGCACAGTGTTGACGCCCTTGATGGTCACGTTCTGACGGAGCAGACCGAAGGCTGCCATGTCGTCTATAGTATCAGGGAATGTCCGCAGAAGGAAAACAATGAGAACCCATTCAGAAATGGTCAAGTCAGCGTCTGTTTTCTCTCAATGCGACACGACAATGCCAGGACGCCATACCCTTCAGGTTGGCACGCATCTGCTTGAGACCACCTTCACCAGAGCCAAGCAAGATAATCTGGCTGTTACGCTCGTCCAGGCGCAGCAGTGTCCTAAAGAGCCCGATGACAAAGCAAAAAAAAAAACGTCAACCTCAAAAGCACAAAATGGATAAAGCACGAGAGAACAATACTAAACGAATCTGTACCAGTTCTTGGGCTTGCTGTCGTTGCGGACTTCGGCGATCTCGGCCTTGAGATTGTCGACATCCACGAAATTGACGTGGTTGATCGTTGTGACAACTTGCTTTGGCGCTGTGAATGCCTTTGGAGTAAAGCCGCCACTACCACCGCCGACAACGCTGTTGGGGCGTTTGGCAGGTTGTTGCGCGTTGAGAGGCGAGGCACCTGCGGCGACCGCAGAGGGCTTGGCCTGTGATGCGTCGAAAGGAACCACCCGAATCAGTCAAAGGTTTCCAACAACATCTGTTCCCCCCCCCCCGCTTTTTGTTTTTTCTCGAGCCGTGCAGAATGCAAAATCCAAAACTCCAAAAAACGGACCACGCAACCCCAGCCTCAACGAAACATACAGAAGTGTTTCCAGAAGGAGCAGTCGCTTGCGAAAACTTGCTGCTAAAGTTGGCAGTGGTCAGTTCGGCCTTGTCCGACACGAGCATGTCGAGGTTGTAGTGACCCAAGAATTTAGACACGCTGCTCTTGTTGACGGCCACCTTGGCTTTGCGGGCACCGGGCAGGTTGTCGCCCATCCAGGTGATTTGGGCAAAGCGCGGTGCGGCGAGGCCACCCTTGGCGTCCTCGCGAATCTTGACAAGACCTGAGCGGGATGGCAAAAACGCAAAGTTGGGTTTAAGTTTTTGGTGGAAGACGCACAAAACACACTGCACCGACGACAAAGACACGCGCGCGAAAAGGTCAAAAACAAAAGCTCGGACATACCATAACCAACCATATCCTGGTTGACGAGCTTGGCAAGCTCCTCCACACCGCCAGAGCCCGAGCCGAGCATGCAAATGGTATCGACGCTCTTGCCCTCGTAGCCAAAGAGGACCCAGTTGAGAGTCGACGTGTCTGAGCGGATTTGCTGAACGACGCTGCTTGCGGCCGCCATATCGATAACACTGACCTTCTTGCCTTCGCCGCTGAGGGTCTTTGGCGCAGCTGCCTTTGCGGCGGCAATAGCTGCCGGCGAGGGTGCAGATGATGAGGAGGCGGCGGTGGAAGTGGGTGCGGTCGGCGTCGTGGGAGTAGTAGGAGCGACTGGGGCCGGCGACGACGGAGGCTTGGCGGTTGGTGTTTCGGAGGGCTTTGAGAAAATGTTGGCCACACGAGGGACTGGGCCCGAGCCAGAGCCCTGCAACGAACAAAAGGGGGGGATATCAGAGAAGAGTTGCATGGGTGAGAGGGCAAATTCACAGGCAAGAGGAGATCGTGTTGAAAAAAGAAAAAGAAAGTCACGAAAACTTACACCCTTGCCAGCGCTTCGTTGCTTGTCGAGCAGGACACTCTCCGACAGCTCATTCAAGTCGGAGGTCAACACATCCACGTTGTAGTGTCCCAAGAATGCGAGGATGCTCGACTTGTTGACAGCGACCTTGGCCTTCTTTGGCGCAGGGACGTTGTCGCCCATCCAGGTCACGAACGCGTACCGAGTGGCATGGATGGCCTCGCTGCGATCGATCAAGCGAGCAAGCGCTGCGTTGCAGAAGGAGCATGAAAGTGTCAGCAAACAGAAACCAAAAATGCACCCAGCTACAAACGAACAAAAGAACAAACGAAAACAACAGAAACACCTACCGTAGGCAACAATGTCGGCAGAAACGTGCTTGCGAATGTCTTCAATGGCATTGCCGGTGGCCAACAGACGAAGTTGGGCGACAGACTTGCCCTCGTAGCCAAGCAAAACCCAGCTGGTGGCACTCTTCTCATCGCGGACAGACTTGACGGCGGCAGTGGCCTTGTCTTGGTCGAGAATCTGGACCTGCTGACCCTCGCCAGAGACGTTGGTGGAGCTGCGAGGGGCTCCGCGGACACTGGCAAACTTGCCGAGACCGGTGGCGTTGACACTCGACTTGACCTGACGAGCAGCCTCGATAACGGCGTTTTGATCGACAGTCTTCTCAATCTTGCTCATTTGTTGCTGTTGCTGGGCAGTTTGCATGAGCGAAAGCAGCTGCTGGTACTGGATCGGCTGACCAGCTTGCGCCTGAGTGGCCGTGCCGTAAATGTCCTGGAGCTGCGCGGGGGAGACGGCGGACAGCAGCGCGAGGTATTGGCGGTACTGCTCCGTGTAGGCAGCAGCGGCAGCGTCGGCGGCAGGGTCGCTGACCTGCGGCGCTTCGTACAGTTCGGCGCCGTCGTAGCCGTAATTGTCGCCGCTCTCGAGCGGCGTCGCCGCCTGGTAGTCCTGCGGTGCGGCGTACAGATCGGCCTGGGCGCTCGCCGAGTATCCATGCGAGCCGTAAATGTCCAAATCGCCACCCTCGACGTTGCCCTCGCCATACTGGTACGGCTTGTAGCCGTCGAGCGACTCGTACTGGTTGTCTTCGATAAAGCTCTTCGACACCTCCGAGTGATCAATGTACATGGGTTCGTCCGACAAGGCGGTTGCTCGTCGCGGCGCTGTGGCGGGTGCTGAGGACGCAGGCTCCTCGGCCTCGCCAGTCAACGCCTCGCGCACCTTGGCCGTGACGTTTGCCTCGGTCATTTCGCGCATGTGGGACACGAGCATTTCGAGATCAAAGTTGCCCAAGAATTTGGACACGACGGCCATGTTTTTGGCGACTGTTAAAGGAGTCCTTGCTGTGAGTTTTTTGTGGGACGCGAAATCGAACGCAAAGTGGCAGGTATTTTTTTTTTTGCTCTTTTTTTACCTTCAGCCTTCTTCATCGAAGGGATGGCGTCTCCCATCCATGTAATGTAGCAGTACCTGATGGAAGAGAAGGGCAAGCAAAGAACGAGAGGCGATACAAGTCAGCGCCACAGTTTGAAGCTTTTGTCTTCATTCATTTACCTCCAAACACCATCCTGCTTGACGCGGGTCAGTGCGTATCCACCAACGTTGGGGCGCAGAATGCAAGCAAGCTGGTCAACACCACCGACGCCAAAGTCTGACAGAGTGATTGTGTCCTTTTCCTCCGAGGCGAAGAAGGCCCTGGGGACGGATCAAAATGCACAGCAGTTACAATGAGTGACAGTAATACAAGATGGGGTATTGCCAATGCCCAATGTCACCACACTCGCCACCTCGCTTGACACTTGACATGAGCGTCAAACAACAAACAAACCCAAACGAACCCTTACCAGTTGAGATCCGTGTGCGGGTTGCGCAGCAGAGCCAACGTCTCGAGCGCTCGACCTGTGATGACAAAGCACAATCGGAATCAAAAGGCAAGGCAAGGAGAGAGGTGAGTACTTGTTCATGCGTGAGTGCGAGTGGATGAAGAACAAGACAAAACGGCCGTTTCTTTTGATTTTTTTGCTGTTGATCGCACTCTGCACGAATGCTGCAAGAGGCACAGAGACAAGTGACCGATTGGCGATGGATCAGCAGCTGACAGCAGATCTTCACAGCAGATGCTGACGACAACAGAATCAAAACGAAAAAAAAAAAAAAAAACAGCGGTGTCACTCTGGCAAACCGCTAAAAACAGGGCCGAGTCATACGGAAAATGGACGGCGCAAAGTACCCAATCCTTAGGGGAGAAGTTCTACTCGTCCGTTAGTAAGTTTTTTTGTTTGCTTTTTTGGGTTTGTTTGTTCGTTGAAAGTCAAAGTCAAAGGGGGAGGAGCCCGGACGGGTCAGCAGGGCGAGCGGCAAACGAGCTCAAGTGCAACGACGACGACGAATCGTAGGACATGATGAATTCGCCGTTGGTGGTGGGTGTTTGGGGGAGGGTTGGGTGTGTGAGCAAATGTGATCTCGATGAAGGGGAAACAAGGGAAAAAAGGGCGAAACAAAAACAAAAAAACAAACAAAAATAAAATAAAAATAAAAAATAAAAATAAAAAAACAGAGAGACGTCAAACACCCCGCTTGCACAGAGCAGCAGAACGAGAGAGCGACAGAGCAGGAGACGGGAAATGAAGGCGTGCATGCGGTTCAATGGCATCGGCACAAGTCCGATCCTCCGCCGTGCCATCAAAACACAAAAGCGAGTCAAAATAAAATAAAAATAATAAAATAAAAACTCAATGGAAAACCCAATGAGGATTTATTTTTTTATTTTTTTATTTTTTATTTTTTGAAACGGCGTCTTTTTGCTCGCTGTTGCTGCTCCGAGGGCGGTGCGCGCCCGGCGTTCTGAGCAGGATTACGACAGCACGAGCGTGTTGCATTCAGAGTGTCGCAGGGGTTTGCTTTGCCAGTGCGGTCCCGCGGTCGATCACGAAAAAACCGTGGCAACCAAAAACACAACAACACACAAAAAAAAAAAAAAAAAAAAAACAATACAAAACAATAGAAAACACACACAAAGGAGAAAAAAAAAAAAAAAAAAAAAAAAAAAAAAAAAAAAAAAAAAAAAAAAAAAAAAGGCAGCGATAAACCAACCAGTTTGAGCAGCCATTACAGCTGCGTCTCCTCGAACGTTCTCCCCCCCCCCTCCCCGCGCCACGGCTGGGCAATCCGCTCCAACAACAGAGACAAAGAGCATGCAAAGGGGAGAACCAGCGTTCAAAAATCAACCGAAAAAAAAACAGACCTTCGTCAACAACGCGAACCGACATCTGCAAAGCTGGTTAGGAATAAAAATACAAAAAAAGAAGAGTGTGTGCAAGACGATGAGAAGATAGTGGGGGAAAAGGGAGGGAGTGGCGATGGTTAGAAGAGAAGATGACGAGATAGTTAAAGAAATAACAAGTCACAAGGAACAGGCGGTGAATGGGGGGGGGGGAAAGGAAATTGGGAAAAAAAAAGCGATTCAATCGTCGTTTCACTTCTCTTGTCACCTCGAGCAACTGCAACGAGTATGGGAACTGCACTGTCCAATCTTCCGCTTGATCCACAGATTCAGTCAATCGTCATGCATTTTACATTCAAAAGTTACAAATCTACACCTTCAACAACTCTCTCAACCTCCTTCTGCGTCCTCCTCCTTCAACCATCCGCTCTGTGTTCTGCAACAACTTGGAGCTCAGACAGACTGCTCTTCAAAGCGAGACAGAACGCTGCGAACAATGCCAAGAAGCTGCGGTGCACTTTGCTCAGCTTGCTGCTGACGAGGAGCCACGAGAGACTCAATCTCGGACCGAGCTTCCACCAGTTGCGCCGTCTGCGAGTAGTGCGCCTCCGCTGCGCGCGCTCGTTCGCTCTCAAGCACGGCCAGTTGGCTGGCCATCTCTTCCAGTTTCTAAAACCAAAACGAAAAAGTACAAGGAATAGTCAGCGCACATCAAAACATCGGAACACACCTCGCTCGCCCTTCTCCCTTGCTTTTTGTGCGTACAAGTTTCAGCTCGCTGTTCTCAGTCTCGAGGGATGCAATGCACGCATCGCGGGTGGCAATCTCGTTGCGATGGGCCATGCTCATGCGCTCAATCGCAAACCGCTCGCGCGACAGCTTGACACGCTCCTCGTTGATGGCAATCTGCAGTGCCTCGTCAAACTGGCGCTGTTGCTGCGCGGGCGAAAGGGAATAGCTGCCACTTGTGCTACCAGCTGCGGGCGCTTGTCCCTGGCTCGGTTGCTGCTGTTGCTGATGTTGCTGCTGTTGCTGTTGCTGCAAGTGTCGCTGACGCGCGGCGGACGAGACCAGACCAAAGTCACTGCTGCGTGAACGCGCGTTGGGAGTGCCTCGAATGCGCTCCAGAGCAGGAGACATGGTGGGCGTTTTGCTCGCGCTTGGTGGAACGGGCAGACGCGACATGCGACGGTTGGCAACTGCACTCGCAGAGACAGATGGCTCGAGACGCTTGCCAGCGCCGGGCTCCTGATCGAGATCGAGCACAGGCAATGCGGCGGTGATGCGCGCAAAGTGGTTTGTGCTAGACCGGCGGGGATCGGTGCGCCTCGACGACATGCTCTTTTTGGGTGACGGACTGGATCCATCAACGGCGTCCAGGCCGGGGCATTCGTCCTCGTCGAACTGGATGCAGTCGGCACTTTCAGCCAGCGCTAGCTTCTCGGCCTCGTTCAGTTCTACAGGCGCGGGCATTTCGTGGCTTGTGTCGGGTTGCATCGGCAGCGAAGGCTCGTCGGGAATGACGCGAGATGGCGTGAGCGAGCGGCGCTGCTGCTGCTGCTGCTGCTGCTGAATGTGTGACGGGGATGGACTCGAGGGCCAGCGACGCTCAGCATCTGTAGCACGCGCTCAAAGTTGGCAACAAGCTCATCCACGCCAGCAGACAAACAACGACCAAAAACTACCACTTACAAACGCCGCTGCTTGAACGCCGCTCGTTGCTCATGGGAGTGCCCATAGAGGAGCGTGGATGGCCAGAGGGCGAGTGGGCGGACGCCGGCGACCTTGCCATGCCCGAGCCCATTTTAACGGGTGTGGTTTGCGCACTCTTGACGGGTGTGTCTGCCGGGGTGGCCTGCTTGCTCTCAAGAAGCATGGCATGCAACTGGCGGTTGACAGCACCCGAGGAGATGCGACGCGAACGCTGCACAGCCGTAAGGGCATCCATGGCAGAGTCGTCAAAGTTGAGCTCCTCCAACTCGGGAACGTCGTCGTCAGCCTCGTCCAGGATGAGGGCAGCCTCGTCCTTTGCAGGCTCGACCTTTGCTGCTGGCGCGGGCATAAAGCTGGTTCGTCGGCGGTTGCCTCCAAGCGACGGGCGAGGCATTGCGGAATCCTTGCCGTCGCCGCTGGGCGATCGGATTGACTGCAGGTTGTTGAGCAAGTCCTGCACGCTCTGCGTGAACAAAACAGAGGTGTGCTGTTGTTGGTGATTGTGTTTTTTTGGATTCAAAGGGCATCGAACTACAAGCAAGAAAAAAATCGGCAAACTATGTTGACTCACCGACACGTCCAGATTGGACGACAAGGCGGGAGCAGGGAAGGAAGCAATGCGTCCCCGAGGAGAGCCAGGCGAGGTGCCCAAAGAGTTGTTGCCCGAGTGCAGGATGGCACGCTTGTGCGCAGTCTGGCGGATGGCCATCTCCAGCGATTGAACCTGCAGGAACACATCGTCTTCGATGGACAGCGGCTCTGCTCGGACAGTGAGCAACAAGTGAGGACTTGGGAGACAACCTGGCCACCATAGCGACCCACAAACAACTGTTTCACAACAAGATATCAACAACAACTCACCTTCAACTCGCTCGGCATGTTGAGTGGACATAACCTCCTTGGGCGGCTTGGTAGTGCTGGAGCTCGGCGTGGTCGGCTTGAGCTTGAGAGTGCCCAGGCCAGACGAGAGACGCGGGTTGGAAAGTGGAGCCGCGCGCGACGGCGTCGTGGTGCCAACACTCGAATCGCTGCGCTTCGGAGTTGACGGGGCAACACTGGTCGTAGGTGTAGCAGGCGCGGTAGCTTCTGCGACCGGTGCAAGCAACGAGGGCGTCGACGCGGCAGCCGTGGTGGCAGCTGGCGGGAACACGTCCATGGCACTCCGGCGAGCGGGCTTGACACGGGGACTGCTGATGCTGCCCGTGGCAGCGGAAGCCGATGCACGGCCAGAGGCTGCAGAAAGACTTTGCGGCTTCTCCTCGCGCATGGAGCTGGATCGGCTCAAAATCTTGCCCGTGACCTTGCCAAGCGTCTTCATCATGGTGTTGGAGCGCTTGAGCTTGTGACCAGCGCCAACAGCCACTTCCGCAAGGGGGTTTGTAATGCAGGAAACCTCCTACAAAGAGCAGATGACAAAGTCAGAACAACAAGAACAAGAGTCCCGTTCGCTCATCGAATCGATTGCGGTTGACTGACCTCCTCCACGCCGTTGGCTTCTTGGCACTTGGCGAGTTTTGCCATAAACTGCTGCTTCTCTTCGGAGGAAGTAGCTTGGTAGACGTGGCACACGTCTGGGAAGACAATGCCAAAGACATTGGCGAACGCTGTGGCGTTGATCTCAGAAGTGAGACAAAATAAACGACAAAACATGGTACGCGCTGCAACCACTGCATCTTTGTCGCTTACCTGGCGCATCAGCAACGTCCACAATGTGAATATCACGAATGTCAGCGTGGTTGACGTGCCTGTACGGCGTCTTTTGGCGGAAGCCAGCGCGGCGACGCTTGACAACTTCCACAGCATCATTGAACAGGACGATGGTCATGTCGATCAAGCACGCCCCGATTGTATCGACGAGCGACCCCGCGGCGTTGGCGTCGTAGTCTTCGTTCTCGGTTGCGAGCCGCATGACATTGACCCTGGCGAGCACTTGGCGGTTGGCGGAGAGCAAGGTCGGCTATGGTACACAAGATCAATGACAAGAGAGTCTAGTTTAGTGATGACTTCGGGCAACAACAAAACCAACCATCAAACGAAAGAAACGCTGTTTACCGGGCAATCTTCAATGCTCTGGATGAGCTCGAAAAGCTCCATCTGCTGCTCGGTCTTGCGCTTGGCCTCGTTGATTTCGCTGTTGTTGGCAATGTGGATGGAAAAGTAAGCACTTTTGCTTGAAGAAGCAGACAACGGCAGAAACAATTATTTCAATCTTACTTGACGATTTCGCGGATGGTGACAATCGCCTCGTTGAGGTGGACATGATCGGGATGGTCTTGCGGGGTGTGCTTGAGTACCTCCTGGAGCAAAAGCACGTAGCGAGGTACGCGCTGCACGGGCAGAATCAGCATTTCCTTGAGTGTTTGGCGATGGCATTCAGGTCGTGCTTGGCAAATCTATTGCGGGATGAAACAACGAGGCAAAGTAGTCGTGCATGAGCTTTGAGAAATGGCGTGTGACTTGGAATGCTCCTTTTTGTGCTCCACGATCCAGAATCGCTTTCGAGCGCTGTACCTTAAGGAACTCGCGGAAGGCGGACTGAGTTTCGCAAGTCTCCAGCGTTTTCTTGGACAGTTGGAAAAAGTTGACATAGACGGTGTACGCCTTCAAGGATTTGAGCTAACATTGCAGAGTGGTGGGGGGGGGGCAAGTCAGAAAAGAGTCCGATCAGATTTTGCAACCCGCAACTAGCAGAGCACTTCTTACAACTCCAAGGAATGTGTCGCCAATGCACTGGCGCGAGTTCCAGTTCTTCCATCGGTTGTTCAAAGCGTCGAACAGCGGCGTGTTGCATTCAATGATGGCCTCCAAGTTGGAAAAGAGCTTTTTGAATTGCTCTGGATCGATGAGTGGCTTGGAAGTGCGCATCGATGCGCGAAGCGGGTTCATAAACACCTATCAAAGTCAAGAAATCGAAGAACAAGAGAACGTTTAAGCAGAGTCGTGTTGACGATCAGTGTACGGGACGACAGTGATGAACAGCTGACGCAAGCGAGCCCATTCCACCAAGCATCATGACTTCCTCGCCAACCAAAGCTCGACCAAACAATGACAAGCACTTACGTTAACAATCATGTTGAGATAGTTGAGGTAGTTGCGCTCAGTGTCGATGAGTTCTGCAATGATGGTAATCCTGCGCGCGTCGGACGATTTCGGCTTGTTGGGTGTCACCGCGCTCGCCGTGCTCGAGATGCTTGTGATGCTGTTGATGCTGTTGAGGCTTGTAATGGAACCCGTGCGCATGAGCCCCGGACGAGCATTTGCGTCCACATCTTCCTTGTGCTGGTCGTCCGCTGGAATCGCGGCAGCTCCCTTCAGCGTCGCCATTCCGCGCACAGAGTTGCGCTTGGCCAGCATTGCAGCCGGCGTCGACATGCTTTCAAAAGGAATGGTCCTGCAAATGTTCAAGTTCGAGTTAAATGTCAGCGAGCTGAACAGGATTCGAGCAGCAAAGACGAGAGGAATTGAAACCAAAAAGAAAAAAAAAAAAAAACGGTCTGAAACCGTTTCAAGCTGGAATTGCATTGAATTTTGAAACCAAAGACCGACGATGAGAAAAGAAACGCGAGCGCAGATCATCGTCATTCAGATAGCGCTCCTCAACTCTTCGCATTCAGTCGTACGAGTGGTTTTTTCAAAAAGAGTGAATGAGAGTGAGCGAGAATTGAAGGTTGAGATGAAGGGCAAACCTGTTCAAAAGCGAAAAAGAAAAAAAAGGAAAAAAAGTGAGAGTGAAACGGCGTCTATTTTGGCAAAGTGCGTTTTTGCTGTTGTCGGCGGTTTTGTCGGCGGTTGCAAAAGTTGCATCGACGCTTTGGAAACACAAGGAGAGCTGTAAAGCGAACGATGGACGTGTTGGTTTCAGCGCCGAGGCGATGGTCGGCCGGTCGAAGCACACTCGATTGAATTGCATACATCCAACCGTTTTCGGAGGAATGCGCGTCAACCGCCGTTGCGGTCTCAACCTGCATTCTACCGCATAACATTCATGCCGCCAGATTTGAAGAGAGCAGAGACAGAACTACTGCGGACGAATGAGCAAACCACATGGACCAAAAGAAACCGAAACTTGTAGAATTGACGACAGTAAAAAAAGAAATACACGAAACAATGCAATCATCATAGCATCCACATGACGAGAGGAAGCGACCAACAGTAAAAGTATCAAAAGAGACAAGGCAAGCGGTTTGCAAACGCATTCGAAGCGAAGCTAGCGAGAACCGAACAAAGAAAAAAAAAAACCAGCCAGACACACAGCAAAGAAAAACCAACAAGCAGACACGGCACAGAACACAGTGCATGTATAGATGAGTGTGAAAAAACAATGGGGAATGAATAAAAAATAACAGGCTGACGAGACAAAGCGACGAAAGCGAACAGAACAACAACAAAAAAAAAAAAAAAAAAAAAAAAAAAAAAAAAAAAAAAAAAAAAAAAAAAAAAAAAAAGGGAAAGAAAAGGAATAAAGCCAGGGCGAGAAAAAAGAAATCAATCGAGCTATAAAAAAGCGAACAAGAGAGGAAAGGGGTGATGGTGTAGCACCAAAGTCGAAGGCCAGAAACCACGACGAACAAAAAAACGACGAGCTACGAGGGAAAAAAAAAAAAAAAGACGACGAGCAATGAACGGCTCTCACAAGGCAAGGTTGCGGTCAACGCATCCAAAAACGTGCGCTCGAAACAAATTACGAACGCTCGTCAGCCTCGCCGTCTTCGTGAAGCATCGCAAACTTCCAGCGCGTGCTCTCGAGGTCGGAGAAGAGTTCATCTTGGTTGGCATCGGCCGACAGGCGACGACCAGAAAGGGCCGGGGGTGCCAGGTGGGCTTGGTCCAGGAAGGTCGCATTGTAGGGTGCGTTGCGGCCATTGCTCAGCCGCTCGCCTCCAAGCTGAGCGTGCTGGTGAGTGGGAGCAGCAGCGTGATGAGGCTGCTTGAGCTGAGACGGTTGGAAGCGAGGCGAGGACGCGTCCAGGCCAGTCTGCTGTGCGTACATTTGCGCCTGTGCTGAAGGCTGCGCACGCCCGTCGTTCAAGGAGAATGTCTGAAGAAGGTGGCGGAGCTGCGACTCGTCAAAGTCGCCATGGTTTGGCTGTGCAAACACATGGGGCCCGCGATGCTGCTGTTGCGAGTGTTGCTGCTGCTGCATCTGGTTGTGTTGCAGCTGTTGCAAATGAAGCTGCAACTGGACCGCCTGCTGGTGTTGCGGATGCAGGCTCAACTGCTGCTGCTGCTGCTGCTGATGCAAACCTTGCAGCAACTGCAGATGGGCCAACTGTTGCTGCTGCTGTTGAGTCATTTGGAACTGTTGCTGCTGTTGTTGCTGATGGTGGTGGTGTTGCTTGGGAGAGGGTGCTTGGTGAGGGGCTCCACCGTTCTGCAGGCTTTGCAAATACATCAAATGTTGCTGCTGAGCCAGCTGCTGTTGTTGTTGTTGCTGCTGTTGCTGAAGATGGGCAATCTGGACATTGACAGGCACAGTGTGTTGTTGCTGCTGCTGTTGCTGTGGTTGTTGCTGCTGCGGCTGCTGCTGCTGATCTGAATGCTGCAGAGAAGTTCCAACAGTGTCCAACCCTTGCATCGAGCCGCTCGACGAAGAGCCGCTCGAGCCACGGGGACTCAGCAAGTTGGGCGTGTCGTGACCGGACGACGTGACCGAGACGGACAGATTGCCGAGACTACTTTGGCGGCGGTAATCACGTACACCGTCCTGCGGTGGTGTACTGCCATAGTACTCGGAATGCTGCCGCGCGGAAACATGCGCAAACTGCGGAGATTGGGAGAGAAGTTGACTCGACTGCGAGGGGGAGCTGCCCGCGGCGTCCGTGGACACTGTGTACGGAAGCTTGTGGTGGCCCCACGACAGCCGGATGGGCTGGCCTCCAATGTACTGCCCATTCAGGTGCGCGATGGCCTGCTCGGCGTTGCCGTGCTGAGCAAACTGGACAAAGCCGCATGCCTTGCCCTGCGGGATGCGCACGCCGACAATGTCGCCAAAGAGCGAAAAGATGGCCTTGAGCTCCTCGGCACTGACGTGCGGGGAAAGCCCACCCACGTACACTGTCGTGTTGATCGAGTCGTCAACGTGAATGTGTGTACCAGAGCCGTTCGCGGCAGGGAGAGCAGTAAACGGCACGGCACCGCCGTTGGCAAGGTGGAGGGCGCGCAGCGACAGTGGCTGCTGAGGGAGCTGCGCGGTTTGGGTTGCAGCCAGCTGTTGCGGCAGCGCATTGATGCCGGCGAGAACAGCGACTGCCGACGAGCTGCTTCCCAAGACGGCCGTGGTGCCGGACAGCATCGACGACGAGGTCGGCGACATCAGGGGCGAGCCGTTGGCTGGCGGCAGCGAGTGGTACAGCATGGACGAGTACGGGGGAATGGGAGCACCACCACCACCACCACCAGCAGCAGAGCCCATGTCGCCAATGGCCGAGAACGGCAAGTGGTGACCGCCGCCGTGGCTCGAGTGCGACGATGGCGTAGCGTTGGGCGAGGAGAAGTTCGAGATGGGCGCCGATTGCGGGATGATGACCGACATTGGGGGAATGCCAGTGGGCCGTGTGCTGCCTGCAGTGTTGGTGGTGCCGGTGGTGCCGCCGTTGGACTGGCTGTCAGAGTGCGACGTGCCGCTGTTGAACGAGCTGTTGCGAGAAACGCCTGCAGCAGTCGTGACGCCGCCGGCGCCACTCGATGCACTCGAGTTGGCTGCAACGTTGACCGACGAGGTGGACAGGGCCGGCGTCAGCGGCACAGTGCTAAACTTGTTGGGCTGGAACTGCTGCATCAACGAACCGTTCGAGCCCGGGGAGCTCGAGAGCAGAGACGACCCGTTCTGCAGTTGCGAGCTGGTCAGGCCGTTGAGTGAGTTGGTGCTGCTGTGCAACGAGACTGGAACAACAGGAGGCGAGGTCGAGGGCACCGAGCGCGAGACGCCGTGCAGATCGGCGAGGGGTGGAGACACGGTGGGCGTAATCCCGTTCGGTGCAGCCGCCTGGTGGTGTTGCTGGAGCTGCTGCTGCTGCTGCTGTTGCTGCTGTTGCTGCTGTTGCAGCTGCTGGTATTGCTGTTGTTGCTGGGCGGTGAGGATGGCCTGGAGCAGTTGCTGGTGTTGTTGGAACATTTGCTGTGCAGCAGGCTGCTGCTGCTGTTGTTGTTGCTGCTGCTGTTGTTGTTGTTGCTGCTGCTGGTACAGCTGAAGCTGCTGCAGCGCGGTCAGCATCGACGTGGGCTCCTGTCCAGGCAGCATGGTCGCGGGCCCACCAGACAGCTCGCTCACCAGATCGGGGCGCTTTGGCGTCGCGGCACTCACGCGCATCGGCTTGCCGCCGCACCCAACGGCTCCGTTCATCTCGAGCAGCGCGCGGAGGCAGTCGTTCGAGTCGGTGAAGCGCACAAAGCCAAATCCCTTCGGTGTGCCAGCCTGGTCCACGACGACCTTTGCGGTTTTGCAGGAGGCGTACAATTGCTTGAAGAAGCTCTGCGATGACAAAAAAACGAGATCGGTTGAACGTGGATGCCAATGTGCAACACGTTAAAAGCAGAGAAGGGAGTGAGTAAAGGAGAGTGATAAACAAAAAAAAACCAAAAGAACATGGATGTAAGGAAGAGGAGGAGGAGGAGGAGAAGGAGAAAAAGCAAGCATTGGCAACACTCACATGGAGCTGAAAGTCCGTGACGTCTGCGGTGAGATCGCCAACAAAGAGAGAGTACTCGGGCTCGTTGCGAGTTGCGCCGCTGTAGAGTGCCAGGTTTAGTCGGAATCTGTGGGAGAGCCCAGGTGGGAAGGACGGCGCGCGGGAAAACGGTTGGTGAGTGAAAATCGAATCCAAAAAAAAAAAAAAAAAAAAAAAAAAAAGAATAATAAAAAAAAAAAGCATGATCGTCAAAAGAGCAAAAAGGAAAAAAGGGAACAACACGTTGGTGAAATACTATGGGACGAGGTTGTTGTGGGATGGGCCAAAAAAAAAAAAAAAAAAAAAATGAAGAAGAAAATGAAAAAATGAAAATGAAAATGAAAGGGACGGTTGATGTCAGCATGACCAACCACGAGGCGAAACAATGGAAAAGAGAAAAATCAATCAGAGGATCAATAATGATGATGATGATGATGATGATGATGATGATGATCGATCAATGATGGTGTGTATCGATGGATGGAAAGGGGGGGGGGAAACTGGGTCTCGTTTGCTGATGAGGAGACCTCATGTGCCAGCAGTGTGACCACTGACCATCGCCGTGAGTCGAACAACCGACGCTCGCTTTCGTTCCGGTTTTCCCAATTCTGGTGTGTGTTGCGGTTTGACCCCCCTCTTGATTTGTCATGATTTTTCTCGCCGTTTTTCTTGTTTTTCTCCTCCGTCGTGAAACAATTCAAATTCATTGGTGTGTCTCTTATCGGATCCACCAGCGAATGAACCAGCGCACGAAATGCAAGAGGGCACACAAACGGAAGTTGGAAAAAAAAATAAACAAAAAAGAAAAAAAAAAAAAAAGGTCGACACTCTGTCTTGCACTGATGGTGCATCGCAATAAGGATCCAGGGAACGGCCCAGAACCCTCATAACAAAAGCCGGAATAATCGGTAATATCAAGAATAAAAGTACACACACCGAGAAAGACAAAATCAAAAAGAGTAAAAAGGAACAAAGGCAACAAAGGGGAGGGTTGTTAACTGAGTCCATCGATTTTTTTTTTTTTTTTTGGTTTTTTGGGTTTTGAATTTGGCGCGTTGCCAGCGTGGCTGATTGCGTGCTAGGAGAACGCGGAGCGAGCACAACGCAGATCCATCAAAAGAGGGTAGAAATAGCAAAATGGAGAGGCCCGGATGGAAGTGGGACAAACAGGGTTTGGCCCCCAACAAAAACAAAAGGGAAAAAAAAAAAAAAGAAAGGCAAGGTTTCAATGTTAACGGCAGATGACCACAATGCCCCACCATGACCATTGCCACAACCGCGCGCCCGCAATGTGCATCCGAATCGAACACGATGCTTCCGTGCACGGTACTCATCGACACGCACTCGGGAGCGAGCAACGGGGCGGGCGGGGAAGAAGAAGGGGGGAACAAGCCAAGCGAGATCACTCCGCTCGAGATCAAAACATGCTGAATGCTGAAGAGGCACACATCAATCAATCTCACAAATCGCCTCTTTCAGCCGACTCTGCGTTGCACAGCCGCGATTGTGCCCCCCCCTTTCCGCTTGTCGCTCGCTTCTTACAGAAGAGGAAGAGCGAGATGGCCCGTTGCAAGTTCCGGAGAACAGACGAAGAGAGTCAAAAAAAGAGTGATGTTGGAGCGTAAAAAAAAAAAAAAAAAAAAAAAAAAACACCCAAAGAAGCGTGCATGTGCGTGTCGACTCCTGCCGCTGTTCATCCCCCAATGAGAGTACGTGTGTGCGAGAGTGTGTAAGTGTATAGGTGTGCATGGGTGGCATGCGGGGAGTGAATGGGCAAGTGAAAAACCAAACGTCGACAAAAAACAAAGGAGTTCACACCAAGAAAAGTGGGAGTGGGAAGACACAATTTGCCGATAAGGCGGAGGCAAGTTGGATCCGGTTGAAGTGAAAATCGAACAGCGCGCACAAAACCGAATGTCAATCAATGACTCAAGAAGATGGGGATGAAAGCAAAAGTGTAGAGAGAGAGAGAGAGCATCAAAATCAAAAACAAAAAAATGCTGCTGGAATTACCGTCGAGACGGATCGAGACCTGGAATCTGTGCGCCGTTCAAAGCGTGCAGGACACGAACTGCACGGTCCGAGTTGCCAAAGTCGACAAAGCAGTACCCTGCTGGTCCTCTGTTGGAGCGACAGAATGCACCCAAAAAAGCCAAGTCAAGAAGGGCAACAAGTGAGTGAAAAAGTGCGATGTAAGAAAAAAATGGAGGAGGTGGCAGCAAACGCACATCCTCAATCAATGACGGATTGAAGGAAGCCAACAAGAAGGAAGTGACATTGGATCCAATAAGGGAATAAAGAGGAACAGAAGGAGGCGATGGAGGTGAAACTCAGCATTGGAAAAAAAAAAAACGGCACAAGGTGTGAAGTCGAGCAGGGGAAGAAACGCTTGTCGGAGTTTACTGTATGACGAGGTGTTCGCTTCGTTTGGGGTTTCGTCGAGGGGTATGTTCGACGTCAACCACCACAATGCATTGTCTCTCCAATACGCAGTTATCGAAAAGCGACGGGCCGAAACTAACCGACACTGCTAAAACCCGTCCAACCACAACCTGACAACTTTTTTTTTTGTTGTTGTTGTTGTTGCTTTTGTTGTTTGAACAAGGTTCCGTTGCCTCTTATTGTTTGACTGCAAGTGACTCATTCCGCAGCTGTCAAAAGAGGAGTCATAGGAGACGTCACGCAAAGGGTGGCAAAAATAGAGAAGAAGTGCACAAAAAACACAGCAAAGGCCGCAAACTCAAAATGCGGTTTCAGGCTTCAAACAGGTTGTGATCACATTGTCTTTGCCACCAAAATAGGTCGTGTTGTGCCACGAAACACGTCGTCGGCAACAGCCCCTTGCGGCTGAGAAAGTGCTCTACCATGCCAACCTGCTTGACCTTATCAAAAGCCGACCGACCATGTGTATGCGATGCAAACTGCCGCCATGCTTTCGTCGACAGGGGCTTTTTTTTTTCTGTATTTTTTTTTTCTGACTTCGGTTTGGTGTTTTTCGTTTTCGGTTTCTGAGAAGCATCACTGCTTCCGGTGTCGCTGCGCACCACCATCGCTTTCAGACATTAAATTGCTGTGAAAAGCGAACATTGCATGCAAGGCCAAGCGTGTCACAGGGCCAATGCACGCTTACGCACAGCACGAGCCCAAAAAAAAAAAGGTCAAAAAAAAAAAGTGAAACAAACCTCCACAAAGCACCGCAAAGAATCGATGGACTGGCTGTGCAACAGCACAGACAGAGTCATCCAGCTCCATTGAAAGTAGATCGAGCAGAGTTCGAGCACCACGACAGGCCGCAACGCACATCGAGTGCAGATGGCAGCGAGGCACCAAACAGAGGACAACAGCCAAGCGACCAACCGCAGCGAAAAAAAAAAAAAAAAAAAAAAACCCCTTCGTCTGGTCGAGTGATGACAGGAGTCGAGCAAAAAGCCAAAGAGCTCGCAGGAAGCCGTAAAAAAAAGCAGACGCTTCGGTAGAAAAAAAATACAAAGGGAAGGAGGAGATGGGAGCTGGAGGGCGGGAACCAAGTTCCAGCGCGAGAAAACGCCACCCCCGCAACCGCAAGAGTGGGGGGAAGAGGAGCCAGCAGCGACGACTGGGGTGGCTGAGACAAGCGTCCGTTGCGTGCTCTCGTCAGAGCAGTGCACGGGTGACATTCGCCATGCACCAAGCCACCGCCAGGAAGCCGTACGCGCGCACTTGCGATTCCTGTGAGGCCAACCGCACCGCAAAGCGCTTGTGTTTGAACCTTCCCGCCCGTTCGTGTCTCCACCACCTCGCTCCAGCCACTTTGCACGGCGCCAAGTGTCATCGCACACGTACTGCCCAAGCCCCAGCATCCCTGGCCGCGGCCTCGTGCAAGCCAGACGAGGCACACAGGACGCAGAAGGAAACAGAAACAAGATGAGGTTGGCTTTTTTTTTTTTTTTTTTTTTTTTTTTTTTTTTTTGGTGGAGGCCAAGTTGCCTATTTCCCGTTATCGTTTTGTGTGAAGGCTCGTTATTACGGCGGCGGCTGAAGCATCTCTGACACACGACGGACGTGCTTGCATTGGCGAGATTGGACAGCTCGACCGTCTCAAGGAAATCACCATCGTAATCAAAAAAACGGGGGAGGAACAAACAAATCCAAACAGACAAAAACAATAAAGAAAAAAAAAGAAAAAAAAAAAGCTCCACTCGCGTCGTTCATCTTGCAGCAAGTCTGAGGGACAGTTTCCGTTGGTGTGCATAAAGCGAAAATCCACTCAAGCTGGTGTGCATGACAATTGTTTGGTTGCTGGTTGCGGTCCAGCAGCAATGTCGGAGTGTAAAATTGCCGCGATTGGCAAGACTTTGAAAAAAAAAAGAAAAAAAAAAAAGGGAGGACAGCACCACGATGTAGCCACCTGAGGGACGAGCACGGCGCTTTTGCAGCGGAGGCACAGCGGGGTGTGCACGGCGTGCGTCTCGAAATGACTCTGCGGGAACGATCACCCACAGTGTGCAGTGACGCGATCCGCTGATGGTCAAAGTGACGACGATGGCGATGACACGTAGGAAGGGGAAAAAAGCGAGAAAAAAAAAAGTCGAAAATAATTTTTTTTTTTTTTTTTTTTGGTTTTTGGGCGTTTTGGACGCTTACCCGGTGAGGCGGTTTTTAATAATCTTGACCCCGACGACGGGCTCTCCGGCCTGGCCAAAGAGCGAGCTGATGAACGATTCATCCCAGGATGGCTCGAGGTCGCCAAACCAGAGGCACGTCGACATGCTAATGACGGTTCCGGAGGACACAACAGAAAAACCTCAAAAAAATACAACCCCCCAAAAAAAAAAAAAAAAAAAACGAATAAATCAAAAAAAAAATGAAATAAAAAAAATACAGACTGCGTTGAAAAGCCCAAAGAGAAACAAAAGATCAGTTGTCGGTGAGTGTGAGCTGGGAGGAGGAGCAGATGAAAAGCGTCGACAACTTGCGCTTGTATGAAGAGGAAACCGGAGCAGATTTTGAATTGGAAAAATTCGAACGTAGTCACAAATCGAAATGAAATCAAAAAAAAAAAAGACGAAAAAAAAAAACGCCGTGACGCAAATGTTGTGATTTTTTTTCTTTTTTTCCCGAGCAACGCGTACATTTTGTCGATTCCCCAACAAGCATGCGCAGAGCGTGATCTGGTAGCCGAATTGGACGAGTTGTTGAACGCAAGGGTGTGCCGAGTGCTCAGAGCCAAAAGTCTTTTTGTTGTTTTGGTTTCGTTGGTTTTTTGTTTGGTGCACTCCGACTCCGGAACTCCAACACCTCCTTGCTCAACGTCGCAAACCTGCCTGCTTCTATTCTAAACTGGGATTGGACTCCTTGTCGATCAACAGCGCCAAATGCAGCACGAGGTCGTGATCGCCGCCTCGGATGTCTCTCTGTGTCCAAATTCTACTCGCTCCCTCCGTGCTCGCAATCAAGCTCTTCAACCAGTTTCAACAAACAAAGCTCGATGCAATCAAAACTTGCACAATACATCCATTTAACCGGAATGGAAAGAGTAGAGGGGAGAAACACAAGTCAAATTACTAAAAAAAACGAGCTCACTTGCGGCCACGAGCTTTGGCGATTGTGCGGGTCGAACCCATGCTAAAACCGCCGCCAGAGGGGGCAGCGGCGCCAGCGCCTCCTGTGTTAAATCCGCCAAAAGAACCAGCTGCAGCGCCACCAGCAGCAGCTGGAGCCGGTGCGCCGAATCGGAAAACGGGTGTCGCGGAGCCTGCAGGAGGAGCGCCAGCGGTGCCGGCTGGTTTGTTGCCAAACGTGAACGGACGCGGACCAGAAGGAGCTGGCTGGTTGGCACCAGCGCCGCCAAATGTGAAGCCAGTCTGGGCCTGGGGGCGTGCTTGCTGCATCATCGCGGCATTCATCGCCTCGCCGAGCACAGGCGCGGGAGAAGGGGTTGCGCCAAATCGGAAGCCACCAGGATTTGCGCCGGGGGCTTGCTGCAAACGCAAGAAAACAACAATTTCAAAACGGAGGGTCAGACAAAAACACAGACGCGGCAATAACACCCCCATCCAACCCCCCGCATGTGTGTCACGTACCGCAACTGGAGCAGCAGAATTGCCAAAAACAAACGGCGCAGGAGAGCCTGAAGCAGCGGGAATTGCAGGAGCAGCCGCTCCAAACACTGGGCGACTGGGCCCGCCTGCGGCTCCAGGGAAGCCAGAAGCAACAACCGGGGCAGCAGCGGCAGCAGCGCCTCCGAAAACAAACGGACGAGGGGCAGAACTTGCGGGAGCTGCGCCAGCGCCAGGGAAACCTCCTGGCGTTGCTACAGGTGCAGCAGCTGCGGAAGCAGCAGCAGGCGCTGCAAATCCGCCGGGCGTGGCGCCGGGGAAACCGCCAGCACCGCCAACAGCCGGCGAGGCGGGCTTAGCAGCGCCAAACACGAATGGCGCCGCTGGCTTGGCGCCCAGTGGTGCGGCCGAGAAACCACCAGCGGGTGCGGCAGGCGTAGCAGCGGCAGCAATGGGCGCAGCGGGCATTCCAGCCGAAGCACCAGCCAGGAGACTAGCAAACGGACTGGCGCCAGGTGCGGCGGCAGCGGCAGCAGGAGCAACAGGCTTCATCGCAGGCAAGCCAGTCAGGCCACCGAACGCGGGCAGCGCAGCTGGCAAAGCGGGGGCTCCTGTTGCAAGCGTCTTGGGGGGCGCAGAGACCGGGGCAGCGGCAGCAGCGAGGGGCGCAGGAAGCGTTGGTAGCGCGGCCGGAGCGGCAGCAACTGCAGGCTTGCCAAAGGTGAACGGACGAGGCGCCCCTGAGAGCGCGGCAGCGGGCGCGGCGGCGGGAGGTGCAGCTGTGGCCGCCGGGGTTGACGATGCGGCTGCGGAAGGAGCACCGCCGAAAACAAACAATGGGCGAGCGGCAGCAGTCGCGCCGGGTCCAGCAGCCACCGGGCCGGCAGCAACAGCAGGGGCAGGCTGAGAAGACCCAAGCTTGGACAGCGCGCCAGCAGCTTGCTGAAAGGCGGGAAGCGCGGCAAAGGAGAAGGCTGGCTTTGCTGGAGGCTTGGCTGGCTCTTCCTCGTCGCTAGCTTCACCATCGCTGTCGCCGTCGTCCTTGTTTTCAGTCTCTTCGCCATTGCTTTCACCTTCGTCGTCGTCCTCGCTACCGCTGTCGACGCTCTCGACCTCATCGTCCGCTTTGGCGGATTCGGATGCTGGTTTGATCGGAGCAGAGACGGCGGCAGGAGCAGCGGCAGGAGCAGCAACAACAGCACCAGGAGCAGCAGCTGGCTTGGCACCAAAGGCAAACAAAGGCTTGTCACCAGTGGGTGCGGCACCGCCGAATGCTGGCATCTTGAACGCGGGCTTGGGTGCGTCACTCGATGTTGCTGCACCGGTGGGCGCAAGACTGGCGAGTGGTGGCAGTTTGAATGCCGGCATGGCGGTCGTAGCAGGCTTGGGGGCGTCGCCCAGCTTGCCAAACGACGGAATGGGTAGGGGGGCACCTGGGGCGGCAGTTGCTGGAGCTGCGGCGGCGGCGGCGCCTGGTTTGCTCTTACCGCAGACGGAGCATTTGGAAACAGAGTTATCTGACATGCATTCGCAATCGGCGCACTTCCATTTGTCGGCATTGGCGGCTTTTTGGCGAGCGAGCACTGCTGCGATGGCATCGGCCGGAGCCGCAGCGGGTGTTGCGGTGGCGGGAGCAGCGGCAGGAGCAGCCGGAGCAGACGCAGCCGGAGCGATCGAAGCCAACGCCGGCAACGCCGGGGCACCACCTGGTGGCTTGAAAGCAAACATTGCTGGGAGGCCGGGTGCAGCTGCAGGTGCGCCAGCAGCGGCGGCGGCGGGTGCGCCTGTTAGTGGCTTGAACGTTGGCATCGCTGTGATGGACTTGGGTGCGGCTGCTGTCGAAGGTGCCGCAGCTGCTGCAGCAGGAGCACTGCCTGGCTTGGCTGTGCTGCATGCAACACACTTGGTGAGGTCTGCGTTATTTCGGATCATGCAACCAGGGCACTCCCATTGGTTACCCAGCTTGAACTTGTCAAGCGGATTCACGGAAGGTGCCGCGCTAGCGGGAGCAGCTGCTGCAGAGGCTGAGGGGGTTGCAGCAGCAGGGGCAGCAGGGGCAGCAGCAGTGGTGAGGCCTGTTGGTGGCTTGAACGTCGGCATCGCTGCAATAGGCTTGGGTGCTGCTGTTGCTGTCGAAGACGTTGCTGCAGCGGGAGCACTGCCTGGCTTGGCTGTGCTGCATGCAACACACTTGGTAAGATCTGCGTTGTTGCGAATCATGCAACCGGGGCACTCCCATTGGCTGCCAAGCTTGAACTTGTCCAGAGGGTTGACAGCAGGTGCTGCGGAGGTCGCAGGTGCAGCTGCAACGACAGCGGAGGGAGCAGAAGAAGGAACGGCGCTCGGCAGCTTGGGAATGCTAGGCAAAGCGGTGGTACCACCGACGGGCTTGGCAACTGCCGTGACCATCGGAGTCGCGGGAAGGCTGTCGACGTCGTCAGGGGCACCATAGTACCGACGGCCACCGCTGCTGGGTGAGGCGGATGCGGTGGCAGCTGGCTTGGTTGGGGTTGATGTCGAGGACGCGGCGGTGGCCTTGTTGGCATCCTCCGAAGAAGTCATGGCCACACGTTTGGAGGCAGGTGCTGCAGCGTCATTCTGTCGGGTGGAAGAAGAGGCCGCGGCAGCAGGGGCATCATCGTCCCTGTCGTCGTCGTCGTCGGAATACCGGCGCTTTGTCGGCTGCACATCGACCGGCCCTTCAAGGGTCAACATTTGTGACTGGGATTGCACGGAGGTGCGGGGAATTCTCCGAACGGTACGAACTCCGCGAATCGACAGGGGCATTGGCGATGTCGTTGTCGATCGCGAGACCAGTGTGCGGGGCAGTGCGCCAGGGATGGCAACACGCGCCCTGATCTGCTCATCAATCATGGGATCCACGGCGCTCTAGACGAGCAAACAAGAAAAAAAGGGGGGGTGAAGAACGCGAGGAGAAGATCATCAGTCAACAGCACAGAAACGATGCTCGGACAGCACGAGAAAAAACGTACAGAAACAACAGGCGCTTGGTTGTTGAGCGCATGCAAAATCAAACGAGCGGTTTCAGATGCACCGGAACGGGCAGGGGTGGATGCAGCACCCTCGTCGAGAATGCGTCGCTTTGACAAATGGACGACCTCGCCACTGGCTGCGGCGCCGACATCCATTGGAGGTGGCGATCGAGTGCGTTTGCGTGTTAGCTGTCGACGAAGAAAACAATCCAGAAAAGTCAGTCAATGATTTTTTTTTTGGGAGGGGGAGAGAGAGAGAGACCAGCAACTTGGTCCGATGCACGTTGCAAACAGATGCCCACTTACGATGGAATCGGACAATGGGGTCGACATGACGGACGCACGGCCGGTGCGGTTTTGCAATGCCAAGGACAAGGGAGAGCTGGCAGCCTGTTGCAGAATGGATGTGTTGGCTGCCGCGCCATACACGCGAGCACGGCCCAGGGGAGTGCCCGCGAGACTGCTTTGGTCCAGAGCGTGGGAGCGCAGGGCCGACGGTGCAGGCGTGAGCGTGCGGCGAGCGGGTACCACGGTGGTGGTGAATGACGGTTCGCCCAAAAAGTCGAGAGGCCGGCGGCTGGCTTCGGCTGCAGCTGCAGCACCAGCGGCGCTGTCCGTGGCGACGTTGCGGCGAAGAATGTTGGTGATTGTGTCAAACTCTTGCGGCGTGAGCGACTTGAAGTGGGTGTCGAGTGTCTGCGCCAGCGCACGAGCCTCCGGACTCGTTGCGGACGGCTGAGGCAGCGCAAAGCTGACGTCGCCCGTCGTGTTGAGGGGTGAATGCTGCTGTTGCTGCTGCGGGAGTGGACGAGCGTAAGGACGATGGCTGGACGTTTGCGACAGCGGCAGGCGCGACCCGCCGTCCACAATGTTCATTTCGGTCGGGCCGTGCGGGTGATGGTGGTCGTCCATCAGCTCGTGTGCGTTGCTTGACGCTGTCGACGACATGGACAGCGAACGCGGGCGCGAGCCTGTTGGCAGCACAATGTCGTGCTCGGTCTCGTTCAAGTGCAAGACCTCCCCGTCGCGCAACAAGCGATCACTGCCGTCGCTGCCGTCGCTGCCGAAGCTTCCGTTTGCATGGGTCGCACCGTTGCCCGTCGTCGCCTCAAAGCCCAGCAACCGCTGCGTGGCTGCCAGCGCGCTCTTGCGGAAGTTGAAAAAGAAGCCGCTCTGCTTCTGCGGGCGCACCAAACAAAACAGCCCAAGCGGTGAATGGATGCAAACAAGTGAGTTTTTGGCGTTGAGCTGAGATCATTGAGTGTGTGTGTCGTCGTCGCGAGTGTTGGTAGCGAGGGGCAGAAAAGCGGTGGAGATCTCGTTTCCAATGCTCGCCTCTTTCCTCGCTCTCGTTGCGTTGCGTCGCAGAGGCAGTTCCGGGGACCGAAGCTGCTGGATGAGCTGGTCTTCAATGGTCTCGCTTCGTCAGATCGTGCTCGGTGGGATGAGCCGCGCGAGGGTCAAGCGTCATGCACAGCGACAAGCTCGGTCCACGAGGCAATGCAACTCCCATACAAAAAAAAAAAAAAAAAAAAAAAATTGGCGAGATCTGTAGCGAGTCCGTTCGATCGGGAAGGGAGCGGGAAAGGGGATCGAAACGCGGTCGAATGAGGAGAATGAACGTGTTGAATGGGATGGCAAAGTGGAAGACGGAGGGGAACGGGGAAGCGAGGGAACGGCACAAGAGGGAACAAGGACGCGTACCTGCTCGGGTTGCATTTTGCGCGGGAAAAGAAAAAACGAAAAAAAAAAAAAAAAAAAAAAAAAAAAAAAAAAAGATGGAATGAATCGGATTTTGGTTCGAGTGATGGATTGGAAAGCGGACAGGCAAGGAGGTTGAAGGAGAATGAGAGAACAAATGGAGTGAAGGCAGCGAGGTTGGTGGCTGTTGCTTGGAAACAAGAAGGTACTGAATAAATGAGGAGCCGAATTCTACTGTTTCTCCAGCAACTCGGACAAACAGTGCGGGACTAGATCAAACAAGCTGATAGAGACAAACAGTGCTTTTTTTCTATTGTTTGAAAGGAAGGAAGATTCACAAAATGCTCAATAGCGGGGGAGTACAGACACGAAAACACAACAACCAAAAAAAAAAAAAGCAAGACAACTTTCAAAGCCAGCAAAATGGCCATCCAAACCGACAATCGACCTTCATAGATCAGTCAAACACACGCAGCAGCCTTGCACTGTGGAGAAACGGAGGGGACATGTCGACAGGAGGGGAGCCGAATTTGGCTTGTTTTTGTGGGGTTGTTGCTTTTTCGGGGTTGGAAACAACGGAAATTCATTTAGTTGGTGGGCTTCTTCAACATGTTGAAGACGGTGTCTTGCCAGGTGGCACGCGACTCGCCATAGACGGGGTTGGAAGCAGTGCGGATGGCAATCTGGCGGCGGGCCTCCTTCCACTCCTTGGTGAGGGTGCGGGGAGTCTCGGCATCGCCTGCAAGCAAAAAGAATCGTGCATAGCAAGATGAGTTGATGGAAATGAGGGTCCTGCAGAGACTCGAGCACGACTGGACGCGCTGAAACTTACGGGCGAGGACGAGGCGGCCGAGGACGAAAAGCAGCAGACCAGCGCCGACACCAGCGCCAACGCCGAGGTAGATGGCACCTCGCGGCTTGGCCTTGCGGTTGTCGTGGAAGGTGCGGAACGAGGCGTCATAGACTAGCAGCAGAGAGCGAGTACATATGGGGTGCAATGAAAAGTCAGAGCAACGAGGGAAACAGTGTGATTTGATGAGCTATGGTTCCGCTGAAGCAACGACCACCGCGCCAAGTCGTCGATCGGCATCGTAGGCAATGTCAATGTGTGATGCAGCGAGTTGTGGGAACGCGACCAGAGCAATGTCAAAAAGCGCGAGAAAACAGAAAAAAAAAAAAAAAAAAAAAAAAGATGGAAAAAAAAAAAAGCAGAGGCCTACTTTCGCTCCTAGTCGCTCCTCCGATGACCGAGCGAACACCGGGTCAGAGAGATGAAGAGTCACAAGATAAACATAGTGGAATGCAAACAAGGCACGACGAACGAGAAAAGCAAGTTGAAAGAAAGCAAAACGACAAAAGCAAAAGCAGAAAAAAAAAAAAAAAAAACGATCATAAGCGTGGAGGAAACAGAAAAAAAAAAAAAAAAAAAAAAAAAAAAAGGCGGTTTTCGATTCCAATGCATGCTTCGGGAACGGAGATCTGCGGGAAGGCGAAGGGCGAAGCAACATGGCGACGGATGGAAGGAGTCGTCGCTTGCAGCAGCGTGGTGACTGGCGAAAGCGATCGACAGCAAACGAAGAAGAAGAAGAGGAAGAGCGAGAAGTAAAAAAAAAAAAAAAAAACGAGATGTTTGGTTTTTTTTTTCAATCGACGGTTGCTTTCTTCCATCTTTGCTGCCGGTCCATCGACAGAGGTGGCCATCATCAGCGCAGCGCTCTTGAGTGGGACAACAAAGGGGCTTATAGAAGAAGACTCACTTGCATGCCTCGAACGAGAAGGGAAAAAAAAAAAAAAAGAGAAACAAGCAGCAAAAAAAAAAAAAAAAAAAAAAAAGCATTATTCACTCCAATCCATCGCACTTTGCTTTTGCTCTCTCTTCCTGAGACTCTGACTCTGACTCTCTCATTCTAGAAAGATGCTCCAAGTTTCAATCAGTGGGGTCGGGGGGAATTTGGGGGCGGAGTGGACGTACGGGCCTGTCGCTCGGCAATGGTGAGATCCTTCCAGCTGCCCTTCTCCTTGACGCGGAGCGCAGCAATCTCGGGGGTCGGGGTCGGCGCGAGGGACTTTGGGGGCTGTGCAGGCAGGCCGCTGTTGACCTGTGCGATCAGGTCGAGGGTGGCAGTCGACACGAGGATGGGGCCGGACGACACGGCAGGCGCAGAGGCGTGCGAACCATAAGCGCGGCGAGCGATGGTGGACAGCATTTTGAAGAAGGGGAAAAAAGAAAGAGTGAGGAGCAAAAAAGCCCAGAAAGGGGAAGGGGAATTGATGTGACGAATAACAGTATAGATGAGAGAGAGAGAGAGAGAACGCGGGAGTGTGGCTGGAAGTTGAAGGGTGGGTTGCCAGAGCGAAACGGTGGAGATTTGTACAAAGATTGCAGCGCCGCGATTGCTGGGTTGTTCCTCCGTCCAAAGAGGCAGTGACAGATCGTAGAGGCCTCATGGTTGATTCCTATCAAACAGTTCTCAAGTGGATGCGGCTCTTCGATCGCCTGGTACAGGACCTGCAACGGTGAAAACGAGCTCTTTGAAAATGTTTTGGTTTCGATGCTCGCTTGTCAACCGCATCATTTCGATGGCACAACTAATCCATGATTTCTGCTGACCTAACAAGTCGAGTGTTGCGTGCTGTGATGTCCATCCAACTCTATCCATTCTCTGCCATAAGGAAAAAATTGCAGTCCTTTTTTTTTTTTTTCTTTCCGCTTCCAATGTCCGACGACTCTGACGACTCTGACGGTTCCATCGACCTTTATGGCTTCGACTCGGACAGCAGTGCTAAGAACGTCGTTATTACCAATGACGGCAGGGACTACGGCTCAGCTGTGCACTTTGACGATCGGGAGAGCGACGACGACACGCTGGACGAGCTCAACTACCGCCGCCACCCAATGTACCGCGAGTACGCGCCAGTCCTCAATGCGTATCGGCCATTCGGCTACGTCGGCATTCTGCACAAGCGCAATCCCGCGACAGACTCGAACAGCATCCGCGAGGCTGGCTTCGACCCGGAGGAGTGGGTGATTTCCATGCTAAAGTGCCAGCCAGCGACCAGTCCCGACCCAGCTGAAGCAGGGCCCTGCTGCTGCTGCTGCTGCTGCTGCTGCACACGAGTCTACTCCATCACAGTCAGAGCAGGCTCCCACGCCATGGGCGCTCGCAGTCGCAGAAGCCGCCAAAGCAGGCGTGCTGCCTGTCTCAGAAGCGACGACCGCGCGTGCATCGTCCAGCTCGGGCTCCAGCTCCGGCGTCGAGACGGCCGATTCCAATCGAGCCCCTCTGTTTTTTTTGGTGGGACATTTTTGATGGATCTCAAGGTAACCGATTGAACACAGCAACGCAATGCGACAACCAAAAAATAGCAAACGACTCACCTTCGCTTTGCGCATCACTCTGCTTGACAATCCATCCCAGACTTTCCCCTGGATGACTTTATCCAAAACCACCCAGTGAATCGCGAGCCCGACTTTAATCCACTGGACGCGAGCCCCGAGTTTAACTGGGCAGTTGGACGTCGCCTGCTTCCTTCGTTCGTGGCATCCAAGTCGGCCGAGCGTGTGCGCTTCTCGCATCGAGGAGTCGCCATCGACACCAAGTCCCGATTTGTACGTCGCTGTCTGCGGCGTGCCGAGCGCAATGCTTCTCGCATTTTCATGGTCGATGAAGCCACAGCAACCTCGTGCTCAATCAACCAGTCCAACATCGACCGTCTCACGTTTCATGGAGACCTGCTGCGCGACCCGACACTGCAGATGGACTTGGTTGCGACTGGTTTGCCTCTGAGCGCGAAACTCTACTGGGGTGACTCAGATACCTATTTCGCTTCATTCTCTAGCGGGACTGGCAGTGAACAGACTGGCTGGGTAATGCACTCGCGCCGCTACACTCGGTACTGGGATGAGATTGAGAGCCCGCTCATGACTGGCTCCATTATGGAGCTGTTTGACGCGCTGGAGACGATTCGGGTTGGTCGGTCCTACTCGCTGTCCACAGCCTTGTTGGGGAATGCCCCAGACTACGACCAATTTTATACCCCATCAGCTGTGTGGGTCATGCTGTTCCGATACTGGATTTTCGTCGAACGTGTACGACCACCGAAATCTGTCATTGATCACTGCGCCACGACCAGCATTGATACGCTTCGGTACTGTTTAAGGCATCACTACCAGGAGATGCACGGTCTTCGCGAGGTACTGCTAGCTCGTTGGCTGATCAACCACGTCGATCGCCGCAGACCGAATGCGTGGAACTGTGTCACGCTCGTCTTGGAGTGGTTGTACCCCGAGCGCAAGCCTGCGTCGTACGACTGCCTGCATCCGCCACGGCCCACGGGTCCGACGGTTTACGACAAGTTTGGTGTGACCGAGGAAGCTGAATGGGTCGTTTGCCGTATTCCTTTTGGCTACAATGCTGATTGGCTCACGAACGTGCCCGGGTGGGATATGGCGACTGTGCTTGAGTGGCTACCTGAACTTGGCCGGCAGAACTTCATTGACAGACCGACATCGTACTTTTCGAATTGGCTCTACCAGTTTGAGCTTGCAGGCTTTCGTACTCTGCCTGCTTTCGATGCCAAATCTTGGTGGTATTCCGGTGATGCTCATCCATTTGCGGTGGCGGCGACTCGACGCCTGGTTGTCGGATGCTTGCTTGCGTGGGGACTCTCTCCTTCGAAATGCCTCGCTTTCGTCTCATCATGTTCATATGGTGGCTGGCCATATGTCAAGCATCCCTATGACCGAGCACTTGAAAAGGAGTGGGCTCGCTTGCATGACCGAGTGGACGCAACCAACCAGGAAACTCTCAAGCAGATTCTGCAAATGGCCGAGCAAGCGCAACCTTTGAGACTTTCCTCGCTGTGCCGACTCAAGCTGTGGCGGCACGAAGGGAGCGAGGAAGCAGTTGCCAAAGCGCTCGGTGTCAGCAACATTGATGCGCTTCTTGGACTCGTCCCACCCGTCCCGCAGCCCGATCTGCGCGTACCTGAGGATGTCGCGCAGTTTGTGTTGGACATGCCTCTTGCTCGTCATTTGCAGCGCGTTCCCGCCTATCATGAGATGAGTTGATCTTGTTTGTCAGTTCCTCTGTTCGTTTGTTTCGGCTCTTGCCTCTTCTTGTCTGATTGTCTGTGCTTTGAATAAACCACACGGCACTTATTTTGACGAATACAACTTTGTGCTGAATAGCAACGTTTACGACGAGATCAAACCTCGAAAACATCAGCGCCAACCGCACTCTTCTTTATTCTATTTTTTTTCTCTTTTTTTTTTTTTTTTTTTTTTTTTTTTTTTTTTTTTTTTTTTTTTTTTTTTTTTTTTTTTTTTTCCCTTGTTCTTTTAGGTCACTTCAATGGCTGCGAGTGGGGCTGCGGCTGCTTGCAGTACCTCAACGATGTCGATCCGTTCCAGCTCGTGACGCCAGAGCCCGCGCGCAGCAAACCGTTCAAAGTGGACGAATCCCTTCCGCTTGGCGAGCAACTCCGCGACATCCACAAGATGCTCATGCCGCCGCTCAAGGCAAGCACAAAGCCCTCCCCAGCAACACAAACACACACCCATCCGAGTGGAGCGCTGGAACACAGCGAGAGACCGAGTCAGTGAGAGAGAGAGAACGAGCGTGAAAAGCGACCTTACTGACCAGTTGCCATTCCTGACGATGGAAGTGATCGCGCTGCGCTCGTTCGTTTTCAGCACGGATTTGAAGGGGAGGTGGAGGGTGGGTGAAATGTGCGCAGTCAAGTGCGGATGAGACAATGTCGGAAATCAAGTGAAGGAAGGAATCGGCCGCGGATTGCGCTTTTCATAGCACCTCAGTTGTTAGCAACAAGTGGCATTCGCCAATTGTCAACCCCCGTTCGCCTCAAAAACCCGTCACTTTGTATTCGATTCATTGACATTTGTCCTTGCTTTTCCTTTTGGTTTGGACTTTGGATGGGGTCGCGGGGCGGGGGGGGGGGAACAAACACACAGGTCGAGACGTGCGCACTGCAAATCAATGCGACCAACATCTACTTGGATCTGGACGAGGACATCAACAACCAGCCCGAGGACTGTGGTCTCAAGTCATTCTCGTAAGCGACTGGCGTTGCTTTCTTCGTTGTTGGCTGAGCTGTGTGTTCGAGAGCACGTTCCCCCGTCGGCTGAACGAGGAGGCGTAGGAGGTCAAAATTGGAACGAAATCTGAAAATGCGTCATTCTCGGTCATCGGCTTGTCACTCGAATAACCAACCCGAAAAATTGGTCTGACGCTCAGTCCATGGCCAACGTGCACGGAATGGCACGGGCGTGTTTTGGCGCTGGGACGGCGGTGGTTTGGGCCTGAGGCAGTCAGAGTAGGAGGAGAAAAGAGAGGCGGGGAGAACAAGCGCTCAGATCCAAAAAACACAGTCTTGTTTTCCTGCTTTTGCGCTGCATGGTCGCGGATGAATTCCTTCCTCCTCTCATACTGATGCTCTGGATGTGTGGGGATCACCTTGAAAATTCCACCATTGTTGCCGCCACCGCGTGCGTTGCGTTTGTCTTACTGGGAGCACTGCCAATACTCACTGTCCACTTCTTATTTTCTTTTTGTTTTTTGGTTTTTGGCTTCAGTCTCGTTCTTTTGCGCACAAAGCCGTCCGTGCGCGCCGAGACTGTCATCAAGCACCTGCATAGCACAGACGTCAAGGAGTTGCGCAAGTCAATTTTCACCTTGCGACGCATGTTCAAGGTAGGCACTTGGTTTCGCCGATTGTTGCGCTAGTCGTACTTTTCGACCTCCATGCCACGCTTGGCCGTGTTTGTTTTTTTGTTCTAAGCAGCACACGCTTCCTTCCGCCCCCTCCTCTCAAACAAGTCCCTTGCGCTCACAATCCCCTGGTGTATATGCTTGTTAGGAGGACGAGACGTTCGTCCAGGAGTTCATTTTTGCGGAGGGTCTGCGAACCCTCATGAAGGTCACCCGCACCGCCGAGCAGCTGACTCAGGTGTATGTGCTGCGAGCACTGGGCAACGCCATCTGCTTTGTCGACGGCATGGAGCAACTGTTGAAATCAATGGACGTGCTCGTCGACATTGTCAAGTTTGCCCTGACGGACAGCTCCAACTTGGCCAAGGCTGCGCTCGAGCTGCTGGTGGTCGTGACCGACTACCGTGAGAGCAACCACGAGCTGATTGTTGATGCATTCCGGCGCATTTCGACCGAGACAAAGCAGCCAATGTTCAAGTCGCTGGTTCAGCAGATCGCCAACATTGGCGACGAAGAGGTCCAAGTCTACTGCATGACCCTCATCAACAAGACGCTCGCCGCCGCAGACGAGGAAGACCTCTTCTATGACTTGATTGACCATCTCGAGATTGCTGGCATTTCCAAGTTGAAAAAACCGTCCTCAGGACCCTACCGCCAGGCGCTGCTCGACTATGAGCACACTGTCGAGGAGGCTGACAAGGGCAAGGTGTCCAACGCCTCCGCTCAGACACTTGCGCTGGCCAAGCGATCCGCGCCTGGCAAGGCTGCCGACGTGAAGCCGGCTGCTGCTGACCTCAAGAAGGTTGACGTGAAGCCTGCAGAAGTGAAGCCCGCAGAAGTGAAGCCTGCCTCAAACACCTCCACGCCAAGCAAGCCGTCGGTGACAGTGGCCGACCCAACGCCCGCGAAAACGGCATTGACGACTTCGAGTTCGACTTCTTCGCCTGCCGTTTCGGTCACCTCGCGCTATGCTCCCGCCAGCACGACCACCACCACCACCACCACCACTACCAAGCCCGCAGACTCGACTTTGTCTCCAGCATCTTCGCCTGCCGTTTCAGTCACCTCGAGATATGCTCCCGCCAGCACAACAACTTCAACTCCGTCTGCTGCTGTCAGTCCGACTTCGGATGGCAGCGTGAGCAAGGCCGCCTCGACGCCGTCCGTACTGTCTCGTTACACACCTGGTGGCTCATCCACCGCAGCTCCAGACGCGTCGGCAAAGACGGCCAGTGCCCTGGCAGCCATGGCGAACGAGTCAGACAAGCGCCGGAATCCCGACTCTGGGCTCAATGCACTCAAGGATGTCAGTGCGCTGGCCATGTCTGCTTTGGCTGGGCCCGAAACTGCGATTGTCGATACGCCTCCCAAGCCCACTGGCTCGTCGTCTGCTACGTCGTTTTCGACCATTTCTGGCCATCGCGCCACGCTGCCCAAGCCCGAAACTGCCGCCGGCGTCGCCGCCACCACCACAACCACCACGCCAGCACCTGCTAGCTCTACAACCTCAGCTGCCACTACAGCTACACCAACTACTACCACTACTACTGCAGCAGCATCAGACGCAGCCAAGACCGAGCCTGCAGCCACCATCGCCTCGCCGCCGCCTGCCAGCTCAACCCGCTCTGTTTCACCAGACCCCACCCCAAACACCCCGTCGCGTGCGACCAGCGGCTCTGTTCGCCAAAAGCGAATGGAGCGCAATCTCAAAATGCGAGGCGAGAGCGACAATTCAGCGACCCTGGCTGCCATTGCTACCAGTCACGAGGACGCTGCTGAGGATGGCCAATCACAAACCCCGTCTCCGTTGCCGCGATCTGCTGGTCTCCCCGCTGTGTCCGATACGTCATCCGAGGTCCAGCCTGCGAACGCTACCGCTGCTGCTCCCGGCACCGCCAACGATGCCGAGTTTACCAGGCCCGCCTCTCACAGACGCAGCTCGTCTTACACGCAAGCGACCGAGGGTGGTGGCGCGTCGACAGCGCCTTCCGAGCCCACGGTGGTTGAGATTGTTGTGCCAGTGCCTGGCAAGCTCGTTCGCATCGAGGTTGAGGAGCCCGAGGCTCCCCCTCCGCCAGCTCCAATCGTCCGCAAGAAGTTTGCTCAGAAGGAGTTTATTCTGCGCTCGTTTGACTTTTCCGACCTGAATGAGGGAGACGACGAAGACCCCTTGGACGAAACGGTCGGCATGCTGCCTGGCGGCGATGGCTCGGGTCCTCCTGGTCCCCCGCCGCCTCCACCAATGGGAGGAGGTCCGCCCATGCCTCCGCCCCCACCTCCTGCCATGGGTGGTCCTCCCATGCCTCCGCCGCCGCCGCCGATGGCCGGTGCACCCCCGCCGCCGCCTCCGCCTGGTGCTCCAGCACCGCCGCCAGCCCCCGGCGCACTCGGCGCAACAACTGGTACAGGCGCAGGTGCAGACAAGGTTGTCATGCGCCAACTGCATTGGACCAAGGTTAGCGTGCCGATGGTTCGTGCGCCCAACGCGGCGGCAACCGTGTGGGAAGAGGTCAAGCCAGTGACCATCAACACGGCCAAATGGACGCAACTGTTTGGCGTCGTCAAGACTGCTGCGGCCGACAAGGAGGCCAAGGCTGATGACAGCCAGGCCAAGCCGCGCAAAATCACCGTGCTCGATGGCAAGCGCTCCAACGCGGTCGCCATTGCAATCACCAAGCTCCCAGCTGCCAAGCACATCCGAGACGTCATCCTGACTCAGGACGACCGCAAGGTGACCAAGGAAGACATTCGCCGACTGCTCGACCTTTGCCCCACCGACGAAGAGCTCCAGGCAATCCAGGCTGGTATCAGCGCCAACCCGGACATTCCACTCGACACGGCGGAGGAGTACTTGAACGCCCTTGGATCGGTGCCTGCTGTGCAGGCTCGGCTCAAGGTTTGGAGCTTCCTTCACGACTTTGAGGAGCGTTTCAACCAGAACGCCTCGCAACTGCTCTCCATCAAGCTGGCTGTGAGCGAGCTCCACGACAGCAACGCTCTCAAGACAGTCATGAGCCTCGTCCTTGCCATTGGTAACCATCTGAACGCTGGCTCGGCTCGCGGTCTGGCCAAGGGTTTCCAGCTGGACGTGCTGAACAAGCTGCAAGACGCCAAGGATGTGACTGGCAAAGTGACCCTTTTGCAGCACCTCGTCACGCTCGTTCTGGAAGAGTATCCGGCAGCCGCCTCGCTGTATGATGAGCTCTCGCATGTGGTGGATGTCACCAAGATGGACGTTGACGGACTTGAAGGCCGGCTGAGCAAGCTGACGAGCGATGTCAACAGCATCCGGGACTTGGTCGACGAAGTGACCTTGGCGGCCTCGACCTCGCTTGCGCTCTCCGTGACCCAGCAAAGCGCCGAGTCTCCCTACAAGGCAATCATCCCCAAGTTCCTTGCGGACGCGGGTCATCAGTGCGAGGTGATGGAGGCGGCGCACTACCGCATCAACAACCGATTTGGCAAGCTGCTGCTCTACTTTGGCCTGTCCGTGTCGACCGCCAAGAAGACAAAGCTGAGTGAGTTTTCCACCATGATCAGTGACTTTGCTTTCGACTACCGAATGAACGTCAAGAAGCAAGTCGAGGCCAAGGAGCTGGTCAAGGTCAAACGCGAACGCAACAAGACGCGTGGCCAGCGCATTACGTTGACTGGCAAGAACGACCCCAACAAGCCGCCAGGAGCCGACAAGCTCAATGGGATGCCCTCGCCCAAATTGGGAGCATCCCTCACGGTGCCCGGAGCCGCCGAGTCTCCCTCGCTGTCTTCGTCCACCGCTTCTGCGGCAACTCCAAGCCTTGGTAGCACTGATGATGACGATGAAGACGAAATGATGTCTGCGTTGGCCAAGACTCTGATTTCCTCCGCCACCTCGTCCGCGAACAAGCGAAAAAAGATGCGCAAGCCGAGCTGTCTGGGACCACGAACAACAAGTAGGTTGAGTTTGTGTGTTTCTTGGAGCAGCTTTTGTCCACAAACTGACTATTTTCGTTGTTCTTTTTTTGCTTGTTTGCTTGTTTGCTTGTTTGCTTGCTTGCTTGTTTGTTTGCTTGCTTGTTTTCAGTTCGCGCTGCGCTAGCATCCGCATCTACCGCCAATTAGCGAACGCTACTTTATGCTACAGTTGCCCGTTTGTTCGTTCGTTTCCTTTACTGTTTCACTTGCATTTACTTCAGAGAGAGATTGAGGGTTGTTGGACAAGTTGCCTACATTGAGGCACGCGTCAAAAGATTATCATACATTTTAATCCAATACAAAGCGTCCTCGTTCCAACCTCAAAAAAAAAAAGCCAAACAATTTACTTGTGACTAGACCACCGACGGCGCGCAAGCTGCGAACTCTGTCCACCAATCCCGCGGTGGCCATGGACGTTGACGGCGTCCGGCATGAGCGAAGGGCGGAGGAAGATTCCGACTCCGCCTGGTGTATGTGCTTTGATCTCGACCTTGGCCATGTCGGGTGCTGCGAGCGATGCAAAACCAACGTCAGAGAAAACCACATCCATGACACTTTGGCGAATTCCGGCGCCGTGGAATGAAAACGCGCGCCCACTCAACGCGCCCAACGGAGCTGGACGAGAGGTTCGGTCTGCTGGTGCGACCGACTGCTGTTTCCGCACGACAAGCGATTCGTCAAAGGGCAGGCCCGAGTTGCGCAGAATGGTGATTTGCTCATCTGTCAGCGCCTTTCCGTGGGCCACGCGGTTGAGAATCTGCTTGACCGCTGCTCGTCTGGGTGCCGCTGGAGTCGCCTGGGTTTCTGTCGCCGGCGCGCCGGAAGGTGACGGGGTCTGTTGCTCCGTGATCTCGCCGGAGACGCTGACTGGAGTGCTGCTCTCATCGACTCCCGAGTCGGATTTTCTGGCTTGACGACGTGCGGCAAGCTCAGACTCGTTGAAAAAGGGTGGCGACAGCAGCGGGGTGCCGAGGTGTCGCTGGTAAAAGTCCTCGGCATTGGAAATCCGTGTCGCATGCAGTTTGACCGTGTTCGAAACAAAGACAGTCACCAACACGGCGCCGTCCGCGCTCGAGAGCACATCCAAGCGACCAAGGCCGCCAATAAAGACGCATTGGCCTGGATTGAGCCGAAACACTTGTGGAACAATCAGCTTTGTCGGAATGACGGCGGAAATGTCGGCGGCGGACAAGCGATGCAGACTTTGGTGCGGCGACATGATGCCGGGCGTGTCAAACAGGTAGCCCGAGCGCTGGAGCTCCTCGTCGGCCACATCGCGCAAGATCGAGCGTCGATCCAAGCGGGAAAGCGGGACGGCGTCCTTGTCAACAGCGGCCGCATCGCGCGACTGCAAGCCTTGGGCTGTGTGAGAATGGGAGCGCCCGAGGCCGCCCGTGGAGTTGGAATCTTGCAGCATGGCGACCGCGCGTTCTGTTGCGTGAATGGCGTCCATGGCACCGCGAGCGGCCAATCGAAGCTGCTCCACCCTGCGGGAACTTTCCGCACGATCGAGTCGCCCGGCATACGACGATAGCGACAGCAGTGGGAAGCCGAGCAGGCCAATCGTGGTGCCGGGAACGCCGCTCGTTGTGATGGAGGTCACGGGCGAACGCGACTCGTTCAGCACCCGCAATTTGTCGAGCAAGTTGTTGACAAGGGTGGATTTGCCCACATTGGCACAGCCCACAACGTACACGTCGCGGCCACCTCGAAGGCGCTGGATGGCGTCCAAGAGTGTCCAGCAGCCGGTACCTTTCATTCCGCTGACGAGGTGAACGCCGACAATGTGCGAGCGAACAGCGGGCGAGTAGTGATTGATGATGAGGCGCGACAACCATTGGCGAATGCGCGAAAGATGCTTGTCGTAGCCAGGCAGCAAGTCGGCTTTGCTCCCGACGAAAAAGATGCGCTGGTTGCTGCCGACGTACTCTTCGAGGTTGGGGAGACTCGAGCACGGGAAGGTGGTGACGTCAACCACATGCACGATAAAGGCCTCCTTGGAGCGGATGGGGGCCAGCTGCTCCTGGAAGTGGGCTGGATCGATTTGGACGGGGAGAAGTTGGTTGTTGTGGGTGAGCTGGTGGCAGCGCTTGCAAATCAAATCGCTGGGCGATGCAACGCGGGCCGAAGTGACAATTTGAACACGAGGCTGAGGACTTGGTTGGCCTTCAGAGGCGTCTGCGGTCGTGTCTGCAGGAGCTGCTGGTGCGGTGTCGTCGCCATTGGATCTGCGCAGTGCATTGCCGAGCAAGCGCTCCGCCTCTTCTGGAGATGCATGCAGGATGGCTGCTTGTTCCTCGAGCGACAGAGACAGCGGACTGCTGGTGGCACCATCCGTTGCCGGCAGCTTTGACGATCGCGGCTGCGCCTTGCGCTTCTTGTTGTTGTTGGGCCCGGGCGGTGTGCCCTTGATTTGGCGCGCCTTCAAGCGCTCCTCGATGGCTGCTGGAGAGACATATCCGAGCTGCATCTCATTGCGCAGTTGAAACGCCGTTCCGCATCCTGGGCATTGCCGCTCGTGCACAAACGCCTCCAGCTCGTGGACGGGGATTGGCGGTGCAGCCATTGCCTCCGCCGTGCGTCTGGCCCGCGCCGGGCTCACCGGTGTCTGGACCATGTCCAGAAGATCGCGGTCAACGTGATATCGCCGCGCAGCTTCCTCCGCGATCGTCGACTTTCGCCGCTCGGTCGCGAACGCGGCCATTCTGAGCAGCGTCGCGTCATCCGGTCTTTGCTCCCCGCGCGGCGGTTCCAGCTCGGCCGTCGCTAATGCTGAGGAGGATGGTGCGGATGAGGATGACATTGTGGCATCGTGGGTTGGCACTGGGACTGCCAGGGCGGGCTCGTCGGCCGCTGTGTGACTTGGTCTTGGCGGGAACGGCGCACGTGTGGATGAGGACGACGACGAGCATCGCGCAGTCACGGCGGTCGTCGCAGCGACGGATGATCGTCCAGCATGGATGGGTGCGTACGCTGGCAATGCGGCAAGACCTCGCAGCGCAGCGGACGCGGCAGCAGCGCCGAGTGAAGCCGGCTGCTGAGGCTGAGCTGCGATCGCACTGATGACCGTCAATGGCGATCTGTGCATCTGTTGTGATGAAAGATGGACTGAAATGAATCGAAGCGACGTTCAAACAACATAGGCAAGAGTGGGATCTGTCATTGAATGTGAGTCGCTGTTGTAAAATCTGAGATGGCTGCAACCAGAGTTGTTTTTTGAGCGCCATCATCGTTGTTCCCTTGTTCCAGTGCTCTGCTTCTGAACGTCCATCCATCTTGACTTTGCACTTCTGAGACTGACTCGTCTGAGATTCCAGTCTTTTTTGATCTCAGTCTCAGTCTTACAATCTCGCCAAAATGTCAGCAAAGAACTACGACCGCGCCATCACCGTCTTCTCTCCCGACGGCCACCTCTTCCAAGTCGAGTACGCACTCGAGGCTGTTCGCAAGGGCACTGCAGCGGTAACCCCCAAGCATCAGCAATGCGTTGTGGTTGTGGTGGTTGTTTGCTTCTTCAGTGGCCTTTGCATTGCAAGAGTTCGTCCCTCTGTCTCTCTCCTTCTGTCGCTTGATTCAGTTCACGCAGCAGCAGCGTTGGTGAACTTGAACGCCAACTGTCTCTCGTCCTGTCGCTTCCAGTCTGTCCCTCTGTCCCTCTGTCCCTCTGTCTCTCTCTGTCTCTCTCTGCAGCTTGACTAGAAGTGATTTTTTTTTTTCGCGATCTCAAACTCTCGAACTTTTTTTTTTTTTTTTGATTTTTTTTTTTTTTGATTTCCTTTGGATTTGCATTACGCTTTTCTTTTCTTTTGGCTTTTTGGTCGATGTTGGACTGGTTGGTTTTTCTCATCCACTTTTGAATCAACAACAATCGAACGCTTTTGTCTCACTTGATTCGTGCTTTGTTGCCTGCTGCTTTGTAGGTCGGCGTTCAGGGCAAAGACATTGTCGTGCTTGCTGTCGAGAAGCGATCGACCGTCAAGCTGCAGGAGCCCCGCACCGTTCGCAAGATCTGCGTCTTGGATGATCACGTCTGCATGACGTTTGCTGGTAAGGAGTCGGGGCGGCTGGAGGAGACGTGCTGAGGCTGTTTGGTCACTGATTTCGTTCATTCGGAAAAACCTTCCTTCCTGTTCTTAGGCCTCACCGCCGATGCCCGCGTTCTCGTCAACCGAGCACGAATTGAGTGCCAGAGCCATCGTCTCACCGTTGAAGACCCCGTCACTGTCGAGTACATTACCCGTTACATTGCTGGCGTTCAGCAGGTATGCCTGCGCTTCGTTCTTGCCATCGTAGTTGCCGCTGCCGTTGCAGTACGCATTCCAGACACCTCACGACGATCGTGCAAACCCCCCCCCCTCTCTCTCCCCACAACAACGTTTGCTTGAGCAGAAATACACACAAAGCGGTGGTGTTCGCCCCTTCGGCATTTCCACCCTCATCATGGGCTTTGACTATGACGGCACTCCTCGCTTGTACCAAACAGATCCCTCTGGCACATATTCCGCATGGAAGGTAAGCTTTTTCTATCTGGCTACGGCGGAGAGAAAGCACGAGAGAAGGAAGAGAAAGCAAAGATCCGGATTTTTCCTCTTTTGACAACTTTGCTTTCCGCTCTTCACAGGCCAATGCAACCGGCCGCAGCTCAAAGACCGTGCGCGAGTTCCTCGAAAAACACTACACTGACGCCGTGGCCGGAAATGACGACGAGGTCGTTCGACTGGCCATCCGCGCGTTGCTAGAGGTGGTGCAATCTGGCGGCAAGCACATTGAAATTGCTGTCATGCGTCGCGGACAACCACTCGAAATGCTGGCACAAGAGCAAGTTGATACCATTGTCGAGGCTATTGAGAAGGAGAAGGAGGAAGAGGCCGAAAAGAAAAAGTCCAAGAAGTGAGCACTTTTCTTCCTCTCCGTTCGAGCAATGACGTGTTGTTTTATTTTTGTCCGGTTGTTATGAAAAAAAAAATGAACAGATTGTGTTGACAAGCAGCGTTTCTCGCTTTTGAATGAGCAAGGGGGGAACATTGTCGCCATTGCACCAGTTTGTTTGTGTCGATAATTTTGCGGAAGGCTTGTCTGCCGGTCGTCGTAGCAGAACTTTGCTGCTGGGTGCAACAAAATCAAGCACCAGCAACGACACAAGATGGGAGGTTTGCAGTGTATTAAAGCAAATAACAGCAGATGAAATGATCGTATGGTACAAGCACACCGCGAGCTCCAGAAGAAGAAGAAAAGAAGAAGAAGCGAGCACACAATGAGATAGGTGAAGGTGGGGAAAGGGAAGAAAAGATGATTTTTGTTTGTTTTTTGGTGTTTTGTTGAAAAAAAAAAAAAAAAGAAAACCGAGCAGATTAACTTGACTGAAAAATAAATCTCAATTAAAGGCAGTCGGAACGCCAGTCGAATTGCTGTAGTTGTTACGGCCTCCGCGGCGGCTGTTGTGGTGACCACCAGCGTTGGGGTTGCCCGTGCTGTTGTGGTAGTAGTTGTTGTTGTTGTTGCTGTTGTTATTGTTGTTGTAACCGCCGTGTTGACCTCCACGACCGCCACGACCTCCACGGCCACCTTCGCCACCACGATGTCCGTAGCCACGACGGGGTGCGTTAGGGTTGGTGCCGAACGTCTCCGAGTTTGTTTGGCGCTCTTGCGCCCAGTTCTTGCGACTGTGGAACAACGAGAATGTGCAGAACAAAGGATGTTCAGGTGAGACAAGTGCCAAACGCTTTTCTCTAAACAACACGGAAAAAGGAAGGAACACGACGGAACGAATTCACTTACTGCGAGCGGCCTTCGGTAGCCTCCTTTTGACGGTCGGACACTTCGCACGAAATGGTGTCAAAGAAGGACTTGGACGGGTTATACCGGGGCTGAGCGAGCAAATCGTCTTCGACAGCGGGTGCTGCGTCGGGTGTTGAGCCCGAGGTGGATGCAGCGGCAGGGGCTGAGCCGTCGTCGAGCTTCAACTTGTCCTTAAACTCGGATTGCAAATCCTCCTTTCGCAAGCGAGCATTGGAGCCCTCAAAGTCGAAATCGCCATCAAAGGACTGGGGAGCCATGGCCACGCTCGCGTTGGGTGTGCCCAGAATGCCCACAGATCCGTCGTCGGCACGCGGGGCGCGGTTTGGCCGCCCACCAAACGTCGCAGTGTTGTGCATGTTGGCGTTTTGGTAGCCCCCGCGGCGATTGCTGTTGTTGTAGTGGTTGCCACGGTTGTTGTAGTTGCTGTTGTTGTTGTAGCTGCTGTTGTTGTTGTAGTTGTTGTTGGATTGGTGTTGGTTGTTGAAGCGTGGAGGACGCTCGCCCCATGCTTGTTGCTGTTGGGGCTGCTGTTGAGGCTGTTGCTGAGCGACAACAGGTTGCTGTGCAGCCGGAGCAACAGGCACAGCAGCAGCAGCAGCAGCAGCAGCAGGAGCTGGAGCAGCAACAGTCACTTGCACAATGGCTGGGTCTTGCGGCTGCTGCGCCTGTGGCACGAATGCCGGCGGCTCGCTCTGCACATGCAGATCCTTGATGTCGCTGCCACGGAAGACAATGTACTCGAAGACGTCTGCGCGGGCAGGGACTTCCTTGCCGTCAATCCCGCGTCCCTCCGTGCCAAGCGATCGCACTGTCCCAAAAAACAAAAAAAAAAAACGCAATGGAAAGTCCATACAAAAAAAAAAAAAAAAAAAAAAAAAGTCAGCATTGATTTTTGTGTTTTCTTTTCGTGTGGTTTGCTAGCCATCAAGGCATCAAAAGGCAAAAGTCAAGAACGACGCCAATGTGTTGGACGTTGTCGAGCAGCGAACGAGGGCGTCTCAGCCAAAGAGCAAGGAGAGCAAAGGACGGGAAAGAAGCAGATCTCGGGTTTTCGCTTTTCCCCCAACTTCCTCGCTGCGGTCTGCCGTCTGACTGCTCTGCTCTTTGTTGAGGTGGTTGTATGAACCGAGCAGTGCAAGGGTCGAAACCAAAGGAGCAAGGACAGGGAGGGTTGGAGAGCGGAAGGGGGAAAATGAATGACCGAAGAACGGAAACAAAAAAAAAAAAAAAAAGCCGCTCGGAGTACTACTTTGTTCAGTGGGTGGACAACAGGAGCGTATAAATGACGACCAATCGACTCAACAAAACCGCTACTAAAAGTGATGAACGTTTGCTTTTTTTTTTTTTTTTTGCTTTTTTTCTTTCGTTCTCGTGTGTCGTTTGGCTTGTTACTGACCGTTGGCGAGTGTGACGGTGGACTCTTCGGTGTTGATGCCGTAGAGTGTGCCTTCGTAGCGAATGTTGGCGTTGGAGATCAGGCTAATCCGGCTGCCAATGTAAGGAGCAGTCATTTCAAATAGAAGCTCAAAGAAGAGGAACAAGAAGAAGAAGAGTGGTTCATCACAGAGACCGACAAGACTCAGAGTTATAGCTAAAATGACACTCACAACAAAGCCATCAAGCCGATGGGTCTGGGAATTCGAAAAGAGCGGGGGGCTAGGTGTATGGTTTTGTCTGGCAGATTGTCCTTGCCAAACGAGCTGGTATATCTGGATTGAGGTGCCTGTCTCGGCACTGATACTCGATAGTATGCAGTTCTACTCATCCTGTTATGTAATGTATGCTATGCGATGTGGATCAGTCCAACAAAACCAAAGCAGACACAATGGGCGACGCTCGTGCTATTGGAGAGAACTTTACCAACTGGTACTACCAAACGTTTGACGTTGACCGCGAGGGCGTCGCAGCTGCCTACGTGAGTGGTGGTTTTTTTTTACCTGTGCTTCTTGCTTTGTGGTTGTCAGTGTCATCACTCCCACCCCAGCAAGGCGAGCGACGGAGGGTGCAATGCGACGTATGCGAAAATCCACGCGGATCCGCTCTGCTCCACTTCGTCCCCCTCGAAGAGCACAGACTGAGCGTTGGCCAGCCAGAGCCCATGCGTTGGAAGCAGCACTCGCATGCTTTTTATCGCTCCAGCAGCGACGCTTGCTGCTGCTCTGCGCTGCTGGACTGCCAGACCAGACCAGAGCCGCCTCTTCTTCGCTCTCATCGCTCGCCCCACTTGGCCCGCCACTGCCTCCAGCTCTCGCTTCCGCACACCAGCGGGTATATAAGGAAGAAGCACTTGCTGTTCACTACTCGTTCGTCTGCGACAGAGACGCTGCACGCTTGTTGTTCAACGAGAACGACCCAACAATCTCCTTTCAAAAGAAAAAAAGAAAAAAAAAAAAAGGCGGGAAAACTTCAAACATAACGCTGCAATGCAACGTCCAGTCATTTCTGTTGGACTTTTCGGACTTGAGTGATTTTGCTCAGTTGACTGACGTTTGAGGACCTGGTGCTTATTCTTGCCTTGTAGGGCGCTGACTCGGTCCTCACATACGAAGGCGAGGTTTTCCAAGGCGCCGTCGCGATCATGGCAAAGCTCCGCTCGCTCAGCTTCCGCACCGTGTCGCACATTATCACTGCTGCTGACTGCCAGCCCACTATTAACAACGGCGTCATAGTATGCGTCATTGGCCAGATGCAGGTGCGTGATGGGGTTGGTTTGTTGTTGTTCGAGGGCATATCGTATTGCTTGCCTGCGCTCGACCGCTTCCCTGTGCTCACTCGGCATGCTTCTTGATTGTTTTGCTTGCTCGTTGTGCTCCGAAATAGGTCGACGGCGATGACAAGCTGCTTGCGTACAGCGAGCTCTTCCACTTGCAATGGAACGTCGAGACCAACAACTACTACATCATGAACGATTGCTTCCGAATTTCGGTGCACCACTATGCTTCTGGCTAAGCGTCTGGGGGATTGCTGAATGTACATTTTTCGTTGCTACTGCGTGCAAGTAACGGTCGTGGATGATGCAAATTCAAGGTTCATGCTCAAATTCATTGTGTTTGAAGCAGGCACGGACTTTGCCATTAGAATATTGGAACACTCTTTGATCTACTGATGATCGTGTTGGGGTTTGCAGGCACGAGTGAGATGTGATCTGGGGAAAGGAAGGCCAATGTAACTCAAACTGTGAAGCGGCGCAGCAACAAAAAAAATCATTCATTTAGACACATTAACAAGGCAACAACACTGGCTCAGTGGGGCATTCCTCCATCGTCATTGTCACGCATAGGGATGTCCCACGATGGACTGCATCCAAGATTCAAACAACAAGCAGATCACGATGTCAGCGATAAAACAACCAGTCAACAAGTTCACATGCAACACGCTCTCTCCCTTTACTCTCTCCCTTTGCTGTCTCTCTCTCTCTCTCTCTCCCCCACCAATGCTCTAGCAATAAAGCTCCTTACTGGGCAAATTGGCAGGTTGGGCCGTCTGGGCAAAACCCGGTCAGATAGTTGGTGCAAATCACTCGTTTTCGATGTCGCAATTTGCATTGCGCTCCATGTCGGCAAAATCCGCGTGCATACCACGGGCAATCTTTCTTTTTGGTCTCGGGATCGATATGTCGGTACTGGCACTCGGTGTTGGTACATTGGCCTGTGTGGAGAGAGCAGAGCGTGGAACAGTAAAAAGTTAGTCGTTTGTAATGCTGTGCTCTGAGCTACTCCTGCTCTTACCGTATTTCTGGAAAAAGTAGCATTCTGGCATCTTGCTCATGTCGTATTCGTGGAGAAACTCGCAGTGCTCGCCTTTCTTGCAGAGCCCTCGCAGCCAGTGCTTGCAGACGACCTTCTTGTCTGTTCGTGTATGGCGGAAGGCGCAGCTGTTGCCCTTCTTGCACTGTCCGCGCAGGAACAGCTTGCAGATCTCGGCACCCGACTCTGCACAATCACACACAAAGTTTGCACGCGCAGATTCAGTGACAGATACGCGTCGGTGAATCGACGTTCAACCCAAACGCCAACGAAAAACGACCGTACTGTCCATGCCCTCGAAGGTCATTGTGCCGCCGCCGAGCTGCTGGTCGAGCATCTCCTCGACATCAAAGTAGTAGCCATCCACATTGGACAGCAGGTCGAGCAGCATCCTCCCAGCGAAAAAAGGTCAATGGAAAACGCAATGGAAAAACTCAATGGAAAAACTCAATGGAAAAACTAAATGGAAAGCTGTAATGGAAAAGACTGAGACTGAGCCACCTCCCCCTCATCACTTTGGGATTTTCATGCAATATATTTAGATGTTTATCCAATCTCGTCCCATCTCAGAAAATCTCAGTCGTCCTTCCATTCATTTTTCACTCTCCATCCCGTTGACCATGAGCGACTTGCCTCAGTCTGCAGCCGTCACTTCACTCGCGACCGCATTCTCGTCCTCGTCCTCGTCGACACCAGCACTGTCAGAGCAGGCTGAGCTTGCGACTGGCAGCCATATGGCCGTGGCTGCTGAGGCCGCCTCGAGCTCCGCCAGCCCCCTCCACGAGGACGGCAGCGTCGAGGACGAGGCGGCCGTTGAGCGCTCGCTCGCGGTGGCTGCCCAGGCGCGTGCCGCAGAGCACCGTCCAGCATTGCATCTGATCAACGAGAACGACTATGTCATCATGACCAAAGGCGACTCGATCAAAATCCACCTCGTCCAGCGCGGCAAGTACGTCTCACTCACTTGGTCCTCGAGCACCCCACACGCACACACACATACGCATACAATGCCGTCAAAGTCATCAACCTATGTTGCCATGTTGGCGACAAAACTTGGCTTGGTGTTCGCTCTTGGCGACGTTGCTGAAATCCGATGTCCGCTTCACTTTACTGCGATTCTGAGATTGTATCAACAAGCACAGAACCATCACTCACGTAGGATTGGATGGATCTGACTTGCATTTGCACAGCCTTGTTCACTTTGGAAAATTGTCATTCAAGCTGGATTCGGCGATCGGACAGCCATGCGACAGCTACTACGAAGTGACGCGAGACGGTCTTACGCGCGTCAACCGTGTCTCGGACGTCCTGGCAGAGAGTACGCAGACGAGCTTTTTATGGGTGGGAGGGGGGGGGTGCTGCGTTTTGTCTATTGAGAGCCCGTGACTCACCAGCTCGCTGGATTTGATAGCCGAGGAGTCGTCCGTGGCCAAAAGCAACCAATTCCTTGTCGACAAGGGCTCGAATCAAAAGTTGACAGCCGATGATGTGCAAAGCATGAAGCGAGCGAATGTGACTGGTCAGGTGTGTGCATCTGCGGAAGCGTTTGCTCTACTGCTGTTTGTATACTTCGCTCAACTCGTATTCTACTCCATCATCAGACTCTCATCTCCAAGCTCGTCGAAAACAGCTCAAGCTTTGAGCATAAGACCGAGTTTTCCCAAGCCAAGTACATCAAGAAGAAGCAACAGCGGTAGGTCGTTGTTTTTTTTTTGCATTTCGTTGAGGTCCTCGTTGTGTGCTCATCCGCCCCAACTCTGTCGCCGCTCGCAGTCACTTGAATGTCGTGAGGATTGCACGCCCAACCGCCCAAACCCTATGCGAAGCGCTGTTCATCACTGATAACAGCAAGATCATGTACGTACCACTATTTGGTTTTGCTTGCATTGCGATTTGTTGTCTCATCTCCTCCCACCTCCTCTCTGTTCGATGCAGGTCGCTTCGTATTGACTCGCTTGCGCACATGTTGACCTTTGGTAACGTCTTTTCTGGCATTCGCGTGGCTGTCGTGGAGGGAACACACGGCCTGCTCTCCGGCGCTTGTTTGGAGCGCATGGGAGGTACGATTGACATGCTCCAAGTTGTTGTTATCTTGGTTTGTATGAGGGCCCCTCATACTAATTTTGGATTCACCCCCAGGTGCCGGAACTCTGCTCCAGCTTCATCACTCGGACGTACCGTCTCGCCAGTTTATGCTTCCGTTCAACTTTGACGAAAAGGCGCTTTCCATTGTCAAGTACATGCCGCTCACCACCCTCAGCCACGTTTTGAGCGAGACCCCGCGTCCTACCACGGCCGAGGCCGCAGGCATCGAGACTTCTTCCGCCGTGCCAATGGAAGTCGACACCTCAGACCAAGCAGCTCAGGAAGAGGCCGCACCGGCACCAGCTGAGACTCCAGTCGAGGCCGCAGAGGGCCAGAAAGCCGCTGGCGCTGGCAAGCGAAATGGTCGCCCTCGCATGCCCCGTCCAGATGTGGATGCTGCCATCCGGGAGCTTCGTCGCGGGCGCTTTGACTGTCTGCTCCAAGCGACTCGGCACAACCCGGCGTCTTTGCTCTTCCCTATGCTTCCCTTCCTCCTGCCTTCGCGCCCGTTTGTTGTCTTTTGCCAATTCCAAGAGGTACGGTTTGTGCTGTCCATTGTCAGAGGCAATCTTTCTTGAACCAGCTTTGTTTGGGCAAGACGCTCGAGTTCTCATGTGGTCTTTTTGGCTTCTTCTTGTTTTGCTTGCATGGAAACAGCCGCTGGTTGAGTGTGCGCTTCGTCTCCGACGAGAGGGATTGGCTGTCAATGTTCAGGTTGTCGAAGTTCTCTTTACCGACCATCAGGTAAACTTCCCAGGTCCTTTTGTTAAAATGACCACATTGCTGCAGCCGGTTGGTTTCTCATCACCCTTTTCCTTCCTAGGTTTTGCCCAGCCGCTCGCACCCCAACATGACAACCAGTGGCACCGGTGGCTTTATGCTGTCTGGCACGACCGTCGTCCCGCCATCGGCTGAAGAGCACGAATCACGGCAATCGCGCCCAGCCATCCAACCTTCGAAGCGCACAGCTACCAATGCCGCCTCAACTAGCTCGACGGAAGACGCGACCGCCACTGCTGCTGCTGCTGCCGCCGATGCCAGCTCAGACCAACCAGCAAAGAAATTGCGACTTGACGAAAACGCAGAGTAGTGTTTATTCTTGCACTTGCAGTTATTTGTTACGAATACCACTTTAGTGTTTCAACTTGTCTCAGATCAATGTCGAATTATCCCGCTACAAGAATGGAGCTTCAGTTTCAACTCTTCTTTTAATTGAATCTCTCATTTCGAAAGAACATTAAAAGTCACTCACGGCATCAATCGAGTAAACACCCAATACCCAGACACACACACATACACACATACACACACACTGAATTTCACATTATTTGAAGGCGTCAATCAGAGAGTTGATGCTTTGATAAGCGCCAAAGCCACCACCCGCCAAACCGAGTATCAAGATGAAGACATTGTATCCAAGCTCGATCTTGCCAAGCTCGGCGTACCGCAACTTCATGTTGAAGGCAGTCGGTAGAATGTAGACCATAAACACAAGCGAGATGGCGCCCAGCACATCTTGGACTTGGGCAATGTGAGGGACAAAGTACGCAATGGTCGCTGTTGTCATGACCAAAGCGATGCGAACGATCGATCGCAGAATGATGGCCATGACAGGTGTTCGATGCTTGTTGTCGATCTTGTAATTTCGTTCAACCTGTGGATCACGACAACGTTTCCAAACCCGAAGTCAGCGAGGCGAATTAGAAACAACGAGAAACACACGGAATCCAAAGCGCAAGCACGTTACCTCCTCGGACACGACATTAATCACGATCGGGTAGGCGCACAACAGGTGGACGGTGATGATGAGTTGCACGGCCGTGACCATTTGACCAGCAGCGCCGGATGAAGGAAGCGACTGGAGAATTGGAGCTTGGGCGAGGTTGCCATAGACAAAGTATCCGGAAACGACGGTGGGCAAGTACATGATCATGAGCGCAATGAAGGCCCAGTTGTAAACAACGGGGAACTGCTCGGGCTGCGGCATGTGACCTTCGATGGTGGGGCACTGTCGCATTGAATGCGAGGGTTGAGTAACTCAAACGGCACGACACAAAGAAGCGGAAGAACAAACTACGGAAGAAGAAGAAGAAGAAGAAGAAGAAGAGGGCGCGAAATTGTTCAGACAGTGCTTACCACAGAGGCGCCGCCGAACGCCAGTGTAATGGATCCAAAAGCGGCCGCAAACCCGCTCGAGTTGAAAAAGGTGTGCTCGCCAAAGAGAGTGGCGTTTCCCACGTCGCCACGCACGTCGGGGTTGTAGTAGTCAACAAGCGAGAGAACGACAACAGAGATGACGGTGATGAAAGTCGCAGACATGCCGAGCATGCTGAGCAAGGCCACTTCGCGCAGCGTCTTGAGCACCAAGATGGGAACGAGGACGATGCATGCACAAATCCAAATCCTGAATGGTACATGGAAGGTTCAAAAAAAGGTCAAAATGAGCTGCGACGCTTGCACAAGGACACGGGTGAAGGGAAAAGGGAGTCAGGGGGGCATACCAACGCGTTTGCCAGTAGTCCGAGTCGTGGCTGTCAAGCGGAGGCAATGCCGAGCTCAAAAAGATGCCGCAGAGAATGAGAAAGATCACACCGATGCCCATCAGAGTGACCTTTTGGAACAGGTTGGCAGCAAACCGTCCCGCCTTGCCAAAAGCAGCATCGCCTGTGTGGACAGCGCCAAAGCAAGAATGAATGGTTAGTTGATGAGCGGGCACTCCCCATCCAGCTCAGGGGAGGGGGGGGGCGTAAGGCGCTCACCGATATCCGCATAAGACTCCAATCGACGTTGACCAGGGCTGTTTGAGCATGTTGGAGAGTGAGCACAGGGCGGAATGACGAGCTTGACGAGATGGTACAAAACCGAGTGTTACCTCGCATACAGACACTTGATAAGGGCCTTGCCAGTGTAGTTGGCCATGACCGCGCAGAGAACGACCAATCCGACGGCAATCCAGCCACCTTCCGCAGCGTTGTAAGGCACGTTGAGGTACTCTACCGTCCAATCAACAGCAAAAAAAAAACAGAAGAAAGGAGACAAATGCATCCGCAAGCGAAGCAAATCATTCGAGGTCAAGGAAACCACCGGTTGTGCGAAATGTAGCAAAATCCATCATCAACAAGCATCCGACACGAGCAAATGAATGATCGTCAGCAGCATCCGACACCATCAATGCTCGAACACGAGCTCGAACACGCAAATCAGCAGCATCCGACACAGGCAACAATCTGGTCATCATCACGCATTCAACAATGTGCAAACAATCAAGCCGATATAATTCCAGCGCCAGCCATCGTGCATCTGTTCACAGTGATTTCAGATCGTCGGTTAGTACGGACGTATTCAGCGAGAGTTGATCACGGTTTGTTCAACTGAGACTGCGACGCGACGCTCCTCATCGAAATCAACCCAATCAAACCGAGAAGGAGGCTCTTTTTGGTTTGTTGTTTGATGTTTGTGTTGTGTTGTTTTGCATTCAAGCTCCCCAGTGATTCCAAGATTCTAAGATTTGACAACCTTTTTTTTTTTTTTTTTTTTTTTTTTTTTTTTTTTTTTTTTTTTTTTTTTTTTTTTGGTGTTCCACATGACCAATGCTTAATGTGAAGCCGAAATTTCGAGACCGCCACACAGCCGAGCATTGAGCCATTCCCACACACACACACACATGCAGATTCAACACAATCACACTTTCTGAGAGCGAGCGTGAGGGTTGCATTGCGATCCATTTTGGCTGTTTGCGCACGAGTTGCAGCGGAGGATTCAGCCGTCGAAGCACACAGGCCATGCGAACTCTCGGTCGCTCTGCTGCCTCACCAACTCAGTCTCTCGCCCTCGTCAGTCTTCACTCTACTGACTAGAAATGCGACAAAATGGCTCGCAGGTTTGTTGTTGTGACCGAGTCGAGCAGCAGCAGCAAGTGTGTTGTGACTGGCTGCCTTTGACATTGAGGACAATTGGAAAACTCCACTCGTTCCGAAGTTATGGTCCCACTGCTGCTACTGCTACTGCTACTGCTGCTGCTGCCATCGATTCGATGTCAGGTTGTTGGCTTACACGACGTTGAACATGGGCTTGAGGTAGATCTCAAGCACGCCCAGCGGCTTCTCGTCGTCGGGAAAGCCCTCGTCGCGCTTGCCGGTCGTGTAGTTGTGATTGCGACCAAACGACCGCGCGAGCAAGTCGTCCGTCTCGTGCAATGGCGCGTTGATGGACTTTGTCATTCAAGCAACGAATGTTCGACTGCGCTCAGATTCTAAATGAATAAAATGATAAAATGAGATAATGAGATGATGGTTTTTTGGAGATTGGGAGCGCCAACTGTTGAATAAAAAAAAGGGGGGTTATTCCATGAATCCGTCCCTCCGATGCAAAATAAGCAAAGAATACAATCAAGCACATCATGAGCAGCACCACAACAAACGAGAATGTCATGAAGCCAATGGGAAAAAAAAAAGTGGGCCAAAACGCACCGAAAAACCAAAAGACACTGAAAAACCGAACGAAAAAAGGAAAGCAGCAATTTTTCGTGCATGCCTGCGTGAGTTTAAACGGGTATCTCGGTCATCAGCGGCTCGATGCCTTGCGTCAAAAGATACTGGGCAGATTCAGGAGATTCCGAAAAGCCTTGCGTGAGTCGACCGCACGCCTTCTTCCACCGGCACTGGGCGCACCACAGATGAGTGCGGTTGATGCCAAACAAGCGCCGGCAACGCTGCATGGCGCCTAATTGTCGCGTTCGGTCGTTCATTGTGGAACGGACATTGTCGCCCGAGTCGTTGAGCGAGTGGAAGGTGACCTGCATTCCGTTGTTGTCTTGAGTTCCTCTGTCCGAGGTGCTCGAGTCACTGGCAGTTGAAGATCATCACCATCAAGGAAAGTGAGTCAGCAACCAACAACCAAGCCACCCTCGTCCCGAGAGACTGAAGCAAAACGAAACACAACAAGAAAAAAAAAAACAATGTCCACGTTACCGTCGCGAACCGGATTGCTCATAGCCATTTGCATCGTCGCCGCTTTGGTCACTGGCTTGTCCCGAGTCCTTGGCGGTGGATCCACCGAGCTGATCGTCATCCATGTCGCTGCCGGAAGACGGGCCTTGGTTTTGCTCGTCTGCTTCTTGCTCTTCTTCTTCTTCTTGTTCTTCGTCCTCTTCCGCTTCTTCATCTTGCTCTTCTTCTTGTTCTTCGTCCTCTTCTTCTTCGTCGTCGTCTTCCTCCTCATCTTCGTCGTCTTCGCCATTGCGGTCAAATCGCGCTCGCTTCGTTGAGCGTTCCTCGTTTCCGGCGCCGTCGCCTTCGGCCTGACGCTTTTCGGAGGTCGACGACTTTGCAGCATTCGCGCCGCCGCCTTGCTTTGAGGCAGTCATGGAGCTGGTCAGCGCAGAGGCCGCGGATTTCAGCGACTCCATCCGACGAGCCTCGACCACGGCGCGGGACGGGCGGCCTCTGCGCGGGAGCGCGAGTTCTTCTGGGTCGTGGTCGGGCAAGGATTGTTGAGTGAAAGCAGGCAGTGGTTGGTGGTCGTAATGGCGGCGGAAATCGAGCCGGGTGAGGCCGAACAGCGTCGGAAGAAGCGGTCGATCAGCACGGCTGGCGTAGCGGAAGCCGTCGCTGGTTTCCTGGTCCTGAAGGAGAACAGCCACCTCGTCGTCGCAGTCAAAGTGATGGTCTTCGTTGTCAAGGATGTGGCCGTCGGCTGCCTCGTGCTCAACTTGGTGGTTGCGACCTGTCGTCAAGAGCAGCTCAATCCCGTGAATCGTGAGTCGACCAGCGGCAATCCGCTCTTCGATGAATTCGCCATAGCCACCATCCACGAGAGCCTCTTCTTCGGCGGCATCGTCGTCTTCGCGTTCGCCAGAACCTGCTGCTGCTGCTCCGCCAGCTGAAATAACGGAGGCCACAGCACTGGCCGTGCCTTGCTTGGAACGGCGGGCGGCAGGCACGATGGGATTTTCAAAGAACAAGTGGGCAACCTCGCATTCAATGACATCGCCAATGTCCAGTCGAACCGACGCAGTGCTCGAGCCAGCCTGGTGACTCACAACATTGCCTTCGATTGGCGGTTCCACAGGCGACCACCACCAAACCTGCTGTCCAAAGACCAGCGGCAGTGTGATTTGAAGTGGAAGCGGAGGGCCGACGAGGGCCGAGCCTGCTGCAGGGGTCGTCGTGGCAGTGGTGCTGGTTGCAGCAGCAGCAGCAGCTGCAGCGGAGTCGCTTGGTTCGCTTGGAGTGCTGCTGGTGTTGTTGTTGTTGTTGTTGTTGTTGTTGCTGCTGCTGCCAGCGGCGGCGGGCGAGGAAGCAGCAGGAGGGCGTGGCGATCGGTCGTACCAGTCTCCCTTCGAGTTGGGCGAGACGAGCGGCACCAAATGGTGCGGGCGGACGAGCATTGGCTGCAAACGAGCGCCGGGCTCACCGGTACCCGCCGATTGCGGAATCGGCACCACCAACAGGAGCGACTCGACCTTGGTGTCCAACGCAGCATCGAGCGGCGTGCAGATCACGTCCGAGAGCGAGGCGGCGCCGTTCCGAGAGGGCCCGTGCTTGCTCCGGATTTCACCGACAAACACCATCCCCGTGAATGGCGAGATTGCGTGCACGCGCTGTGATAGCTCGGGCAGCGGGATGAGCGTCTTCTCGGCAGACCTGGATCGCTGTAGTTGGCCAGGTGCATCGGGCGTCCCAGTGAAAGTGGCAGGCTCGCTGCTGGCGTCTTGCGCAGCCGGCTGTGGCTGTGATTGTGTCGTCGTCGTCGCCGTCGTCGTCGTCGTCGTCGCTGGTACTTGTGATTGCTGCGCGCGCAGAGTGAATCGCCGCTCCACGCGACATGCAGCCGGATTCAGGCTCGGCGGTCCGGGCATCTGAACGCCAGGTGTTTCCAGCCGTCGTTGCAGCGCCGCCTGCGCCGCGGCTGTGCGTCGTACGCACTCCTCGGGCTGCTCGCATTGCCCCTTGACGCCACTGTGGCTGCCACTTGCGCCACTATCGACAGAGTTAGCGGCGATCGCAGCACTCTTGTCTGAGTTGCTGCTGTTGTTGTTGTTGGTGTTGCTCGCGGCTGCTGTTGCTGCTGTGGCTGCGCTGGCCTGCAACGCCTCGCATCGCTGCCGCTGAGCCTCAATGATGCGCGTGACCTCCTGCATGGTCTTGCTCATTCCCGACGGGGTCGGTGGCGCCGACGCCGTGGATCCAGTGCTTGCTGCAGGTGCCAATCCCGCCTGCCTTGCAGCTGTTGGTTGAGTTGACGCTGCAGCCAAAGCGCCATCGCCGGCCGTGTCTGCTGCAGGCGTTGCTGGGCGGTTGTGTTCGGCCAGTCCCAGCTGTGGCGGAAGCGCGTCGGCAGCCGTGTCCATGATTCGCAACGAGTGTTCGTATTGATCTTGAATGAAAATAAAGGGGGAAAAAAAAAAAAAAAAAAAAAAAAAAAAAAAAAAAAAAAAAAAAAAAGAGTGTGGATCTATTGGAAAAGGATCAGATGAGCATTGCGGGTTGTGTGAGTGTGGATGAATGATTGTAGTGACGAAATGAAGGGTTTGGAATGTGATATGAGGGAATGATGCGACGGGGGTGATGGGTGAATGTGCATGGGACAAACGGGACGATGAATACAAAACGTCGCGCTTTCCAGGTACTTTGCTCCTCGCTTGCGCTGCGCTTGTTCGGTAGTGCCGTCGAGGACTTTTGAAGTGCTGGTTAGGGAACGAGTTTGATGGTTGTACTCTATTGCGGATCGCGGAGGTCAGCTTAAAGAGAAGACAGAATCCTGTAACAAGGACAACGCTCGGCCAAGCTTTTCGGTTGATCGCGGCCGTATCTGCAAAATAGAAAGCCTAAACCAGTACGGTATACAATACTTCCACAGGGATTTCCATCGAGGTCGCAGGGTTGCTCATGCCTCATCACTCAGATTCATGGATTTTTGCCAGCAGCCTTTCCTTCTGTCCTTTGAAATCACATTGACTTGAATTTATTCTAGTTTCCGTCCTTCTTTTTGTTTTTCCTTTCCGTTCAGTCGTTTTTTCAGTCATGTCAATTCAGCTCGACAAGGCGACGTTCAAGCGTCGTCTTGAGCGACTTTACGACTTGTGGCAGGTTTGGCGCGCTTTTTTCTTTTCCTTGTTCTTTCATTCGTCTCCCCTCTCCCTTGCACTCCCTCGCTCTCCGACTCCCACTCCTCGATAGCGATTTGCTTCTAGTGCATTGATGCTCGTACTGGCCGAACCGCCCCAGGACGCAACACCGCGCTCGAACCGACCGCATGTTGAGATCGCTTTTTTTCTTTCTTTTTTTTTTTTTTTCGTTTTTCGCTTCGCTTTGATTCGCACTCGCTCCTCGCTCGCTCGCCTTGAAGGGCGTGAGTGCGTGCGCATGCTGTGTACTACTCGTTGATCAGCGTCGCCTCGTCGTGCACGCTGGTCGGCGATCGGACAGCGGACGCAGCTCATGCAATAGAAGCGCCAGGACAACGTGGTGGGAACAAAATGGCGCGAAAACTTTTCCCGCCAAAAATTTCGTCTTTCAACCAAACTTCATTCCTTCAATTCGCTCACTTTTTTTTTTTTTTTTTTTTTTTTTTTGCTCTCGTGATTTGGAACAGAATACAGATGCAATGCAGAACGTCAGTTCGTTGTTGCTTCTGATTGGCAGCAGCACGGAAGAGGCCGAGTCGCCCACCAAAGGCACGCTCTTGCAGGTAAAGCATGTTTTGCGCACTTTGCTTTCTTTTTTTCTCCAGTTCCTGTTCCTTTTGCACTCATCCGCTCTCTTGCTCGGTTGATTAGATCTGGCTGTTCGGGTACGAATTCCCCGACACCGTCATGCTTCTGACCAAGAAGGGCTTGCAAGTGATTGCCAGTCAAAAAAAGCGTAAGCGCCCAAACCATCCTTCCCTCATGTTTGATTTGAGAGTCAGGGATTCAGGGGGATGGGGCACCGCTTTTGTGTTACTGGGCATTGCTATCAGTCAGTTGCTCATGTGTCAAACGAAGCGAAGATTCATGGCAACCTCGGTTGCCACTCGGCTGCATCCTTGCGAGTCGAAGGCCGGAGTGTGTCTTCAACGGCAACACCCATTCAGCAACACTTTGTTGCATGGCCTTTGACGCAAGCAGACTTTGAGGGAACTTGTTTCCTCAAACGTTCGGGATCAGTGTGAAATTTCCAACTTTTTTTTTTCTCTTTTTCTTGTTACCTCCTTTTTTTTTTGCTCTTGTTCACATTTCGCCCTCACTTTCGCTCTTGCCATTCCGCTCCTTTTTGAATAGTCGACATTCTTGGCCAGCTCCAAAGCGATAGCCCTGTCCCGCTGGTCCTCCACGTTCGCACAAAGGAGGACAAGAACAAGGGCAATTTCGGCAAGATTGTCGCTGCCATGAATGGGGGGCCGGTCGGCATTTTCAAAAAGGACCGCACCAGCGGCAACTTTCTGCCAGAGTGGCACGAGTTTGCCAGCGAGGACGCTGGCTGGGCGGCAGTCGAGAAGGTGGACGTGAGCATTGCCACCAGCTACTTTATGGGCACCAAGGAAGAGTCTGAGCTCAAGCACGTTCGTGACGCTGCAACCGTGGCTTCCCACATTATGCGCACCGCCGTGGTCAACAAGGTCGAGAATGTCATCCAGACCATGCGGAAAGTCACGCACATGAATTTGGCCGACGAGCTCGAAGCCATTGTCAAGAACCCTTCTGGCTTGTCTTCCAAGAATGTGAGTCTTGTTTTTTTTCCAGAACGCAAAAAAATCGCCGTTGCTCGAGTTCTCTTTCCCCCCCCCCCATACTCACCCTCTGACGCTTGCCCCCTGTTGCGACAGATTGACAAACAAGAAGTCGAATCTGCTTACACCCCCATCATCCAATCGGGCGGTGTCTTTGACTTGCGACCATCGGCCACGAGTAACGACGAGCTGATCAAGGTTGGTACGATCGTCGTGGCGATTGGCGCCATCTACCGCCAGTTCTTTTCCAACATTGCCCGCACCTTCCTGGTCAACCCGACCAAGCGCCAGTCGGACAATTACAAGTTTTTGCTCGAGCTCCAAGAGTACATTGCGTCCCAGCTCGTCCCTGGCGCATCTTTGGCGAGTGTGTTTGCCAAGGGCACCGAGTATGTCGAGCGCAAGCGGAAAGACCTGCTGCCCCACCTCACATCCACCTTTGGCTTTGGCATTGGCATGGAGTTCCGCGAGAGCTCGCTCATTATCGACAAGTCCAAGACCCGCGTGGTCGAGCCTGGCATGGTGTTCAACCTTGCCGTCGGCTTCAAGGACTTGCGCGATGCCGCCGCCGAGCCATCCGAGGTGCCAGAGCATGACACCCAGGCCGAGGAAAACTACTCGCTCTTTGTCGCCGACATGATGCTCGTCCCGCTCGACGGAAACGAGCCGACCCCGGCCTTCCTCACCAAGGACGCGCCGTTCAAGCTCGCCGACGTCTCGCACATTCTCAAAGACCTCGAGTCCAAAGACGAGAAGCGACGACGAAGGCAAAACCAGCTGCTGCAGCGCATCATCACGTCCAAGGAGCATGCGCCCGACACTGACGAGACGGCCACGACTGGCAAGCACTTTGACAAGTCTGTCGCGTACAAGTCCATGTCGGCCCTGCCCAACGACCCGACGATTGCTGCGCTGCGCATCTATGTCGACATGGAACATCGAGCAGTCGTGCTTCCCATCAACGGCTACCCCGTTGCCGTCCACATCAACCACATTAAGAGCGTCAGCAAGACCAATCAGTCCGACTACATGTACTTGCGCATCAACTTTGCCTTCCCCACGCAAGCGGCCATGGGCGAAAACTCTGCCGTTCCGAAGGCCGTGTTTATGGGCGATCTCAGCTACCGCTCCAAGAACTTTGAGAGCATCAATGCGGTCGACCGCGACATCAAGGCTCTCCAAAAGAAGGCCAAGACGGAAGCTGCCGAGAAGCGCGAGGCTGCCGATTTGGTCGAGCAGGAAGACTTGCAGCTTGCCTCGGCTCAGGTCCGTCCGCTCCAGCTCCGCGATCTCAAGATGCGTCCCGCGCTTGGACCCCGTGGCTCTGACAAGGCCGGCGTGCTGGTGGCCCACACCAATGGCTTCCGCTACAGCACGGGCATGGACCACGTCGATGTGATTTACTCCAACATCAAGCACGCCATCCTCCAGCAATGCAAGAACGAGAACGTGGTCATCATCCACCTTCACCTGAACAATCCGATTCTGATTGGCAAAAAGAAGCAAAAGGACGTCCAGTTCTACGTGGAGGTCGTGGGTGTCGACGACTTGAAAAACACCAAGCGCTCTGGTCAAGACCGCGACGAGTTTCTGGCCGAGCAGCGCGAGCGCGAGCTCAAAAACCGCTACAATGAGGCGTTCGCCAAGTTTGCGCAAAAGGTCCAAGAGCAAACGCACAACGCGGTCAAGTTTGACGCCCCCGAACGCGGCTGCGGCTTTTTCGGCGTGGCCAACCGTGGCCAGGCCTTTATCACTCCTGGCACACACTGCTTGTTCAACGTCACCGAGCAGCCCCAATTCGTGGTCACGCTTGACGAGATTGAGCTGGTGCATCTCGAACGTGTGCAGCACAGTCTCAAGAGCTTTGACATGGTCATCATCTACAAGGACTACACCCGTCCAGTGACGCACATTACTGCCATCCCGACCAACTACATTGACACGATTCGCGACTGGCTCGACGCCGTGGACATTTACAACACCTCTGGTGCCATCAATCTCAACTGGTCTGCCATCATGAAGCAAATTCTCGAGAATCCCAAGGCCTTTATCGAGGATGGCGCGTGGAGCTTGTTCCTCGGCGAAGAGGAGGTGAGGAGAATTTTTTGGAGCCATTGAATTGTTGTTGGTGGGATGGATCAAACCCTGACTCGTCGTTGTTTGTTTGTTTGTGTTTTTTTTTGCTTTTGCGTTGTCATTCGTTGCAGGAGGAAGATGGTGACGATTCCGAAGACGAAGACAGCGATTTCGAGGATGACTTTTCAGACTCGGACGCAGATGCTTCCGAAGACTATTCATCCGAGGACATTTCCGACGACGATGACGACTCGGATGCTTCGTTGGATAGCGGTGAAGAATCCGGCAAGGACTGGGACGAGCTTGAAGAGGAGGCCATGCGCGAAGAAGGTATGTTTCATGAGTCGGTGGTGGTGGTTGTATTTTGACAAGCAAACACAATGCTGATCCTGACTTTTTGTTGTTTTTTTTCCCTCTTGTGCAGAGGAATCAAAGAAACGTCGTCGTGAAGAAGACGACGACGAGGGACAGCGCAAGAAGAAGCGCGTGAACGCGCCGCCACCCAAGAAGAGTGGCGTTCGTCGTTGAACAGCAACAGTGTACATTGTTAAACCAGTCTTGTTTTTGTTTGTTTTTTCTGTGCTTTTTTAGTAAATAGACATCGCTTTTATTCTCAAACTTGCGTCTTGCGTCATAACTCACACGGTGATACTGGAAGTGGGAAAGAGTGGTTAAATTAAGCCAACTCCAACCAGTCTTTCTTTCCAAGCATGCAGGTTTGTCCTTAGCACCTGCCATCGCTCCATCCAAATCCCAAACCACATGTTGGTCAATATCCAAACTCTGCCCGCTCGAGATGTGCACTGGTTCCAAGTAAAACGCGGCCTGGGGGGGTTGGTTTTTTTGTTTTGTTTTTTTTTTTTTTTTGTCCTCACACACACTCACTCCCGCTCAACCCCCAACATGTAGTGTGTACCTGAGTTTAGTGTTCAGTAACCAGCAAATGCAAGATAAACTCACACTTGTTGTTGATGAAATGACGAGCATTTCAAAATCCCTTTTCCTTTAAAATCGCGAAGGCGCCAACCAGCTGAGAACGCGCGCGTTGAACTTTGAGCGCGCGCTCGACGCCTCGCCTCTCTCTCTCTCTCCCAATCTCATTTCACTCCGTCTCATGTCCTACAAACAACCTTCAAACTGATTGCGGGGAGAGATGCCCCCATCATTTTTTGGTTTTTTTTGCACAACTAACTACAAACTTTCTTGGCTTTGGCTTTTTCTGGTTGACTATATTTAGACCATCTGGTGCTGCAATGCGCGCACAGATACTGGTTGCAAACAAGGCTTTACCAACTCCAAGACCTACAAGGAAGAGCTTTTGGATGCCATTGTCGGTGCTTTGAACTCTGCGCCTGGCCGTTGGCACCATCTCGTTTCCAAGAAACCCGACATCTGGAAGGCGGTGAATGACATTTGTCATCGCGCCGGGCTTCGAGTCGAGTTGGAACAGCTTTCGGAACTGCCGGAAGAGCCTCCATCCTTCGTTGGACGCCGTGTTGTTGCGTACTTTGTCGATCAACCAACAAACACGACACACATTTTTGCGCAAGGACTGCCTTTCGGAGATGCCGCGTTCACCAGCCTCCCCCTCGTTCGTGTTGGGCAAGAGTCCAAGGAAAACACGGACGCTGAAGGGTGGAAACGTGCTCTTCGCCAATTGCCAGCTCGTGTCGCGCTTGGGCGAGCACCTGTTCCGTTCACGATCGATCCCAACACCGGTCCACCCGTCCCGCCTGGCCTCCCGTTCCCTCTTCCGGACGAGGTTGCGCCTGCGGCTCAAGCATTCAACGAGAGTGCCAACTGCGAGTTCAAGCAACCAACTTCGCTCAACCCACCCGTCGGCGATTACCTCGAGCAGATTCTTCGAGCCATCCGCGCATCGCCAGGTCGGCCAGTTCACCTCATTCTTGGGGTTCAAGATGAATCCTGCGTTGTTGTGGGTACACCATCCGTCTTGGCTTCGGTGGTCGATACAGCAACGGACTTTCTGGCTGGCGTTTTTCCGCGCTTTGATCCAGCGTTCGTGACAATCACGCAGCATCCTGTGGCTCTCCCTGACGTCGAGCAGCCGCTCGTCTATCTGCGGGACATTTTGATGGAAGAAGTGAACGCTGCCCTTAGCTGTTTGTCCGGCCGCGCTTGGACTGTTGCGACCGCGTCTGACTCGACGTGCGACTTGCTGATTGACCCCGACATCTATTCAGCGGTGCGGCAAGCACTCTATGGTTGTGAAGCGCTCCGTTCAAGATTGCCAGATGCCGAGTTCACAAACCTCAGTTCCGTCAAGATCGACACCACGGCACACCCCACATCGGACAAAGTCAGGTACGGCGAATATGCCGTGGCGGTTTACGTGCGCGACAAACAGGCTGGCCTCGAGTGGCTCGCTCGTGAACTCGTTGACCCTCCAGATCACGTTAGTCCTGAGGAGCGCTTTGTCTGTCATCTGGAGTTCAACGTCCCTGTGCGTCAGGCGCCTTGCACCGTGTCCTCAAAGACCTCGCGTGCGCGTCTTCTCTGCTCTGGAGTCTCAGCGCAATTGAACCACGAGTTTCCTTCGTCTGCACTCTGGCTTCGCGTTCGCCCGCTGGAACTCATCCCTATGTTGCCATTCTACCTTTCGCAGAGCAGCTTTTTGAGGATTCTCTTGGTGGCTTCCAATGAGCAGGCCGAGCTTGCCAAGCAAACCCTCGGCGGCATGAAACTCGCTCCTGCCGAGCTGTTTGATCAAGTTGTGCAGCCTGCGATCCCGAAATCCATCGAAGCGGCATACTACGCACTGCTTCGCCATCCGACTCGCCCTCGTTGCATTTTTGCTGATGCGCACTTGTTGATCAGTGACGCCATGACCAGGCTTCTCAATGCGGCCCGCTCCATTGACACTCCGGCTCCGTCTGTTGTCGCCTTTTGCACACCTGCGGCTGCGGCGTCCCTGATCTCCGTGCCTGTAGTCGTGGATGAGGCCATTATGTACAACCCGCACCACTCATACCATGCAAGGCCGGCTGCTGATTCAGCGTCGAACACGATGGCTGGACTCGTTCATCAAGTTCTCGAGCCCATGCCGACTGATCCAGCTGAGCAATCGCCCGAAAGCCTGACCCTGCTTGTGCGTGGCTGGCTTCAAAATCCCAACCGCTTGCCCCCTTCGTGGCAGCTGGTTCGGTCTGGGGCTGTTGTCGCGACAGGACCTGTCCGCGACCTTGTGCAGCTCGTGCTGAAAAGCGACAGCCACTTAACTACAACCGTAATCAATCTCCAGAAACAACAAGCTGGCTGCGGCGCATCAGCAGCTCTTCGTGCAACGGGCTGGCAGCTTCAGGCGACGCGAGATGTCTTTTCTGTGCGACTGGTGGATTCGGCACACGTGAATGAGTTTTGGCAGCTCTTTTCTGCTATGCTTTCACGTCCTGCGCTGCTCCTGATTGATGAAGATGTGGCTCACGCTTCGGATTTCGTGAGAGCTGCTCCACGCTCTCTCTCTCATCCCCTCGCAATTATTCGAGTGCTTCCGGACACGTACCAGCGAAGACCCGCGGTCAGCCCCGTCGTGTGCGCCCATGTCACCTCCTACACTGTCACTCTGTCTTCGGTTCTCACTCTCGATGATACGCGAGCAGTCTGTGCCGGACTGCTCAGTGCTTTGCACCAGGACAACGCCGACGCTGCCATTCAGACCTGGACAGTGCGGGCTCGTGCGGCGCTCAAGCTCATGAGCCGATCTCAGCTCCAGCCGGACGACATGCACTTATATGTCATTGCTCTTTCCGCTTGTCGAGGCGAGTATATTCAAGCAGAAACCTTTGTTCGCAAGAGGTTTGACGCACTTCAACAGCCTGAATACCAGTCTCTCATGCGTCGAGCGCGGCTTCTTGCCTTTCTCTCGGCGCTTTGCGGCGATCCAAAGATTGTGTGGAGGTCTCCGGCCTCGTGGGATGAGTTGGTCCGCAACCAAGACTCGGGCTCCAAGGCGTTTCTGGATTTGGTTCAGTACGATGGGTACCTTCGCTTCTTGCACCCGTTCATTGCCCGTCTATTCTTATCCCAGCTTGACTACGGTGCGCGTACCGATCATTGGCGAGAAGGTCATCCTGTTCCGAGTGCGTTCCTGCTGAACGAATGGCGAGCCTCTCTTCCAACTCTCTGTGCTGAGTTGGACGGGCAACCCGCCCCGGGCATCAGTTCGTCTTTCGTGTTCGAAAGTTTGCTGTCTCGGCGAGAGAACGATCAATTTCTTTTCCCTCCTTTGGTGCAAAATATTGTCCGCTTCAAGACTTATGATCAGATTCCAAAGCGCCTGCAATTGCTCGACGCGGTCTTTGATGAGTTCACTCCGACGCATCGAGCCTCTTACCCGCAGTTGTTCATCGGCGAGTCTTTTCAGCATCTCGTCCGCTCCCGTGCGTTGCGGTTCTGGGGAAAGCAATCCGGTCGAGCTCAAAACTTGGAGCTGGGAAAGCAAAGCTCAATACCTGGAGAAGGCCGTTGAGCGCGCGCGTTGGGCGTGGGATGGGCTCAAACTTACTAGCTACGACTTTCTCGCGCGAAATAATCTCGTTACGGCGCTGTACACGTTGCTTTGTGTGAAGGGTCCCGGCCATTCCGGCGTTGATTTGCTTTCGGAGTTCACCGCCCACTGCGAGAGTCTCTCAACGAGAGGGGTTCCAGCCCAGCTGCAGCGGTACTTCCGAGAGCTTTCTGCGAAGGGCTTCAGTGTTCAACCGCATCCGAATCCCGACATGCGTCCCGGGCCAGCTGAACTGAAGCCCGTCAACTCTTGGTTCGTTTCGACGTCCCCCCGGCAACTCTGACCATCCAAACAACTTGTGATGCATGAAATAAAGCGCTTTTTGCAGAAATTTGATTGTTCATGGCGTCCAAAGTCGTGCTTGCCATCTCCCACATGCGACTGTTTGAAGCTAGCGTTGAGTTGCATCGCAAGCGGCAAATCGAATGGTGCAATTCTTATATCGGTTGCAGCGACCAATGCTTTCGAGCGGCGGTGCTTTTTTTTTTCTGCACTTTCGGCTAGTTTTGAAGCTGCACACACAAACCTACTCTAGTAAACACCTCGCTACATCGGAGAAGAAGGCGGCGGCCAGTGCAGTTGACCTCGCAAACCTTCGCTTCATTCGTTCTCAACCTCCTCTCGTCCGTGTGCCTCCGCTCCAGCTCGAGAATACTCGCACTGTATTCTCAATCATTCTGGCAAGCTTTCCGAATCAAGGAAGCATCCCTTCCCTAGTGAAACCTCATCTATAACTTTTCCGGTCTACCTCAGTCTTTGCTTTTTCCAGTCCAAGTACGGTTGATTTTTTTTTTTTTTTTTTTTTTCAGTGCTGTTGTATTGTCGCTTTTCCCTCGCCGTTCTTTCCGCCCGTTCGCTTCTCGGCACCGAGTTGTCGCCGTTCTCTCGTCCTCTTCCCACCCTTGCGCTTTGTCGCCAACACCCTGCTGCACTGGCACGGGCAAAGGCAAAGGGGGGAGAAACGCCCAAAAACAAAACGCGACGACTTTTTGTTCCGCTCAAGCTGCCGGCCTTCACCTGACAGAACGCGCAACGCAAGCGCAGCAGTGACTTGCTGAGTGTGCCCCTCTTGCTGCACGCTCGAGACCCGTGGTCGGTGTGGTCAAAGGCAACCAACCAAAAACCAATGCAAAAAAAAAAAAAAAAAAAAAAAAGCAGTGCGTTTTGGCTTGAAATTCAAAAAAAAAAAAAACTGTTGCACTGAAAACGCAACGCAAAGGCAAAAAAGCGTGAAAAGGTGGGACAAAGTGAGGGAGGTCGAGATGGCGCGGAAGCCACATGAATGGAGTTGGTGAAACAAGTTGCGGGGGGAGCGGCGAGCGGGACGGCCACCAGAGCGACGAGCAACGAAAGCAAAGCAAAAAGTGGGGGGGAAAAAATCAGGAAAAAAAAAAAAAAAAAAAAAGGACAGCAACGACTACGACAACAACAGCGACGACTCCGACCAAGTGAGAGAGGGGGGGGGGGCACAAAGAATGGATTTGTGTTTGAGTGGTCGATGTGAGACTGAACTGCAAGTCAAACGAAAACGAAAGGGAAAACGAAAAAAAAAAAAAAGAAAAAAAAAAAAAAACGAGCTCCGCGTCAGCAATTCCTATTTTACTATGACCTTTTGGCTCTGTTTGACGTGAGCTTTTGGATTTTGATGCTCAGCTTGAGTTTGGAAACGATGATGATGATGATGATGATGATGCTGAATCAGCGCTCTGTGACTCACGTTTGTCCATTTGACACTCTTGGAAATTGTGTGGCAGTTCAGGGAGGCCTGGCAACTGAACACAAAAAATGGCAGGATATTCGTACTTGTTCAAGTACATTATTATTGGCGATACTGGTACGTGTGTGCAAGTTGGTGTGATTGGTGAACCGTCCACGACAACGGAAAACTCCACCAGCGTCAACATTCCATACTCACGATTGTCGACAACAATCATTTTGCACTCCATCCAGGCGTGGGCAAATCATGCCTGCTGTTGCAGTTCACAGACAAGCGTTTCCAACCCGTCCACGACTTGACGATTGGTGTCGAGTTTGGCGCTCGTATGATTACGATCGACAACAAGCAGCTCAAGCTTCAGATCTGGTAATTGTCTTTTGTATTTTTGGTCGGTTTTTTTTTTGTTTCGTTCTCGAGAAGAAAGGACATGCTCTCACTTGTTCTTGATTCTCAACCCTGCAGGGACACGGCCGGCCAAGAGTCGTTCCGATCGATCACGCGGTCGTATTACCGCGGAGCGGCGGGCGCACTTCTCGTCTACGACATTACAAGACGAGACACATTCCTGCATTTGACAAACTGGCTCAGCGATGGTATGTGATTTTGTGACGGCTGGATGGGACAACGCAAGCGCGTTGGGGATTGTGACGCGGTGGTTCTTGAGACTCTGTCAAAACGAGCATGGATTCTGATATTTGCTTCCGTATTTTTTTCCTGTTCCTGTCGCAGCGAGGCAACACTCCAACACCAACATGGTCATCATGCTTATTGGCAACAAGAGCGATTTGGATGCCCGCCGCCAGGTCTCGTATGAGGAGGGCGAGCAATTCGCCGCCGAGCACGGCTTGATTTTCATGGAGACTTCGGCCAAGACCGCAGCAAATGTGGAGGACGCTTTTATTGGCACCGCAAAGCAAATCTACCAAAAAATCCAGCAGGGCATTTTCGATCTGTCAAACGAGGCGAACGGCATCAAAGTCGGCCCCCAGCACGCTGGCAGCGGAGTCGTCCCTGTCGGCCGTGGCGAGACTGGAGGCGACGGTGGCAATCCTAATGCTGGCGGCGGCTGCTGCTAGAAACTCTGAGACTCTGTCGCTTCTGGGTGCTCTTCCTGGGGGTTTTAAAAGTCATGACGCTAGTCCTCCCCTATTTCCGCAGTTCTGCAATTTCTGCTGCAGTTTTTGTTTAAAATGAATCCCCCATCCCTGTTGGCCAAACGATTCGTTCGATGATTGTGTCGATTGTGCTGGTTTGATTGATATTTTGTGTTTGTGTGCTTGTGTTTTTTTTTTGCATTGATGAATACTGTACTACTTTCTCGCATTCAAGCTCCAACCGAGTGATAAGAGTTGCCACCTCTGGCTTTCTGGATATAGTATATTGGCAGGAAAGCCTGTTCCTTTAACGACTAACACGACAAGCAAAAATCTACAAATCCATCGACGGCTTGGCTTTGAATTTGCGACCAATGCGCTCGGCGGGACGGTAGCACAGCTGTGATCCAAAGAGCTCGAACAATAGCCCGCCTACGGTGAAGGTAAAGACCGATCCAGCTTTGGGCAATGCTGAGCAAAAACAGAAAACGACGAGAATTGAGCATTCAATATTGCGAGCAAAAAAAAAAACAAAGCGGGCTCAGGCAAATCTCAAGCGAAGGATTACTTTTCATGGTATTCTTCTCTGTTATTATCTTGAATGTGTTGGATGTTTCTTGGAGCACAATGCCAGTCGCACCGACACAAGACGGCACCTTGGATCTGTCCACTGCATCGAACAATTCAGCAACGCACCAACAACGAACACCCCCCCTGAGACCAGCGAAAAGGCGCAACCTTCCTTACCTTTGAGCAAGCAGCCGTGAAAATCGGCCTTGAGCAGCCGCGCGTACAGGGATTGAGAAATTCTGGGTTGACGAGCGGCAGCGTGAGTTGCGAGCTGCTTTGTCAGCTTTGTCCGCCACCTCGAAAAAGACCGATCACTTACGACACGTTTGGCCGTAGCGCTAGATATTCAGTCAGATACTGGACCCACATGGTATGCAACGGCACGTACAAGTCGTAGCTACCAACAATTGGGGCGGATGAGCAAAAGGATTGAAAAGACCACACGTAGGCAAATTTCAGGACCCCCCCCCCCACACTACCTACCGTTGGTGCTCGCGATCAATGTTAAACACGTTCAGCCCACGACGCTCGGCAGACGTCAACAGTCGCACATGCGCTGGCCTTGTTTTCAGCTTGGCACGAGCCTTCTCTTCCTTTTCCTTGGCTCGTTGGTCTCCGGCGATTCGGTTGTCCAGCAACAAGGTCTAGAGTCAAACATTTGGATGCAGCACAGTCGTGAGCTGGGGGTTGGCCTCTTCTGGTGTCTACAATAAACACAAACCGAACGGCGAGCCCAAAACCCGCAAACAAATCCGTTACCTTGTTCTGTAGCTTGCCTGCGATTGTCTTCTCCGCGGCCTCGGGATCCGCCTGCAAGTTCTTGACCACATGAGGAATGAACTCGTTCGGGGGAAGCGGTGTTTCCTGCCGAGATCAACGTGAGCGCCATGAAGCAGCTCAGAGATTGAGTGTCTCAACTTCACCATGCGAACCTCACCTTGAGCATGTCGGAACCTGCTGCGACAAACTCTGGGAGCGGTGCGTAGACCGATTTTTCGTCTGGCATGGACTTGCTGTTGACTCGACCGACGCCGCCTCGTGTGGATGACGACAGCGCAGGACTTCCAGCAGCGGCAGCAGCAGCAGCCGAACGCAGCCGGGCGCGACCTTGGACCCGCAGTGCTCGTGCGTGGGGAGACTCGAGCGGCGACCCAACAGCAGCAGCAGCAGCAGCAGCAGCGGCGGCGGCGATGGCAATGGGAATGGCTGGGATTGGCGCGTCGGCAAGGACATCGACAGGCTCTGCTTCGGCGTCCATCCGCGCTCGCTTGGACCGCTCGTCATCGCTTGGAGCACGAGTGAGCGGCTGTCGTTGCATGTCGACTGGCAGCGGTGCGACGGGCGGAATGTCAACATCCGGCTCGCGTCGTCGCTTCTTCATTTGTATCTGTAACAGCTCAAATGCAGCAAAAACTGAGACTGGATGGATGACGAGTTTGGAATAGGTTGAGTAGATGCTTGGGATGGATGCGTGAGATTAGAGCGAACAGCAAACTGAAGAAAAGAATTGCTTAAGAACTGTACATGCAACAACAACAGCAACGACGACGACAACGACAACCAGCGAAAAAACACACACACAATAGGCAACAGAAGACATGCAGCATAACAAGCCAAAAGAAAGAGAGAGAGAGAGAGAGAGAGAGAGAGAGAGAGAGAGAGAGAGAGAGAGAGAGAGATCCGCAGAACATTGACTGGGAGGCAAGACAAAGAAACATCAAGCCACCAAGCTGCCAACTCGAGTCCGATCAACGGATATTGAATCGAGCACGGAATACTCCGCTACTTTCTTGACGTTTCGGGGGGGAGGGGAGTAGGGGAGTAGGGGAGAGAAGAGAACAAAAAAAGACGGCATGCAGGACCCAAACCCCATTTTACGCAGAGCTCGAGTTGCGACGTCCATGCCGAGGCGTAGTCATAAGATGAGCATCCTCTGGCGCGTCGCTGTCGCTGGAAGACAAGGAAAGGCTATCGGAGGACGAAGCGCGAGAAATGCTGGCAGAAACAGCGCGTCGAGAGGACGAGATAATTGCTGTTGAGCTATTGTCGGTGGAGAGCGGTTCGCTGCTGTCCATCGAAAGGGCGCGGCGAATGGCTTGCACGCGCTCATGCCGGGTATTGGGGTCGACAGAGGACATGTCAACCATCACTACAGCCACTGTGCCTGGCGGGACAGAGCCAGGCTCCGGCATCTCGGCTTCCGGAGGGCAGATATCGGCCTTGCACAGAGGGCAGGTACGGTGAGAAATCAGCCAAGGGTCGATGCAGTCAACGTGGAAGAAATGGCCGCAGGGCACGGTGCGCACAACCACCTCCGGCTCGAAGGCGTCGAGGCAAACAGCGCACGAGTCGTCCTCTTCGCCTTGGGGCTTGTCTGCCGGCCGGACGTACGGCTTGGTGGGCAACGACTGGACGTATCGGCGAGCCATCGACTCCATGTACTCTTGGTAGGCCTCCGCCTCGCGGCGCATGCGTCGCCGCTGGACGTAGTAGCCGCCAAACACAAACAGGGTGACTGCGCAGAATACGACAAAGAAGATGGCCACATCGAAAAAGAGCTTGGAGAAAATGTTGTCGAGCGTGAGCGAGAGCTCCTCGCCGAGCTCGACACTCATCGTCACCTCCGACACGGAAGGGTCGCTGAGCAGGTTGAGCAGCTGGTTGCCGACGTTTCCGCTGACGGCGATCGACGGGATGCTGGTGCTCAAGCGCCCGCCCATCACGACAATGCGGTCTGCCTCGTAGTTCATAATCAGAATGGCCGCGGCCTGGTTTCGCTGCGCATTGTACGTCTTGTCGTAGAACGAGCAGTTGCCGTCGTCGCTTCGTCGGACGAGCGGCGCCCACGAGCCAGACGTCGCGCCTGCCGGCGGCTGCAACGCCGCGCATCCATTGATGGGGTTTCCGCGCACCAGTCGGACTGCGGGGATGGCCTTCTCGGGTCCGTACGTTCCTGTCACAATTCAGAGTTTCCAATTCCGAAATCAAACCAAAAAGTGAGTCGATTGTCTGAGTTTGAGGTTTGGGGGGGGGGTTTCGGTGAGTTTTTCAGATTGTTTTTTTTTTCTTGTCGTTGTCAAAGTTTCAGAAAGATTGAGAAATCAAAGAAACAATAAAGAAAAAGTCGAAAAAATAAAAAAAAAAAAAAAAAAGAATCAACTGTAATTCGGTTTCGAAGCTGCTTTTTTTTTTTTTTTTTTTTTTTTTTTTTTTTGCTGTCTTCCTTTTTGCGTCCATTTTTTCGTTCCATTTTTCAATCTCATTCAAAGTCGTTTGTGTCATTGTTTCTGATGAAAGTCCCCCCAAAAAGACAAAGTGGGCAAAACGAAAGCCGAGCGCGGAAAAGAACGAGCTTCCATTTTCTATTTCTATTTCTATTGCTTTTTTTTTTTTGGCTTTTTTTTCCGCCATTGAGCGTCAGACTCGCGCGCTCAGCTTCGAGGGGGGGGGGCGGGTCGGCCGACGAGCATCCCGCAGCAGGTGCAAGAAGAAAAGTGGACGCGAAAAACAGCGCCGGCGACTGGCGAGCGGGAAACAGCGCAAATGAAAAAAAAAGACCGACGAGCAACTTTGCTGCTGCGGTCATGAGGGAGAAGAGTCGCATCGTGGGATTTGGGCTTCGGTCGGCGATTATTTAGTGAGCTGCGCGTATGGATTCGACGCGTTTTAAACGAAACAAAATCAATCGAACCCCCTCTTTGATTTTTTTTTTTTTTTGAGAACTTTACCATAGACGCCCTCGAGCGCGAGCGAGTAGTTGCTGCTGACACCCGACGCGAGCTTCCATGTGATTGTCATGACTGCGACGCGCGCCGTGTCACTGTCTGCAGCGACGCCCGACGCGGCCACGGCCAGCAGCTGAACGAGCAGCAGAGCAACGAGCGGCACCAGTCGAACCATTTCTAGAAAAAACCCAAAAAAAAAAAAAAAAAAAAAAAAAAAAAAAACAAGGACTGAATGAAATGAAATGAAACGCTGAGAATCTAAATCTCATCCAACGAAACGAGTCAGTAAGTGAGTGAGGTCGATGGATTGGGGGAAAAAAAAACTCAGTGACGAAAAGTTTCGCGCGAGTACCGAGTTGGAGTGAAAACGAACGGACGGACGAGAACGCACTCGACTCGTCTTCTTAGAAGACAATGCTGCACTGTGCATGTTCATCCTATTTTTGCGTTTTGTCCCGCTTAGTCGTCCTTTTTGTTTTTTGTTCTTGTTCGCTACGACAGAATGCAGAGTGCTCGTTCTGCTGCAATCTCGAGCCTCGTGCTGCTCGTGGCGGTGCTTCTCGCATGCGCATCGGCCGCTGCTGCCCGCCGCCCCGTTGTCTGCAATGCTCCGTCCATCAGCGCATACCTCGCTCCGAGCCAAGTGCCGCCGGGATGTCCAGGTGAGCCGGGGGATTTCAACCGCCGTCAGCCCAATTTTTACCCAATTTACCGCTCCATGCTACTGCAACACTGCAACTCACCCGCTCGCTTTGTCATTATTGTGTATGTGTTGCTTTGGATTTTGGATTGTGTGTCTTTCAGTCGGACCGGCGTTCGGAGGCGCAGTCGCTGTCGGCGATGCTCGACCCATCCCGGCCGATCGCAAGTTTGTTTCGCCCGTGGTCGACAGCGCCATTCAGAATGTCAGTGCAAAGATGAAGGACCAGGACCTGGCGGGAATCTTTGCCAACAGTCTGCCCAACACCCTGGACACAACCGTGTATCTCTTCCAACAGTCGGTAAGCCATTGGAATCGTGTACAGTAGCAAATGGCAAGTGTCTGAGACTGCCAGAACTCACTTAAACTTTGTAGCCCTCCCTGTCGTCGTTCATCATTACTGGAGACATTACGGCAATGTGGCTGCGAGATTCTACCAACCAGCTTTTGCCCTACCTGCGTTTCGTGCAGCAGGACTCGAATTTGCGCAACTTGGTGCACGGCGCCATCAACCGCCAGGTGGAAAACATTCTGTCGGACGTGTACGCGAACGCATTCAACTTGGATCAAGTCAGCAATCATGGCGACCATACCGACGATCAGACCTCGCGGCCGTCGTATCTCGGCACCAGCGTCGACGCCATGGCCAACAAGCTGGTTTTCGAGCGCAAGTACGAACTGGACTCGCTTTGCGCCGTGCTCAAGCTCTCGTACGCCTACTACAATGCGACGCGCACTTTGACGCCGTTCAATGCGAACTGGGTTTCTGCCATCTCCCTGATTTTGAGTACGATGCAAATCCAGACCCAGGACACTGCCCAGGAAGACAAGGTCGGTATTTAGTGATGGGGGGGGGAGATTTGGAACGACCGTCCATTCCCCATCTCTTTGCTCAGTTACAAAAAACTTATGCGTTGTCGTCTGCTTTGGACATGCAGAACGGTGGGCCTGCATACTCGTTCCAGCGCACAACCAACGAGCCGTCTGACTCGCTCCTGCATGGCCGGGGCTACCCGTGCAGCTTCACTGGTATGATCAAGAGCAACTTCCGCCCTTCCGATGATGCCAACATTTACTGCTTTTCGATTCCATCGAACGCGATGGCGGTTGTTGAGCTTCGTCATGTTGCGGAAATTCTCTCCGCGCTCGGGCAATCCGCCCTTGCCAGCCAAGCTTCGGCGCTGGCGACGAGTGTTGACGCGGCCATTCGCGCATATGGCGTCGTCCAGCACCCTGTCGCAGGGCAAATCTTTGCGTACGAGGTCGACGGATTCGGAAACTACCTTTTCATGGACGATGCCAACATTCCGTCGCTCCTCTCGCTGCCGTATCTGGGCTACATTAACGCAAGTGACGCCCTCTACCAGCGCACGCGCGCGGCTGTGCTCAGCAGCACCAACCCGTGGTACTTTTCGGGCGCTGCGACCGACGGCGTCGGCGGCCCTCACAACGGCGTTGGCTGGATCTGGCCGATGGCCATTTCGATTCGTGCCTTCACGTCCGTGTCTGACACTGAAATTTCCAAGTGTCTTGAGGACTTGAAGCAATCTTCTGCGGGCTCCGGGTTTATGCACGAGTCCTTCTGGCGCGACAGCTATGGAAGGTGAGAATCTGCCGTTGCCGTGTTTGCTCCACTGCATTGTGCTCTTTTTTTGTGAGAGGTTGCTCTCACGTTTATTTGTTGGCTGCGTCTTGAACAGCTACACACGACCTTGGTTTGCCTGGGCCAACTCGCTGTTTGGCGACCTGATTTTGCACATTAGCGACACTCGCCCGTACCTCATCTACTGATGCTGGTGATTGAATTGTCATGAATATGGAAAGCCTTGCAAAGGAGCATTCACTGTTGGCTGCGTAATGGCTGTCAAAAGCTCCAGTTTTGTAAATTGCTCAACAACACCTCGCCCGAAAGCCTAATCTCATCCATTCGCATGAATCTCAGTCACCCCGTTCTAATCTCAACACCCGCTTTTCTTGGATTTTTTGTTCAAGGTTTTTTAGTTTTCACAGAAAAGAAGCGTGCAAAATCAGCAACAACCCGCCGCCGCTGGCTTTAGTAGTTCTTGGCAACAAACTCGACACCCTTCTTGATGCTGGCCTCGAGCTCGGGGAAGAGAGCCTCAAGCTTCTTCTTCTCAAAGTCGGAGAGGAGACCAAGACCGAGGTTCTCCTTGACACCCTCCGGGCCGAGAGCGATGGGGGTGGCAAAGAAGGGCACCTTGGTGACGCTCGACTCGACGAACGCGCACTCGACGGCCTTCTGGCCCTTGAGGCCCTTGAGGAGCGAGAAGGTGAAGCGAGCACCGGCGTAGGCCATGGAGAGGGTGGCAGAGCCAGCGCCAGCCTTGGCGTCGACGACCTCAGTGCCAGCGTTCTGGATGCGGACGGTGAGCTTCTCAAGCTCGGCAGCGTCGTTGAAGGTGACCTTGGGGGACGACTGGGAGATGAGGGGGAGGATGGTGATGCCGGCGTGGCCGCCAATGACGGGGACGTTCACGGCCTGGGGATCGAGGTCGCGAGCCTGGGCAACAAAGGTGTTGGCGCGGACAATGTCGAGGGTGGTGACACCAAAGATGCGCTTGGGGTCGTAGACGCCAGCCTTCTTGAAGACCTCGGCAACGATCGGGACGGTCGAGTTGACGGGGTTGGCAATGATGGCAATCAGCGCCTTGGGGCAGTGCTGGGCGGCAGCCTTGGCGAGGTTCATGACAATGCTGGCGTTGGTGTTGAACAGATCGTCGCGGGTCATGCCGGGCTTGCGGGGAACGCCAGCGGGGATGACGACGACGGAGGCACCCTTGAGGGCAGCGCCGAGCTGGTCAGCGCCAGTGTAGCCCTTGACGGTGGACTTGGTGTTGATGTGGCTCAGATCGGCAGCGACACCGGGGGTGTTGGCAATGTCGTAGAGGGCGAGATCGCTGACGAGGGTGGACTCCTTGAGGAGAAGCGAGAGCGGCTGGCCAATGCCGCCGGCAGCGCCGAGGACGGCAACCTTGGCGTTGTTCTAGAGGAGGTGGGGGTGGGGGGATGCAGAAAGTGCAGGGTGAGTTGTTTGAGAGTGCAGCGGATGGAGGAAGAGAAAGAGCAGAGCGGGGAGATTGCAACAGTGATCACGCATCAGGCCATGTGCCAATGCAGTTCCAGCGAAAATAAAAATAATAAAAAAACGTAATGGAAATCCAGCAACAAAAAAAAAAAAAAAAAAAGGAAAACGGGATTGGATGTGAAAGCAGAACAGCGGAGAGAGAGAGTTGAAGCTGCGAGAAGAGGACGACTGGCAATGTGCGCGCTGGTGAACGAGAGAGAGAGAGAGAGCGCGCTGAGCAGAGCGAACGAGGATCGAAGCAGCGAGAGAAAGGGAGAAGAGGGGAAAAGGGGGAAAGATCTCTCTCTCTTAGCGTCCCCTTGCTCCATTGAATCCGACGGCGATCCAACGGTCAGGTCAGGTCAGGTCAGGTCAGAGGGAACAAGCGGATTGAACTGCCATTGTGTGATTGGAGGAGAAGCGGGGGGGGGAAATCGCACGAGGACGAGGGCGGGGGGGAAAGAGATAAAGACTCACAATGGACGAGGTGGAGAAGGCACGAGCAGAGACGGCGAACATGATGAACTGGTATCACAATACTAGGACTGAAGATGCAGATGGATCCCATCCAAAAAACAATAAAAACAGAATTGAAAGTGAAGTGTGGATGAGCGACGAAGGGAGAGGGCAAGTTGGCCTCTCAGTTCAACCTGCCATCGAGCGGGCGATGAGTTCTTCCCTCCACCCCTTTTGCATCAAAATGCACTTTGCCATCGTTCTTTTGGGAATTTGGATCGGCTGATCCGAGTTTCTCAGAAGCTGGAACTACTTGCTCGGTTTTTGAGGGGCTCAGTCATCAAATCCCTTCCCACACAATGACATCGCCACTCGTGTCACCCACCTCGGGCGGCCTCGGCAGCGGCGCGTTCGACTACACTTCCAACAAGGACGACTATGAGCTTTTGTCTGTCATCGGTACTCTCTCTCTCTCTCTCTCTCTCTCGTTGCTCTGCTCCGCAAGTCTTTCAAACGAGCAACCGAGAACTTGGTTTTCTTGCTTTTTTTCCTGGTTCAGTTCGCTTTGCTTTCGATCAGCTGTCTCGCTGAGCTCTGCACTGTCTCGTCATCTGCGTTGAGACACGATCGCTCGTGTGGTGCCTCTCCTTTGCGCCACCCTCCTTTCCGTCTCCCTCGACAGTGCTCTGAAGAAAAAAAGAAAAAAAAAAAAAAAAGGCCTTCCGTCATTGAAAAAATCAAACGAACGCATTTTGCCTTTCTTTTGCTGTGGGACGGGGCGCCATGGAGTGTGATTGTGTGTGAGTGAGTGTGTGACAGTGTGAAGTGCTCAAGAAGTGCTCAAGCTGATCAATGGAGCAAAAAGGAACGCCACTCAACTCAACTCAACTCAACTTTCTCTCTCTCGCTCGCTCAGGTCGAGGCGCGACGGCATCCGTCTACGCGGCACGCTACAAACCACGCGCCGAGAAGGTCGCAATCAAGTGCATCGACCTGGAAAAGTACGGCGCCAACATTGAGGAGATCCGAGTAAGTGCTCGCAGTTTGAATCGGGCGAGCTTGCTGGTCCAAACGACCTCACGTTGATTGCTTTGACGTTGTTGCAGAAAGAAATCCAGGTCATGAGCCAATGCCACCACGAGAACGTCGTCACATACTACACGTCGTTTGTGGTCAAGGAAGAGCTCTGGCTGGTGATGCGGCTGCTGGATGGCGGCTCGGCGCTCGAGATTATGAAGTTCTTCTGCCCAAAGGGCTATGATGAGGTTTTGATTGCCTCCATCCTCAAGGAGGTCCTGCTCGGTCTGGCGTACTTTCACAAGAATGGTCAGATCCATCGGTACGTTGCTTGTTCTCGACTTTCCGCCCCCCTCCCACGAGCAGCAACTCTAATTTTCGAGGCGTGTCTTTTGTCAACAGCGATGTCAAAGCAGGAAACATCCTTCTCGACTCGGACGGCACCGTGCAACTGGCTGATTTTGGTGTCAGCTCGTGGCTTGTTGAAGGAGGCGAGCGCCGAAATCATCGCCAAACCTTTGTTGGCACGCCCTGCTGGATGGCACCCGAGGTCATGGAGCAGGTAAAGACCACCCCCAATGTCAAACCCCCCTTCTCTCGACCGCAATAGTTTGATCCATCTCATCATCGAATCGCGCTCATTTTGTTTTGACCGATTAGGTGAACGGCTATGACTACAAGGCAGATATCTGGAGCTTTGGCATCACTGCAATCGAGCTCGCGACAGGCCACGCGCCTTTCGCCAAATACTCGCCCATGAAGGTGCTCATGTTGACGTTGCAAAACCCGCCGCCGTCCCTCGATCTGGATGGCCAGCACAGCCGGTACACCAAGACCTTCAAGAAGATGATTGACGTTTGCCTGCAAAAGGATCCCAGCAAGCGGTGAGTCCATTTCAGCTTCTTTTTTTTTTTGGGGGGGGGGGAGTTTGCCAGTTGTCAAATCGCAGACATACTCACGCTTGTATGGATGGCACGAACGACAGTCCCCCAGCGACAGAACTGTTGAAGCACGAGTTTTTCAAAAAGGCCCGTGGGAAGGACTACATTGAGGCCAATTTGTTGGCCAAGCTGCCTCCGATTGAAAAGCGCGCCACTGCCAAGAGCAAGGCTGCCCCTGCCGAAGACGTCGCAGCAGCACCTGGCGGCATGCGCAAGGGCGAGAGCGGGCGATATCGCAAGAACGAGTCTGGAGAGTGGGACTTTGAGCCGTGCTCGGATGAGGAGGAGAGCGACGATGAGGAGGTAATTTGTCACAATCACTGTTCCACCGCTCGCTCGTGTGGGCATGCAGGCCTAATGATCCGCTTGTTCCTCCTCTTTGCTTAGATTGATCTGCCCGAGCTCGATGACCAAGGCCGCGCGCAACCAGTCAAGCCGAGCACCAAGGCTGCGCTGCGAGCTGCCAAGATTGCCGAGGACGAGTCTGATGAGGAGCCTGCGACACCCACCGCAGTATCCTCCCCGGGAGGACCGCAGAGCGGCACCAGCAGCTCGTCAGAAGGCGTGAATGCCCAAGCAGCAGCGCAAGCGGTTGCCGATGCGTGGCAAACGGCCGTGGTGGTTGATCTCAAAATTCGGCTGCGCGACCGCAACCGTCAGCTCAAGGACATTCGCTTCTCGTTTGCTCGCAACGACGACACTGTTGAGCAAATTGCCAAGGAGCTGGTGGAGGCCAATTTGATTGAGGCGGCCGATGAGAAGGTTGTCGCAGAAAACATTGCCATCATCACCAACGTTGCCAATCGCAAGACGTCGCTCAAGTTCATGCTCGCTGAGGCCGCCACTCTTCCAACTGTCGACCAAGAAGGGCTACATGGTTATGCTCAAGTGTTGCTGTGTTAACTGTTTCTTTTTTTCGTGTTGGTTTTTTTTTTTTTTTTTTCCCTGGCGCCGAGCTTTGTTGACGACGATCGCTTCAGAATCACAATCGAGAGTGCGGGTATTGACATGTATTAACTTGAAACATCATCACACGAATATAATAAGATCCAATTAGATGCGCGCTACAATTGAGATGGCACCACAGGGACGGCAGTATTGGGTGGTTGCAGTCGCGCGAGGGTGGTCGCGACGGCCTCAAACCACGGCAAATCATCGCGGTACTTGACTTCAAGCGAGCCCAGCCCACAGAATATTCCATTGCGGAATGGGGGCACGAGGCAGTGAAGATGGAGATGACTGACACTACCAAGATGACAAAGGATTGTGGCGGGTAAGGTGGATGAGTACAGTACTCGATGCCGCCGCTTCTTTGACAACCTTAATGCAACACGCTTTTTCATCCAATACCTAGTGAATGGCGGGACATGGAAGCCATAGCGGGCCTGCCGAACACATTCGGCGACTTGGCTGTCAACATCGATGCTGAGCGCTTCGCCCGTGCCACCAGACGCTTGCGCTCGATGCCGAGCGACTTGTGCTGTGATTGTCTTGCGGACTTGGTCTTCAACGCAGCGTTGGCCTTGCTCGAGCATGCGTTGGACGAGCGCGTAGTGAGCGGCAGATTGCCTGAGCGAGTCCGTGTTCCTGACGTGCGCCACGGGCACGACCAGCAGGTGCAGCGATGCCTTGGGATGCCTGTCATGGAAGACTGCCACCGTGTCATCGCGGTAGACAATCCGGTTGAGGTCTGCGAGCCCGGCGCGCTGCTTCATTGATCCCGCGTCCACAGTGGCAGCCGGGTTGTCTGCATGCGGCAGCTCGCCCCGTGCAATATCACAAAACACGCATGCGCGTCGTGTTGTGTCGACCGCGCTTGCGATCTGAGGCGGGTTGCTTGGGAGGAGTGAGCTTGACTCGGTCGAACTGCTCGCTCCCATTGTTCGTGTTGCTCCTGTTGCGCTTGCTGTCGTTGTTCCACTGCAGTCCTCACTTGTGCTCGCTGCAGACATGTGCTAGAATTGGGAGAGGGGTTTTTTGCCTTAGTAACGATGAGGAAAGTGTGTTTCGAGACTGAGCTCGGCAACAATCCAAAACCCGGCTTTTGAATCAAAAACGAGTTGGAACACAATTCAGACGACTGACGTCAAACAAAATCCCAAAAACAGGCAATTGTAACAAAGCTTTGGATGTGTGGATGGATCTCCATTGACAAAGCATGGTATTGAGCAAGGTATGAACAACTTAGTGGTGCGTCTTCAGAATCACGGTAGGACCGCGACCGCGCATCAGGGGCAAACAATCTCTCTCGCGTTCTCAGTAGTGCAAGTTCTGCTCGGAAAGGCGCTTGAGAACGGTCTTGGCCAGCAATTCGGGGTTTTCGAGAGGGAGCATGTGTCCAACATTGGGGAGAACTTGCAATTGGGAGTTTGGGGTGGCTTCGTGCTGGCTCTCTGCCAAGCTGAGTGGCACAAATTCAGATTCCTCGCCTGCGACATAGAGAACCGGCAGCTTGAGATCGGCCAGTTTATCAAACATGTCATGCTTGTGTCCATTGCTAAAGTTCTGCAGAATTGTGGGCAACAGGTCAAAGGCATGTTTGGGGGTCCCAACCGAAAAAAAAAAACTTGAAAAAAAAACCCTTTGAAGCAAACAGTGTGCTCACCTTGGCTTCGACAGCTGGTGCACACTTCAAGGTCACGGAACCATCGGGGAGTTGGCGCATGCTGTTAAAGACATACTCGTTCAGCGCGCGAGAATCCAGTGCGGCGTACATGCGCTTTTTGACAAACTGCTGCTTGGCAGCGGCAAAGCTGGGGAAGACTGCCCGCCGCTTGAGTGTACCCTTCACCAGGTCGTCATGGCCCCCGTGACTGGTGAACTCTTTCGGGAACATGATTGGCTCGAACGCAATGATGGATTTCAAGGTTCCAGGGCGGTAGTGTTCAAGCATGAAAATGGCGGCGCCTCTAGTGAGGGAAGGAAGGAAAGCCCCAAGATAGGGAAGGACAAGCGCAGATAGTGAGAAATGACGCCAATCGGCAAACCTTTCGGCAAGCACTTACAACAACAACAACAACAACAACAACAACAACCGCTCCAGATTCGCGCAAAACCCACTCCTCGCATGGCCCAGACTTACCCAATCGAATGGCCAACTCCGACAAGCGATCGCGAAGGGTCTTTGGCACGATATGCATCGACGACGGTGGTCACGTCCTTTCCCAATGTCCACCAATCCCAATCCTCGCGTTGGTGATTGCTCGACTCGCCGTGTCCGTGAAAATCAATCGCCAGGAACGGGTGGCGTGAGCCATGCTTGCGCAACTCGGCCATGAATGGATGGAGCGTCGTTTTGGAAAAGCCGTTTGCATGCGTGAAGAGCAACACTGGCAGCTTGGGATCGGAGTCCACGGGAGGAGCAAAGCTGCGGAGAGAAACAACCAGTCAAAATCACACACGCGCGTCAGCAGCCAAGCGACACGACCAGAGTGAGTGCACAATGTTGACACTCGGATTCTGAAAAGCTCTCAGGGTGAAGCATCAAAGCCTCAAAGCTCATCGGTGAAGCAGGTTCCGAGGTTGAGGTGCTCAGACTGAATTCGGTTTGGCCTCTTCTCCTCCTCCTCCACCTCCCCCCCCCTCCTCCTCTCTTGCCAGGCGCGGCATTTTTGCCATGCTTGCTGGTCGAGTTGGATCTTGTGCAAGTGGTCGTTCATCGAAACCAAAAACCAAAAAAAAAAAGTCTCCGCTTCCGACAAGACGGAGCTTTGTTCCAAGCGCTCGCTCGGGTCCGACTTGTCCGATCCGACGCCATTCCGCCTGAGAGTCGACGCGCGCGCGCATTGCTCGTGGACGGGTGCGGTGGCTCATCACCAAGAGACGCGAAAGCCAAGTGCGGTGTGCTCACCTTTCGCATGCGAGCGTCGCCAGTCCGTCATCAGTGGTCACCGTCCATGTGCGGTGTGGCCCAATCTCGGCGACGTCGACAGTCGCGTCCGAATCGTGCTTGCTCGGAGCCGGCGCGGTTGATGATGATGCTGATGATGATGATGATGCTGATGATGATGACATTGTTGCAGCCGTGGAGCTGGCCATGCGGGTCGAGAGGCGGCTGGACGTCAGCGAGGGAAGCAGAGCAGAGATGCGGCGGATGGCATTGGCGGCCATTGAAACACAAATCGAAAAAGAAAAAAAGAAAAAAAAAAGGCGACTGAGCTGCTTGGAGGCGTGGGTGCAACAAGAAGGATGATGGGATGATGAACCAGTGGTCGTACATTTGTTAACAACAACAAAAACAAAAACACAGAAGCGAAAACGCAGAAAAACAAAATTACTCGACAGTGTCAATCTCAGCATCATCATCATCCGCTTCGCCGTCGCTCTCCTCATCGGAATCGCTGGAGTCACTAGAGTCAGTGTCAGAGTCGCTGCTGCTGCTGCTGGTGCTGCTACGGCTGCTACGGCTGCTACGGCTGCTGTTGTCCGAATCGCTGGAGGCTTCAGACTCGTCACCCTCCAAATCCAGGCCCGCTGGCTGATGTTCGGAGTTGCTGACTTGCTCGATTGCTTCTTCGGAATCTTCAGTGGCATCGGCGGCATCCTCCAACAACTTCAAATCCCACTCTGAGGAAACGAGCTCGTGCGTGAGACTGAGCTGCTCAAGCTCATCGGCCGTTCTGGCAAGCAATGCATCGGTGGCAGACTGCTGTAGCCACAGGCAGTAGTCGTCAAGGAAGATGTTGCACAAAAGGTACCGCTCCTCGTCGTGAGAGAATTTTTGCTGCACCACGAGAAGGCATCGCAGAACAGCGCGCTTGCCGATGCGAAGGAGCCGCGCCACGTCCTGCAGCACAATCTTCTTGGATAAAGCAAAGTGTCGATAAAGCGGATAGCACAATGAACGCCTCATAAACGCAATTGCTGCATCGGAGACAGTGTCGGGTGAGTCGAGCCAGCTCAGACTTGGGCTCAACTTCCAAATGGTCCAAGTCGACTCCACATTGTGCTCGCCCTCAGTGACACGCAGATCGTAGACAAATGCGCAAAGAATGTCTACCAGACCGGCATACAAACGGGCGCGCTCCTCCGGGGTGTTGTCGAGGAGGTGGGGCTTGAGTCGGAAACCTCGCAGAATATCCTTCTCTTCAGCCGTCAGAACGACTGCCGGCTGTGACGGAGCCGGTGATTGTTCAATGGCAAGACTTTCTAGTTGTGCAGTCAAAGCGGAGGTCGATGCCGCTGCATTGGCCATTGGAGCGGAAGCTGAGGCGTCTTGCTTTTTCTCGGGGAGCGAGTGCCACCATGGTTCATACTCGATCAAGGACGGGATGACACCATCGTCAACTGCATAATCAGCCACGTAATGGTGCTCGTCAAAGTCTGCATCCTCAGCTGCAAGACGGAGAAGTCGGCGTTGAGCAGCAGGAGTGCGATCGGGATCGGGCAACTCGATGAGCTCGACAAAATCTTGGCGGAGAGAAGCAAAAAAGTCAGAGTGTCGGAGGTTGAATCCATAGCAGGCTCGTAGAAGCTCGTTGCTGGCCGAAGCGGCTTCGACCGACGAGTCAGCTCCAGTGTTGGGTTCCAGGACGGCAGTTGGTTTCTGAGGCCATGAAAAGTCAATGTCCTCCTCCTCCTCCTCCTCTTCTTCTCCTTCTTCTTCTTCCTCTGCATCAGCATCATCGTTGATGTCATATGATGAAGTTGCATTGGGTTCGACCGAGTCGGCAGCGCGAGAAGTACGCGTTGAGTCGGAATCGGGCAATACGGTAATAAGCGATGCACCGTTGGGCCCTGTTGTGTCGCGCTTTGTGTTTGTTCTTGTTGGCGGTGCTGCTAGAAGCGCAGTGAGCAGATCCAGGTCCGGAAAGTCTTCGCCGTGGGTGCGCTTGGGAAGCTGAATGAGAATTTCGCCCTTGTCAAGGTCGTATTGGGCGAATTCTTTTCCGTTCTCGACACACTCGCCTGGCAAGTTGAGCCTAAAAAGCGGATTTTTTTATAAAACGCAGATATCGACATTTCACACGAAGTACAGTGCGTACAATGTGAGCAATCCATTGAGCATTCAACGACTCGACTTCAAACGGAATTGCTTGTTACCTCAAGAAATACGGTCGTACAAAGAACTTGAATAAGTGGCCATCGACGAAATACTCGACATCTCCAATCTGAAGGTCACGCATGACAAACGCGGGGTTGACAAGCATATGTGAGTGGTGACGCGCGTGGTGAGCCATGTGTGTGTGTGCGTGCGAGGGGTTGGGATGGGACGTGGCGGATGAGTTGCCGCTGTGCCAGTTCAACGCTCCGTATGACTGGGATTGAGTGTGACTGACTCTCCTCGTCCTGGCATGGCGAAGTGGCGGCGGCGGCGGCAGGGTTGAGGTGGGGCGAGAGCTGGCTTGATGACCGACTGACCTTCACGTGCGGCACACGGATGCGCACAAACAGAAACTCTGCATTCTGAGTGAGATCGAACGTGGGCGTCAGCATTCTGGGACTGGGCGAGGCAGCGAATGCAGGCGAGAGCAAGCGACCAGAAAAAAAAAAAAAAAAAAAAAAGACAAAAAAAAAAGACTGAGGCGACTGAACGTGGCTTTCACTGAGATTCAGAACTTGAAACAAAACCAAGACAAAAGCTAGGGGGGGAAAATAATTCAAATAAAAGTACATGAATCAAAGGGTGGGTTGACGGGGATACCGAAGGAAACTGACTTGAATGTGTTTTTTGTGCTTGGTTTGTTTTTGTTTTGGTCAAGTACTGGTGCTGGGTGACTGTGTTTGGTTTGGCAGATGCCAAGAAATGATGACTATAAGTAACAGAGATATCAAGACCCAGAGTCCGGTCTGACGGCCAGAAAACAAAACGAATAAAGTTGGCACGTTTTTTGGCTGGTTTCACATTCGGATACGCACGGTTGCAAGAACGCACAAAGCACTGATTCTCGCAATCAAGTGTTTTCTGAGCCACATTACGACAAGGCTTACTCGCAGCCAAAATCTCCACAAGCAGTCATGTGAATACAGAATATAGAAGAAGTACTACAGCCACACGAAGGGCCTGTACCGTTCGGTACGAGTCGCCCAATTTGTACGCAACAAGAAATCTGAGAATTAAAGGGGAAAATCAGGCTCAGATGCCTCAAATAGTTGGGCAATTATATTTTCTGTATAGTGGACTTGTAGCGAGATCTCCGGCTCGAATAGATGAAAGTACAATAGCGTTGCCGTGGACTGGTTTGGGAAGACTTTGCAAAGCTGGGTTGTATTTTTGTTTTTTGGCTTTTTTGCAAATCCGATGTGTGCGGGTCGTACTGTATACGTTTGCGACTCAGACTAGACCTGAGATGTTGGCGCAAAACAAGCCAGAGTTTTGGAAACTGAAGCGAAAATCTGTGAAGGACTTTGAGAAAACAATCGTTGATCTTTCGGTTTCAAATCCAAGCCTTCACTTCTTTCTGTGTTTTCTTTTTTCGTTTGGTGCTTTTCCTTCATTACGTGTTTCAATTGGTCATCCGAACTTTCCATTAGCGTCTCTGCCTTTGTTTTTGCGTTGTTCAGTCTTCATTACAGTTTGTTGGAATATCTTGGATAGCTTTCTTTTTTTTTTTTTTTTTTTTTTTGTTTTTCATTGTCGCTGCACTTCCCGTGCGTTGGGTACCATCCTGGCTCTTCGCTCTGAGATGATCTTGTGAAATGAGCAGAAAGAGGCGAAGGGAAAGTTACTGACTGGACCAAACAAACAAAACAAAACAAAACAAAACAAAACAAAACAAAACAAACAAAACAAACAAACAAAAAAACAAACAAAAAACACCGGCAATGCTGTCGTATCAGAGTATGACCCAGAGCCCGCAGGATTTATATGACACTGTCAAGAATGCGAGTGGACAACTCAGGTAAGAGAAAGCCGAATTCTGGTAATGTGTGGCTGCATGTGTTCAGACGAATTGGAGGACAGTCTGCTCAATAGGCAGATTGGCGAGGTTGGTGCGCGGGCGATTGCTGAGACACTCAAGGTGAACAAGACACTGAAATATCTCGAGTAAGGCATCTCGCTTTGAGTGATGAATGTGAGAGAAAGTGATCCTGCCGAGTATGAAGAACACTCACAGATGGAGGGGGGATGAACAGTCTGGACAACAATCTGATTGGAGATGCTGGAGCGCAGTCCATTGCTGAGGCACTCAAGGTAAACACGACCTTGAAAGCGCTCAGGTAAGTCATCTAAGATTGTTGATGCAAACGACTTTCAAAGTGCTCACGAATGGAGAGGACGGACAGTCTGGCTAAAAATCAGATTGGCGATGTTGGAGCGAACGCGATTGCTGAAGCACTCAAAGTGAACAAGACCCTGACTTGGCTCGAGTAAAGCATCGTTCTTTGACTGAAGCATACGAGTGGGTGATGCAGCAGATGACATTCAAATGCTCACTGATGGAAGGGAAAGGACAGTTTGGGCAAGAGTCGGATTGGCAATGCGGGAGCGCAGGCCATTGCTGAGGCACTCAAAATGAACGCGATGGTGACTGAGATCGGGTAAAGCATCTCTCTTCAAGGATGCTTGTGTATGTGCGATCCAGCAAACGAATTCAGAGTGCTCACGAATGGAGAGAATTCACAGGCTCAAGCAGAATCAGATCGGCAATGCTGGAGCGCATGCAATTGCTGAAGCACTCAAGGTCAACACAGGGCTAATTGTGCTCTAGTAAGGCATCGCACTTTGACTGATGCTTGTGAGTGGATGATTCAGTGGCCAATGCGTACTGATCGTGAGGACTAGTTTGAATGAGAACGAGATTGGCAATGCTGGAGCGCAGGCGATTGCTGAGGCACTCAAGGTGAACTCGACGCTGTATGGCCTCTTGTAAGACAGCTATCCCTCATAGTTCCACTTGGCGCAAAGAGCTAACTGATGGATGGAACGCACAGTTTGGAAGACAATCAGATTGGCGATGCCGGAGCCCAGGCGATTGCCGAAGCGTTCAAGGTGAACCCGAAGCTGAGGGATATTTTGTATGGTGTCGTGCACTTTGACTTTGAGCCAGGGTCATCCATATCACTCACTTGCATTGCTCAACAGTCTGAAGCGGAATTGCATTAGCAATGCTCGTTCTCAAGCAATCAATTTATATAGGAGCTATGATGGACGGGGCCTTTAGTAAGTTGTCCTTGCCAACTGAAGCCATTGAAGCTCACGCGAGCTGTCCAACCAATGGAGTGTGCCTTCCGATTGCTCATTTACGGTGCTTTTTCGTTGCACAGCATTTACGAGCAGGTTAACCCTCGTGCATTCTCCTTACTTCCACGCGTAGCAACCGCTGACGACCTTCAGACCGTGTTTTGCTTGCTGACCAGCGGACCGGAGCTGAAAGATCAGTCCACATTTCTGCCAGCATTACCAGCCGAGATTGCCGACATCATTATGGACGAAGCGCAACACTGGCAAGGCGTACAGCATACCAACCGACACCCGTACGATGACCGTCCTGTCAAGGTCACAGTGCCTCAAAGCATCAATGGAAATTCGACCCGTGTGAAAACAATTCAAGTGGTTCGGGACACGGGGAAACTTTACCACCGCATCGGTGACAACGTCTTTGGCTTGATTGTTCGAGATGAGCAAGGTACTGTTCAATATGAGCATGAGGCGAAAGCGACTTTTGTCGATTCTACACTCGTATCCGCGACGCTCTGGCCAGTAAGTACTCCTATCATCAAGCAAATCCGCGTGGGTTGGCAAGTTCAAGTTCAGTCCAGTAAGTCTGCCCGAGATGTGCGATTCGAATCGCTCGTTGTTAGATGGATGTAGAGTACCTGTCTCTAAATCCGGACGCATTACGGACCTCGAGAGTTGCATTTTAATCCGGATGAGGTGTTTTTCTCGCAGATTATTCATTGCTTCGCCTCGGCTCTTTCACCATTGTACATAAATCGAGTTGGTTATCACATGGAACAGCTTGTTGAGGTGCCTGCGATCTTCGCGGGGTGGTTTGGGCGACTCGCCGATGTCATGCCCCACTGGCATGCCTACTTACTTGCATGCATTACCTTGTATTGTTTGTCATGTCTCCCATACTGGGAATGGTTCATTCGTCAATATACCTTTATTCATGAACATTGCCTGACAATCGACGTACCTTTGCACAGACTCTGACAAAGACATCAACGCCGAGTCTTCTGAGCAAAGAACGACCCAGTCGGGACCGCAGAGCCTGCGGGTCCTGACACTCTACCCCCTCCCGGTCCTCCCCGCGGAGAAGAGTGTGAAGGGCCCACCGGTGTGGACCCAGGACGCGACGCCGGCAACGCCGATGCCGACTTGACAAGTGGACTTGCTGCGGCACTTGCAGCAGCTGTGGGCGGGGTTGCTACGGAACGTGCAGCAACTGCAGATGGGGTTGCCACTGAACGCGTAGCAACGGGTGTCGCACTAGCTTGAGGTGGAGCTTGGCCAGCTGGAGCAGCGGGCGTGCGACTAGCCGTGGGTTGAACAGGATTTGGCTGGACCGGCGACGATCCACTCGTGAAACGGATATCGAATTCCTCTCGCGTAGGCTGTGGTAGAGAAGGTTCGGCCAGATGGAATAAACGAACGGCCCTGGGGAAGCGAGCCCACACGTCTTTGGCCGGCTCCCAGGTGTCTTCACGAGCAGTGGTGCCTACCCTTCGGATGCGATAGTACATAATCTCGCTGTGACGAGTCGAATCAATCACCGCCTCAACTCGATGTCGAACTGTTCCGTCCCAGTCCTTGACAGGAGGCAGGACTCGCCGAATCCGACCTTCAACGTCATCAGCGACAAACAATTCCAAGACAGATACATGGAAGGTGCGGGACTTGCTGGATGCTTCACCTAGATCCAGCTCAAAAGCACGCTCATTGATCTGCTTCACGACCTTGAAGGGACCATCGCGTACGTACGCCAACTTGGCATACGGTTGCTCGGCCGTCTGACTGCGACGCAGAACTGTGACTAGACTGCCCACCGTGATCGGAGGTGCTGCCTTGTGGTGTCGATCATAGAACTTGGCTGCGGACATGTTTGCTCGGTGAATATTCGCTCTCAACGAGAAGCGCAGTGCCTTGAGTTCCTCCACGCGATCAGCTGCCGTTTGAGGTGCCTTCGGCGACTTGAAGTTAATCTCATCCATTTCCGGCTGAAACCCGTACATGGCCATGAACGGACTGCACTGGATCGCCGCGTGCACCGTGTTGTTGTACGTGAACTCGCACAACCAAAGGAGTCTTGACCAGTCCTCGGCTTCACTGACGTACGCTCGCAGGTATGACTCCAGCGCTTGATTCACCCGTTCCACAAGACCGTTTCCTTGTGGATGATACGCGCTAGAGTAGGAGAGGTCGATGTCCATCGCCTTCCATAGCATCTTCCAGAACTTTGCAATGAACTGAGGTCCGTGATCAGACAAGACACGAACCGGAACGCCGTGCAGCTTCACGACATTCTCCAGGAACAACTGAGCCGATTCCTCCGCCGTGACAGACTTGGTCGTCGGAATGAAGTGTGCAACTCGAGTCAGTCGATCGATGCAGACCATGACTGCGTTAAACCCTTGAGAATCTGGCAATCCGGTCACAAAGTCGATGGACCAGTCGCCGAAAGGCTTGTCTGCGGCCTCAATCGGAGTCAAGAGACCGTATGGTGCGTGCCTCGCATGCTTCACCATCTGGCAAACTGGGCAAGTGTGCACGTACTGCTCCACGTACTTTCTCATTCCAGGCCAGACAAAGTCGCGCTGAACCAACTCAAGCGTCTTTCGGTTTCCGCAGTGACCCGCTGTCGCTGCGTCATGGCGGTATCGCAGGATCTGTGGACGTAAATGTTCTGGGACGAACACTCGGTCCTCGCGCTTGATGAGACCGTCGTGAAGTTGGTATCGTTTGGAGGATAGAAGCTCTACTCCTTCTTCTTCCCCCTCGGCCACCGCCTTCTGCAAAGCCTCGCGAATGGCAGTAGGCGTCATGACCGTAGGCGCGCTCGGCAGAGTCGCCCCGGGCGAGAAAACGAAATCTTCGCTCTGCTCGTCATCGGCCTCGCCAGCGACTGGAGCCACCAACAACTCGGGGTCCAACACCCGGCCCTTAAGCTTCTCCTTCGGCCCAGCTCCCGACGCCGAACGGGACATCGCATCCGCCGCACCGTTCTTGGAGCCCTCCAGATGCTTGATGACCAGATCGAACTCGCCCAGCATCTCGCACCACCGAGCCTCGCGCGCCGTCAGCTCCCGCGTCTCCGTAAACCACTGCAAATTCCTGTGGTCCGACCAAACGGTGATCTTGCCAGAACCGCAAACGTAATGTCGCCACTCGCGGAGACACTCCAGGATAGCCAGCAGCTCCTTGTCGTAGACCGAGTAGTTGACTTCTGGCTTCGTGAACACGCGCGAGTAGTAGGCGACCGGATGTAGACCGTCGCCGGACTCCGACCTCTGCATCAACACACCACCCAACGCGAGATCCGACGCATCCGAGAAAATCTCAAACGGCCGCGACGTGTCGGGGTACGCCAGCACGGCGCCTGGACGAGCGCCTGCTGGATCGCGCGGAACGACTTCTCGCACTCTGCCGACCAGACGAACGGAACATTCTTCCGCGTCAGCATCGTCATCGGGCGCGCCAGCTCGGCATAGTTCGGCACATGACGCCTCATGAAGGACGCGAGGCCGTTGACCTCACGCACACCAGTCGCGTCCGTCGGCGGCTTCCAGTTGAGGACCGCCTGCACCTTGCGAGGATCCACCGCCACTCCGGCTTCGCTGACCCGCCGCCCCAAGAAGTCGACACTCGACGTGCCAAACACGCACTTCTTCAAGGAGACGTACAGGTCAAACTCCCTCAGCCGAGCCAGCATCTGCTTCACGTGGAGCTCGTGCTCCTCCGGCGTCTTGGAGAACACAATACTATCACCCAAAAAAGTTTTTTACATCGCGTTTTTTTCCACTCCTCACCCCGCCCTGCGACCGTTTTGACCACAAATCTCCCTTTTCCCTCTCTACTGCATGTATATATGTACCTTCTATGTGTTTAGAGTGAGAGGAGCGGAGGGGTGATGACTGGTACGACGGGGGAAGGAGAAAGGATGCAAAAAGGGACAAAACGCGATCGTCCAAAAAAGGGACTTTTTGGCGTTCTTTTTTCAACTTTCACAAGCACAACACCATCACAGTGAAAAAAGCTACCGCGGTATTTTTGGTCATTTTGATGGGTTTTGTCGTTTTTGACTGCTTTGATGCGGCGCGGCATGGATGAAATGAGCGAGGTGCAGACCTCGACGGTGAGGACCTTGTGGTAGACCTCTTGGAAGCGCTCCCAGAGCATGTCTTAGTTTGTGATCTCCCGCTGCTTGTACACAGCGTTCTTGACCATGTTCCACGCATGCTCGATGGGGTTGAGGTCGGGGGAGTTCGCAGGCCACTCCAAGAGGGTGAGGTTCTGGTTTTTGAACCATTTCATCACGTCCTTCCGCTTGTGACAGGGCGCGTTGTCCTGCATGAAAATCAGGTTTGGGTCGTTTCCCCAAGCGGCCAGACTGTCTTTCAACTTCTCGTTCAGAAAGGAGAGGTAGACGCCGCCGTTCATGCGGTCGCCGAACTCAGAAGAAGGAGATGCCGTGCAACCCACACATTGATGTGCCCTCCTCCGAACTTGACAGTGCCCTGGACCGACCTGTCGTCGAGCGGTGCACCCCACACACGCCACACACGGCCAGAGTTGTTGTTCCTGCACAGCTAGAGAGCGGTCTCGTCGGAAAAAACGACGTTCAACCAGTCCTCTACGGTCCAATTGGCGTGAGCGCGGGCGAAAGCAAATCGGGCGTCTTTATGACGCTGCATCAGCCTCGCTTTTTTTACCTTCGCCGCACAAAAAAGACCCTCCCGCCGCAGCACGTTCCTGATCGTCTCTGCAGTGACATCACAGAGCCTCCATTTGCGCATGGTGGCGGCGACTTCGGTAGCTGTCTGAGACTCTCCGGTCTTAATCTGCTGCACGATGTTTACAGCGGCAGTCGAAAAAACCTTGGTCGGACGTCCAGATCGCGGCGAATCCTGCGTCCCGCCCCTCGCCGAGTAGCGTACATGGATTGCACGCACTGTGTGCCAAAGGAGACCGAGTTGGTCGGCGATCTGGCGGTAGGAGAGGCCGGCTTTGTGCAGCTCCAACTCGTTCGACCGAATGACCTCCCTACTCGGCTTGATGACAGTGGGCTTCGGCGGCGATGGTGGGGATACATTACCGCGTGTGACTCGCTTCACGAACGAAGACGGCGGGGACGAGGCACGAGTAGAACGAGCCATGGGGGCGTCGAACTGTGGAAATGAGAGAAAAAGGCGGGAAAAATTCAATCCAAAGTGCGCGCTTTTTTTCGATGTTTTCCAGCATCCACGCGGTCCCCACACGCACACTTCTCTTCCCGTCCCCGCTCCTCATCATTTTCCGATGTAGGGTACACCGACGCACACCCCACATGTGGAATAGGGCGAACTAACCGTCGTCACAGGGAGATGGAGACTGAATTAACCGAAACAAATCGCGATGTAAAAAACTTTTTTGGGTGATAGTAATGTCGTCAAAGTACCCTCCAGCGAAAGCGGAGAGCGGGCCCATGACCTCATTAATCAGACGCTGGAACATCGCCGGCGCGTTGACCAACCCGAAACACATGACCCTGTGTTGGTACAGCTTTCCGTCGCACGGGAACGCCGTGTATTTCTCACTGTCGGCGCTCAATCTCACTTGCCAGAACGCGCTCGTGAGATCAAACTTGCTGAAAATTTTCGCGCCCTTCAGCTTGTCAATCAACGCCAAGGCATCAGGCGACGGGTACCGATCCCTGATCGTCGCCTCGTTCAGACGCCCGGGGGTCCATACAGACGCGCCAGCCATCACCCTTCTTGACGAA